TATATTTAATAATTATCTTCACGTTTCGACCACCAAAAAATCAGTGCATAAGGACAACTGTTGATATGAACTTGACCAGCAAAAAGATCAAAACATTTTTCGATTCGAGTTATGGAGATTACACGTTGAAATGATCAATCAATCATTGTTAGACTACCATTAGAAACCTGGAAGTACTGGACAGCCGTTTCGTCCTGTTATGGGACTCATCATCAGTGCGTATTGGAGGCTTCGAATGTCATCTGAAAATAACAATAGGAGGATTGATTCATTCTGCTGAACCGTATAAGATATTTGCTATTACGTACATCAAGGTTGATGAATTGCTTCAAGCTTAGTCTGTGAATAAAAAAGAGCTACATTTGTTGATGCTGAATATACGACTGGATATTGCAACAGAATAAAACATTTAGAACATCTGAGATGGGTATAGAATGCTAATGGCATATCTCTCTACAGATCAAAACACTACTATCTATCATCAATCAAAGTAAGTAACAACCTATTTCAGTAGTCTATGAAATGTACTGACTTCTCAATACAGAATTTTTGAAACGTCCAAAACTGTGCCCCAAAAGAAATTAGTCTGTTTGTAAATACCAACACATTTTAACATAGTTAACTTGTCCTGACCGATTGTTAAAAAACTTTTTCCGAAATGATAATATAATAATTAATCTGCAGTCCATATTTAAAATAAACTAAGTTAACAAAAACTTAGCTCTAGGAAGTAATAGAACAATTCTCTTTGTGTTAACAAATCCTTTTTGAATATTATTGTTGTTTACTAAATTTAAATAATTATTGATTCCAAACAGGTTTACATTGTTGGTCAAAACCAAGTATAGTATTTTCGCATAGTAATTTTCAGTGTTATAATATCACTGTTTATCTATCTACTACCAAACACTATAACAATTTATGATGGATAGATATACAGAACTCATTCATCAGTAAATGTAGTTACTCACAGTCCCATATATATATATATTGCTATTGACAACCAGATTAGCTTAAACGTTTTGGGTTTTATTTAAACTTAATGAGAAATGATAAGTAATCAGATAATTGTACTTCTAGAGTTGTACTTCTATAAACAGATGTTTTTGGTGAATCATTTGCTTATTTTTGTTTATTGTCAAAACACATAGCAGCTGATGAGAAATACTCAGTTTTCACCTTAATGACCATAGTTCTTTGTTTTGTATAAATTTCCGTTTCAAATATCATAATTTCATTGTGGCATGAAAATAATCTAATTTAATATTGTATACAGCTCCATTGTTATTACTTTTCAAAATCAGGACATTTAAAACACAATAGTATTTTACTATGTAAGCTTTTATAATGAATTCAAAGTAGGTAATTAGAAAATATTGAAATCCATCGAACAATTATGATAATTTGGTGAAAATCTTGTTTTCCGTTGACATATCTGTCCTAAGAAGTATATAGTGAATGTAAAAGTTTGTTCCTGATTGCATTTGTATTACATTTACGAACACAAAGCGTGTAGATGTATTGTGAGTGCACTTTTTAACCAAATGTTTGTTTTTTTTTATTTTCCAAAATTATTCAACAGAAATGCTTGCTTGAAACATCGTCAAATTACACTATGTAGATACCCGTTTCACTTGCCATCTTCAATAATCTATTGCTTTTACTAACGGTAACGTTAAACTTATGCTGATTCCATAGATAGTTCATGAATTATTACACCATTTTTCTAGTTTATTTCCAACTTTCAATTAATCACAGCTTTACTACTGTTACCTCCATCATCATCAAACCTACCCATTCTACTCGTATTTGTACTCAACGCACTGTAATTAGTAAAAGTATGTAAATAATAACAGTAAATTATTTTCATTCATTCAAATTTATTCTTTATTTTTCAAAAACTTCTCTAAGCATGCAGAAAAGTAGAAGACTGTTGAATCATTTTTCTAAGGTATTTCTAAATAGATATGTTTATCATTGTTCTAGTAATCCACACTGAACCTGGAATGAAAAGCATAAAATGTTATCAAACTCTTACTCATAAACATTATCATTCACTTCTCTTGTCGAAAGAAATTCATATCAATAAAGAAAAAGTATATGTACTGGGATTTCAAATTTTCTACCAAATACCGTTACTATCTACTTCACACACGGTAGTTCTCTACCGCTCAATCGTACTGAACGGATGAAATGATGGTCTAGTATCGAAAGGTATTTCCTAACAGGCTAATGATTTGATCGATGGTGTGTATATCATCATATTATACAAGCAATTGAACTTACATATCTTCGTAAGTCTGACATATTCTGGGCAGTATGGCTTATCAAATTTTTAGAAACCTTACTGACTAGATTGTGATACCTTATGTGCAACCAGTAGTCACTTTGTAAAAACAGATTAAACACACCATGTAGGACAAGGCACTTACGATTTAAGCGACACATCTTCATTACCATGTACGCGGCTTCTACGTATTTCATATATCTGAACAGAAAGCATAGAATGTGTGGCCTGAACACTCAAGTTCATTTTTATTTCTTCGTCAGCGAGCCATGTTCTATAAATAATGGATAAAGTTACCGTACAAACGAAATCTAAAAATGCTATTGATAGACTAAGTTTGTTTCATACCGTTTAAAGTCTCTCATGTTTAAGACTTTTATAAACAGATAAAACATCCTAAAGAAGTATTAATCAAATAAGTATTTCTTAATCGCAGCCAAATGTACTATATTGTGTGGACTTTACTCAAAATATGGTTACAACTCAGAGAGTTTGCGGACAGAGCAATTCTAATGACATGGCGGTAGCTACTTATGAAGCTATTGGCTGGCATGCCAGATAAATCTTAATTAAGGGAAAGGATTAAAAAACCTTTTAGTGAAGTCATAAGTTTCCAGAGCTACAGATTCAAAGGCTACTGGCAAAGTTTTCATTAATACATCCATAGGCATTGACTGACAGAGTTGTATTTCTTCTTTATTACATTTATAGATGTCGACAATTCTTATAGTGACCGTAAACTGGCCAGCTATGTTTTTCTGATCACCTACATAGAATAAACAGCACTTCAGCTGACCATAAAGTTAACGCTGCATTTGCACTTCACCTCTCAATTGGACGATATGTGCTGCGAAGGTTTTAAAACTATCTATTAAGCCAACACTGTGAAGACTAATTAACAGATTTCAAAGTTTTGGCTGCTTTAATACATAGCTGCACATACAACAGACATCCTGTGTAATAATTTACTTTCCGAACGTTTTTAAACGAAATGTATTACAACATAGGCCACAGCTGCAGACAGCAGTAAAGGGTGAATGCTTTTCATTAAACTACGAACTAACAACGGCGAAGGACGGATATTGCTAATCAATAGCTAGCAAAATTTATTATATACTGGCTATTCGAAGTAACATACTTACTTTTTGATAAAGACGAACAAATAAATAGAATCTAAGGAGCACATATATACAGGAAAGCGAACGAATGTGTGTAGGCTGTAACATGTGACCAAGCATATAAACTCTTCATAATAAAGATAATACAAAGATATAGACATGTTGTCTCTATGCGAACGATACCGTCTCTAAAATGAGCTAATTGAAAGGCTTAAACATACACAGACTCAACTGTAGGTGAAATGCCACAGGGTATTTAATTAATTAATTAATTAGTCCAATTAAGAAGATCAATGTGACGTTACTACGACAGATGAAAATTATTTTAATAAACGAATTCGATAATGTATACAACATTCAATCATTATTTTGCTTACACGCATATGAGAGCAATCAAATCAACCGGAACAAAATGGACAATCGTTACTCTAAAGTATTTTAGTTACCTTAAAAACATTATCTAATGACTTATTTCTTATGGTGAACTAAATAATCAAATAGAATTACTTCTATTTTGAAATACTGTAAACCAGGAAAGAGAAATATGTATTGAATCATTATTTTAAATATTATTTATTGATGGAAAAAACCTACGTGATAAAAGAAGAGGTAACTTTTGCTGAAATGATTAAAAATGAAATTCAATTCTTTTGCTATTTGCGGATAGGTTAGTGAACTTGTTTAAACCGATTTCAGTTATGTAATAATAATTAGACAATGTAACAATTTTTTGTGTGGTGGTCTTACTTGCTCAACAAATTAAATAAATAAATGGTTTTACTAATATGAATCGATTAATTTCAATTTTATACGTAGTTGAAACATTTATGATTTGAACATAAAATGATCTTCATCAAAACAAATAAAAAGACAAATAATATACATTCATTTTTTTATTTCTATTAAATTTTATGATATTTAAAATGAATAATGCATTCTTAAATTTAAATGGACATTTTACATTAAAGTATGATGATAATCATACATACATACATAAATATTTCAAATGAATAGATAAAATGATAAAATAAAACAAGTGAACAATTTTATTTTATTTTATTAATTGATTGAAAGAAAAACACACACAGTTAGTTATCAATCATAATTTAATAGAATTGCTTATACTTGATGCAAATAAACTTGTTGAATAAGACAAACCATTTCTTGTTAGTGTTATCATCTGTTTAGTTTTTTAGAATGTAAACACATGCTTACTTTAAATTCACATACTGATTATACTGTCTGTTTGAATACAATACGTCACCATGGTATTTTATATATATTAAAGAAAATGAAGTCATGTATTTAAACACATGTATGTATATTAATTTTATTTCAAATAAATAACTTACTGAAATTTAGTAATAATATTTACCACTAATAATTTACTATTTTTATTTATTGCGTCCAGTATAAAAGCTACTTGAAAAAATTTATAATAGTCAAACTATGCCTGTAATAAATGCTTATCTGGTTTGTAAATTATTAACGATATTGCTAATCATAGAAGGTACAACGTTCAATTTTGTCATCACTTCTTTTAATAAATATCTAAGGTTTATTGGCGGAAGTTTTGCAAACGTCATCTGAAAGCTATGAATCCAATGATAAGTGAGTAATCATTAATAAACATAAATACTAAATTATTATATGAATTCGTTAAAGTATAAATATTTTATTATTGATATATTTCGCAGTTTTTTTCCGGAAATCTTCTGAACGTTGAACAATATTGGAATTTTGCAAACAGATGTTACAGTATAGAAATATAACTCATTTGAATATCATTTATTATGACAAGATTTTCTGATGAAATGTAAATTTATATGTATAATTATTTGTCGCACATTCATAAATCATCATAGATTAATATACTGAAATTTCGCTTACAATATTAATAACAATATATTTCATTTAAGTTCTATAGTTTAATGCTAGTTTTACACCAATAATCCGAGTCAAAATGTTTCTGTGAATAATTAAAATGAATTCGTCCCAGAGACTAGACCATGAACAATAATGATCATTTGTGAATGTTATATATTTTAAGATTCTGTGTGGTCTTCAAAGTGAATGGAACAAGTCAAATAGACTTGTGTTAGAACATGTCTATCATGGTTGACAGGATGGTTATAGCTTGATAATGAAAAAATTGCAAGGAAGAAATATTTTCCTGTTTGCGCAGTCCTTACAAATACGAATGTCACCTGTGATATCTACTACAATGGATCTGAAGGCCTTTAAGCATAAGTTAGCATCAAGGGTGAATGAATCTTCAAATTGCTTAGACTTATTTACTTTGATAAAAAATATTTTTAGAATAAAATACCCATCATTATTCATTCAAAGTTGTGAATCTTTTAATGATTATTTTACAAAATATCCAAAAATATCCGTTATTTGTGTACCAGTAGTAGTAGTAGTAGTAGTAGTAGTAGTAGTAGTAGTAGTAGTAGTAGTATGTAGTTTAGTAATATTTTATTCAGTTTCACATTACTCAACCTTTGCGACTAAATATTCTTACCAAGTAAATAAATTATAAGGCAGAACTTGTTTATTGTATATTACAAAAAACGTTACCCAGATAAGCTTTCGGAACATGAATCTATTACAAAATCCATCTCATCTAATAATTGAATGATCACACTAGTTAAAATTTTCCTTGATTTTAAATATACAATTTGCTGTAGACAGTTTCATTAAAGTGATCCTAAAAAACAAAACGTTAGTGTTCATCTTATAACCGTAGTGTATAGTGACCCTTTTTATTATTTCATCATTACATACATCTACTAATTTTTCAGTAATGAAATTTAGTAATGTATTTATTAATTGCGAAATTTAACTAGTAAATAAACTTTGTATTTTATACTCATACTTAAGTTCATTTTGTTAAAGATTTAATTATAGGTTTCACAATGAAAATCAGTTTTTCTGTCGTTAAAATTAATTCAGAATAATAACACATTATACGAAATTTAATTTTGTTACAGTGAGTGCTTACCTGGTCAATGCTATATACAGAACTGTGACAGTCCATTGAAAGGTAAGGGATTTTGATGTAGCTTGTGTACTTCAGAAAACATACGTGTTGTTCAATAAAGCATTACTACAGTAAAGCAATGTCCTTTCATTATAAATAAACAGTTAGACTAGACTCAGTGTCATTCATAAATTTACTTAGTAAGGTATGTGTTTTAGTGAAAGTTATTGATTTATCCTGAAATCAATTGATTTCTCATGTAATACGATGTTTATGCCAATCTCTAACAAGCAACAAAAAGAGCGCAATTTAATGCGTTGAATTTAAAAATATTTTTACGATCATCTAGTATTTTTAAAATACTATTTCGTTTCATCCATATATACTATTCTGTTAATTGATATTTTACTTAACATCTTTCACAAACTATATTATATAAAAAAGTGTGTAACTTCAAAATCTTCACAACCCCGTAATGCAAATTACCTGTGCTCACTAGCGACTAGCTTCGTGAGAAATCTTCTCCGAGTTCTAGTGGGAAGACGTGACCAGTGAAGTTCAACCTGCTCGGGTGTAGGCAATGTCTACCGAAGGCTGTGTATGAGGTTGCGCAACTCCATGAATTTGATCAGGTTAGACATTAACACCGTTAGATACCGGCTCAGTGGTCTAAAGGTTAGGCCGTTCGCGCACAATACCGAAGGTCCTGGGCTCGAATCCTGCGGCGTGCAGGAGTCGTGGATGCGCACTGCTGAGGAGTCCCATAACAGGACGAAACGGCCGTCCAGTGCTTCCAGGTTTTTAATGGTGGTCTAACATTGACTGATTCATGGTTTCAAAAAAAATGTGTAATTTACAATCTTCACAACCCCGTAATGTATATTATATAAACAGTTCTAATAATAAGTGCGTTATAAGCTTTCTATTACACTTCATGTGCTCTATTAGCAGGCATCTTCTGCCCATTATTTTCTAACTGCTTCTAAGTCAATCAATAAAGTTAACTAGTCTTGCCACCTACTATACGAATAAAATAAATTTATATTTCCCTTTTGATTCCCAATAACTATTGGTTTTATCAATTAAACTGAAAAAAATGCTTTTAGATGTAAAATGCTGACATTGTTGACAAACTTTAAATTTACCATTGTAAAGTGAAAACGCTTTCACCATATAATAATTATTGTCTGTCTAACAAAACAGTTGCAAAGCGATACTTCAGCATAAATTCATATTTCTGAAATAGTATCTATGTTTGTTATCAAACAACAAGCAAGTATTGTACTACTCATAGACGACCACTATAACTTATCTGAAGCATTTATACTGGATTTGATTTTACTAAGAAAGAGAAAGGCGTATAAGATTAACAAGCTAAGAATGATTACTTTTTTTAAAATAAAAAAAAACATTCATTTTATCTGTAAACTATAGCTATCCCAAAATTTGAAAATCGTCAGTTCAATTTTCGACTTAAAAGGATCTTAACACATGATTCTAATGAAACTATTGGCCAGTTGAAACTAGTTAAATCAACAAATGCTTCCATACCATGTGGAAAACTTAAATTCACTTTGGGAAATGGCTTTTCGGAATTATCAATATATCTTAACAGTAGTACGGGTGAACTACAAGCAAGTCGTTCATTATGGGAAAAGCAAGAATATCAACAACTAATACTGAGTGTGAATGTGAAAAGTGTTGATAATAATAACTTGTCAGACAGTGCATTGGTTATTATCTCATGGGAAGCTGAATATGTGAATAAAAAACATAATAATAAAACTTGTTTTGATAAACAAGATTGCATTCCTCAGGAAGGAGAAAGAAACGACTCTAAATCAGGGATAGTTAAACGTGTAAGTTAATATAATTATCCTGTTTTCATAAAATCTTGAATATTTATTTGCATTTCAGTAACATAAACCGAAAATGATATGAGCTTTGTTGTGAAATCCTAGTATTGAAATCAATGCTTTTACATATTTTGAAGCTGTAGTACTTCTTGTTTCATGCTCAAAATATTATTGAGTCAATAATTAACAATGCATAAATCCTAGTTATAACAGTTTTCAGTAAATATTTTATGTAAAAACAATTAGTCCCTTTTATAAATTTTGAGAAGACGTAACTGATCAATTACGTCTTCTCATTTTTCTATCAAAATATTTCATTCTAGATAAATATAAAACAAACAGCATCAACGGTTAGCTAGTCAATTTCATTAGATATAATCCTTTAGTTTCACTTAAGAATAGAAATCCAAGAATTCTGTATGTCATGGTTTATCAGAGAAAAAAATTATCGAATAATATTTGATATTTAAAATTTAATTTTGGCTAGATATATCATCAAATAAAACAGATCCATTTGTCGCTGTCTTTTAAAGTAGTTCTGTGAATATGAGATTGATTTATTCTTCCATTATATTTCAATACATATTATTTACTGCCATTTTTTTGAAGTCATTTATGAACTATCAAGCTATTGAACTTGCATTAACTCGAGAAGATATTCAACCAACAGAAAAAATTTGTAATGGTGAGGCTTGGTCAGTTACTGCGAAAATTATATTCCCGCCTGGTAATCACAATGTTTACATTGAATTATATGCACCTAAACACGTTAATAAATATTGTGGTTATGTAAAGTATTTCGGCAATCCATTTACTGGTCGCAATGTAAAAGTTGGTAAAATCGACTTAAATTCAGCTATTCAAACAGAAACTAATCCTGATGATCCGGAGGTACGCTTATTTTTGTTTTAGTGTTCTATATAATATTATAAAATATTAGAATATATCAATTTTACCCACTTATTTTAAACCTATATGTTTACATAGTAATTATTTATATCTGTTCAAAAATAAACAATCACTTTACATCAATTTATTAGGTTATTAGTTCCCGTCAGATATCAACAATGCTAACTTAATTAGTAGAGCTTCAAAGTTCACTGGTAAATGTGGAACGTAGACAGAAAGAGAAATTCTTGGATTGAAACCGATAATCCCATCAGTGATTCATTCTTAAAATTACGTATATGTTTCCTGAATATAAATTTTATTTTTGAAATATAGAATAAAATATTAATCTCTTACTCATGAAGGATTTGAGGGGAAGCATCATTAGCATTGATTTCATTCGACTAGAGTGAATGATTGTGGTGGTGTTTGGTTCTCTGAGTTGGATGTTTTGGTTGTGCAGCTTTCATTGTTTTTCTGAACAAACATCATCAGCACAAACTTCAGATAGAAGTGAAGTATTCGAATTTCTCTACGTTTGACCTGTAGCTTGTTCTGCTAACCTCGATCTTGATTGGTTGCTGTTGACCTTAAATCTGTCATAGTTTACACCTTCGCTCTCATGGAATTCCCCTTTCGATCTGTTTCTTGATCCTATGTCACCTATGATTTTTCTGAATGATTGATAAATTGGGTCAGTGTCGATGTGTTTGTTGATTACTGATAGACCTGAGTGCTGAGCTTCGAAAAATAAACAACGACCCGAGAACCCACAAAATCAACTGCATACAAACTTTGTTCAAGAGAGCGAAGACACACTGTACCACGTATGAAGCACTAAAAAACGAGGAAAAACATCTTCTGAATATCTTCCAAAAGAGCTGCTATCCACGCAACTTCATCAAAAAACATCAACCGAAATTGTCAAAACAGGCGAAATCCAGTACTGGAACCAATAAACCGATCATCCTACCATACATAAAAGACATATCGGAGCATGCAGCACGACTACTGAAATCGTTTGGAATAGGTGTGGCACACAAACTAACAGAATCACTTCAATCAATCCAATGTAGATCAAAGGACAAAATGACAAAAGTAGTAAAATCAAATATCATCTACAAAATAAATTGCTCAGACTGTGAAAAACACTACATAGGACAATGTGGACGGCTTCTTCGGCTTCGTTTACACGAACACCAATTAGCAGTCAAACGCCACGACAATTCTTCACTCATATCAGTACACACCGACTATCATGGACACACATTTGATCGGAACAACGTGGAAGTGCATGATAGGGGGAGCACGAAAAACACTAGAGAATTTTAAGAAGCTTAGCACTCAAGTCAATCAGCAATCAACAAACACATCGACATTGACCCAATTTATCAATCATTCAGAAAAATCATAGGTGACATAGGATCAAGAAACAGATCGAAAGGGGAATTCCATGAGAGCGAAGGTGTAAACTATGACAGATTTAAGGTCAACAGCAACCAATCAAGATCGAGGTTAGCAGAACAAGCTACAGGTCAAACGTAGAGAAATTCGAATACTTCACTTCTATCTGAAGTTTGTGCTGATGATGTTTGTTCAGAAGAACAATGAAAGCTGCACAACCAAAACATCCAGCTCAGAGAACCAAACACTACCACATTCACCCACCTGAGCTACAAATCTCCACCATCTCAGAGTGAATGACGGTACGCTCATAAATGATAAATAGAAATCAAATACCACTAAAATTACTTAAGATAAATAATTTGAACCCATATGATGGAATTAAACTAGACCTTTCATTGCTACCAAACAGATATATCATATTATTGACTAAATTAAGGAATCAATATCCAGGTTGTTTACTTTAAACAATGATAACAAACAGTAAGTTTCTCTTTATTCAACTGTCAAATCAAAATAGAAATCATTTATTGACTTACTTGCATAATTACTGAATTTTATTAATTATGTTTACAATTATTGAAATCATTTTAGTGCTGTGTTATATTAGAATTTTTATATTGAGTACAGTTTAATGAAAGCAAAATTTGTTACGTTTCAAGTTTAGAATATAACACTTATTACTGAACACTTCATGAAATACAATGATCGGAATAGAAGGTTATCAGTGTAGTCATACTATGATCAATTTAAAAAGGACTTTAAACTTGCTAACAATTTCTTATTGTGTATTTTTGGGACCAAGTAGAAAATTTTAAATCTGCTTTATTTAATATTTTAGTATTTCTAAGTATTTAATTCCACTAGCTCATTTGAAACATAGACTATATTCGTCTTTACAGCTAGTTAACAACTTTCTAAGGAATTTAAAACGGAGTCTAACAAACATTATGCTTGGTAGTCAAAACAGTACTCTAAAATAGTCTTCTGCAAGTTGAAAAAAAATGCTGAAAATCGGTATTGATCAACCATAAAGTACACTGTTCATAATAAATAACAAACCTTTAAGATTCGTTCATTTTTAGCAATTTAGGCATATCACTGTGGGATTGAAAAACGTAGAAGTGAAAAACGAAACAAGTTCAACACTTCAATCATTTAGCATATATCTGGAATTTGCTGTGATACTCTCGGAAAGTGTTGATTTGACATTAAATGCAAGCTTGAATGCCGGTATACTTTTGCATTCAAAGGATTTAGTATGGGTTGGTTTGTTCAATCTGATATATTCGAAAACATGTCCAATACTTCCTATTGACTTAAATATCTCCTCATATCCAAAGCATATGATACCGACTGATATCACGGTTGTAACTGCAGATATATTTTTACCAATACTAAAAGAGAACTACACTGTAAGTTATTTTCTCTATTTAGCATAAATGTTTGTAAATTTAATTACTTCTAACAATAAACTTTTTTTAAAAAGCAGATATTTTTTAACAGCACTGCTACATTAACAATAGCATGAAAACTCACTAGAAGCGATAAATAAGAAACATATTTATAAAACAAACATGAATTAATAGATTTTATTTCCAGATCTACTATAAAATGCAAATGAACGAATAACCATATAAACTAATAAACTTGTAATTAGTTCTATTGAATAGACTATGCAAAAGGATTACTACCAAAACTAATTAGAATCTAGAATGTAATAATGTACGGTTTTATTAAAATCAGAAGCTGTCTTACATTATGGTGGTTGATTTTTGTTCTCTGGATTGGATGTTTTAGTTGTGGAATTATCATTGTTCTCCTGGACAACACCTGTAGCATAAAATTCATTTGAAAGTAAAGTATTTGAATTTCTCCACATATGATTTATAGCTTGTCCTGCTGACCTTAATCTTGATAAGTTGCTTTCGACCTTTAACCTGTCGTTGTCTACATCTTTATTTCGATCATATCCCCTTTTGATCTGTTTTTAGATTTTATGTTTGTCTATGATTTCTTTCACTGGTTGAGAATATGGATCAATGTCGATGTGTTTGTTGATTGTTGATTCACCTAGGTGCCAAGCTTCTAAAAATTCTCTAGTGTTTTTAGTACTCCCTCTATCCAGTATTTCAACATTTTTTCTAATCGAATAAACGTCCATACTTGTCCGTATTTATTGATATAGGGTAAAAAATATCATGGAGTTTGACTGCTGATTCATATTCAGAAAGAGCGTTTTGCATTACAGAAAGTCATTATTATTCATCATTACTCTTGTACATTCCAAAGAATGAAGTGAAATAGATATTTACATATATATAACTTTATTTTGTTTGATAGGTATGATTACTCACTAAAATGTAATACGTAGACATTTTTCTAATTTATGCTTTATAAACTTTCATTGTGTTCGTTCAAACAGATAATTTGACTGCAGAATTGTGAATCATATCCACATTAGGCTTTATTATAATAGTTTATGTCCACTTTATATCAAGGGATTGTTGTAGCTAAAGTCAAAATAGATCGTCTTATCATCAACGTCTTATCACACATCAAAAAGATTAATTGTAAACAAAGTAGTCTTATAAAAAAGCATCATATATTTAACAGGTTTTGTAAAACGCTTCTTTACATAAATCTCTTAAACAATTTTAAATTGGGTTTTACACACTTATTAGTTTCATTAAAATTCTGCTCGTAGACATTGACGATCTTCCATCTTTGTTATAGTATATTTGTTGCACTAAATCATTTATGAAATTATTCTACAAGCATATTATTCAGAGTTGATTTGATATGAAATGATCTGCAACATGGTTTAATTGCTTAAAATCATAAGAGCCAAATTAAAATGAACTGACTTTGAATATTTCTGTTATTATATTTTTGTATGATTAAAATCACTATATTTAATGAGTATTTACATTTTTCCGCATTAAATATTATTGATATTTTAAATATTTCTTGAAATTCGTAAGTCAAAGACCTACTTTCTCTGCTAACTTTTTTAGTTTTCAGTTTATTCAGTTGGTCAGTCAGCAACAATCGCTTCGCTAGATTTGGAGAAAGGTGAAGGATTTAAGAAACGTGAACCTAAATCTGTGATAAAAACTACACACGAAGAAATACTGAATGATTCAATTATCACTAAACGAATTGATATATTTGTCGAAGAACTGCATAATATTTGTAAGTCGATGTGTTTAAACTTTTAAATCTCATGTTCATCCTAATTTTCTTCTGCTATTGCACTTTAATTTTTAATTGATAAAAAATTTTCAAAATCATTTGTTGAAACCTACTGATAGACCTAGGTTTTTCAGATGATTTTTCAGTTTATTGTTAATTCTGACTCTCAAGTCAACTAGTTTGGCTTTAAACAAATGTTCGGTCAACTAATAACAAATAAAGCAAGCTCCTACAAGTTTATCGAATCGATCGAAACAGTAGCACACGATCACTATTTTAGTCAAATCAGGCAGATATTCCGCATCTGATATTTTATAGCTCATATTTTGACATGTATCCCTGATATCACTTATATTTAAGTATCTCCATTATTCTAGATTGATATAATTATTATCTACATCCTCTCTATACTCAGTGGTCTAATCGAGATTATTTCATTGTCATTTGGAATGACAGTGATAATGTGACAATTAAAAAATCACTTAAGGGGATAAGCATTTTGGCTGGATATGTAAACTCATCAATCTGATCATAAAAACGTTCCTTTTTTATAGTAGTATTGACAAATTCATTAAGATGTCTACTTTTTAGACAAACCATTCAAATGATGCCTGAATTTAGATCGCTTAATAGAAACATATCAGAGCACCTTCGGCTTATTCAAGGATTACATTTTTATTTTAAAAATAAAACAACTGTTATGTGCTGTATTTATAAAAAATACACCAAATTACCGTTTATTTGATTTTATAATTTTAAAATATACTGTAATTTTTTGCATATACTGAGAAAATTTTTTTTTGAATATTTAAAATGCAGTTGGACTGATTTACCATGCTCCAAAACAGAGCAAAACTGTCAAGTTGATTGCTTATATACAAATACTGGCCAGACCGTCAACTAGAGTGATAATTGGTTTTCGTGTTCACCCTTCAAATAGAGAAGTTATCCATAAAGAATGCAACATACCGATCTTTGTAGATTCAGATCGTATAGAGATGGTATGTAACTTTTAAGCGATTTGTTAAGTAAAGAATTTTAATTGAATGCACTTAGAACAATTAACGAAAATTATGGCATATAGTTTCAGAGAAATAGAGTAAAGTAGATTAATAATACATCAGTGAAATAAACCATTACAAAAAAGATCTTGAGATTTTTTCAACATTAACAAAGTCATCATAAATAAATATAAGCATTGAGTCATAGCAACCATATAATATGGTAGAATAATTTTAATATGCAAATATAATAATGATACGTTTGCATTCGTTGATGAGAGCCATCAACTTACCTGTAAACAGAAAAACAACAGGCTCACGTGTGCATCCTCAGGTCTTAAATTGGAATTGGACCAAGGACATTTATATGCACTAGACTAACGGCTAAGAACACATATTTCTAACCCCAATCGATTTGAGATTGAGTACAACACTCATTGACTACAGACGAGTCCTTCGCAAGGTCAAAACTGCTGCCCAATGCTCCTCAGTTTTCAGTGGCACTGAGATTACTTTGTGATGATTGTCACTCATAAATAAAGGTAATTTTCACAGATCCCTTTTCATTCAACTTAAAGTTTGGAATTATTCACATATTAGTAGTCGATTCTGCCTGTTATTAAGAATTGTACTCTATAGTCTCCACTTATTAAATAATCAGTGTATTAGCACAAACAAAAGTTGTTGATCAATTTAAACAAGACTTCCTCAAGATTTCATTTCAAATCCAAATTCCATACCAACAACCTAAGTTATTCATAAATTATTTAGTGTTAATTGTTAATCGTGAAACAATGAATATCAATGAATATCAAAACTGAGGAAACATGAATTTCGCAGTATTTGGAATTTTCCTGTTGATACCAAGAAGTGAGTTTTCATCACACACACACTCTCTCTCTGATGCATAATCATCCTGAGCAGATTGTCTCGATACTGACAAAATATAAGATTTTGAGCGAAAACAAATAGTGGCTAACGGATGAAGCCAAGAAGCTCTTTTGGTCCCATTTATAACCCGTCAAATAAATGTGTCTGGTTTTTCGTTTACTTTGAACACCAAAGATGTTATCCACTTTACTCCTGATCGGGGACGATTCAGAATACGATGAAATAGGTACCTCAGATCCTGTTACGCATGTTCAAGAATGTTTCGCTTCAAATTTACTGAAAATTACTTGATTACATCGTCATCTTTCGAACAAAACTTTCGTAAAATTTTTGTAGCTGATAAAAGTTGAATCCTTCAAACTAGTTTTTAAAACAACTATTGTGAGTATCTGATCGATATTCAACTTTATGAAATAAAAAGTAAGTCTCTTCAGCAGAGAAAAGCCTTACCTTTTCAGCTCTTATAAACGCGCCCATACTGATTTATTTCGAAACACCCTACATAATATTTCAGTGATGCTATAGTGAGTTTTTCATCTTTATCATTGCTTTAGAAACTTTCCGCACTAATGGTTGGTCTTATTTGTTAGATGGCTAAATTGGTTTACCTTTTATCAGTTATTTTGTTTACACTATACTACTTAATTTTAATAAAAGTAGCATCATTCTACGAATTGTTTTACGATCTAAATAGGCAGATTATCATCAAATATTGAACATGTTGCTATTGTTTTCGTACAACAGCACTACTGGGGAAAAATTGGAATGAATAAAAGGTGATTACTTACTCAGTATATATATTTACATTTCCAAATTAATCAACTCACCTTACCAACTAACCCACTATGGGACCACACATAATATGGGACAAAATAATAAAATGTAACAACAATAATTATGTACTAATAATTACTAAATATCAAGAATACCAGTTAATGGGCATGAATACGCTATAAAAATCCCGAAATATAACTAGGAAACTATTTTCAAGCATTAATTAAATTATAAATATACTGTCATTTGTCATTTTTTGAAAAACATTTTCAATTGCTGATAATTTTAAGCTTCATAGTATGTAATTTTATTTTTATTATAAAACTAATAATAGCTACCACCACACCTTGAATACAATCATTCATCTATAGCTGAAACAGAAAAATTCGGTGATATTAACTTTACAATAAATTTTCCTCATTCGTCAAAGCAAACATATTCATTAAAACTGAAATTTGATAAGTTTATACTTGGGGAAATATGCTATGCAATTATTACGGATATTGGGGCTGGAATTAAGCGAAGGTTTCCTGGTGTAAGTTGAACTACAACACTTTTCTTATTAACTTGGTTATCTTTTACAATATCTATTGAAGACAAATAGATAGATTTATTTACAACAATATTCAAGCTAAAACCGCACGAATTGTAAACAAAACTCACAAAAAAATCATTGCAGTGTTTTAATTTTAGAGAAAATATTTGCATATTGAATATAAAAGCGAATAATGTATCAAGATACAACACTATATCACTTTTATTTTGTACTATATCTTTTAGTTTCATACTAGTGGTTCTATTGAAAAAAATTGAGTGAAGCAAAAGCGACAGAATAATAATGAGTTTATGGTATTTCGTAACTTTTCTTCTGCTCTCCTTACGTATCTTATTCGCACGTAAACTGATTCGCCTCATTACGTAATCAGTTTTTTCACCATACACGTGGCATGAGTTCAGGAGTTATGAAGCAAAACATCGTTTGATTTATTATATTTATGGTTGATTTTTTATGACTAAATACTTTAGATAGTAGTATCGAATAGGATGACTAATAGAGACAAAAATTGTCAGGTTTCCGAATATAGGAATTTCATATGACCGAAATGTTACTGTACTATAGTTCACTGTGAAATAAACTGTATGAACTGATTTTGACTATGTTATACTTCAACATTCTTCATACTTATAACGGAGAGATATTATTGTACAAGTTGATTACTCCGAATTATCCAGAATGTCTAATAAAATATTTGATTTATTGAGTTAAATTGCCGTTATATGTGTTTACTTATTTCCTTATAAGGCAGTTCATATTTCTTTCTAGATGAGACTGCATACAAGATATTCGACCCATGGAGAAAATAAACTAAGGTCTGAAGCAACAGTTTATCTGGGGTTAGTGGAAAATCAAACAAATAACACCGCTGAATACTTCATTAAATTAAATGTAAAAATAAAGCCCCGTCAAGAAGAAAGTCGTCTTGATGTAATCTCTACACAAATAGTAACTGATTTAATTTCAGGTTCGTGTCAAAAAGTTACCAAATCAGTGCCTTTTCAACTTATCAAGTATAAGCTACAAGTTATTCCAGTGAGTTTTTGACGAAATAAATACTGACTATTTTAAAGTGTTTCACTCCTAGATGATTTCAATACTTTAAGTTATTTCTGTAAATATTTGTCTCAACTCACATTCAAAACTGCTAGTCTACTAATTTTAAAGAATCATGTCCTACTGTCTAAATATTTTTGCGAAGCGGTTGAATTATTTGTCGATTCTTTGTCGTTTTTTGAAATTTTTATCAAAAAAGAAATGCAAGGATAAGTTATTAATGGTTTTGTCCAGGATTTTCAGAGAAAAATTATTAAACTGCGATAACTATACTCATACAGTGACTGAAAATGTTCTTAGGACACGGAAAAATCAAAAAATTAAATGCAGATATACGATAAACAGCTTACTCTTGACTTTGATTAAAAAACGAAATAACATTTATATGCAAAATCTGATAATCTTGGTTTTTATTTGCTAGTAAAAAAATTGTTAAGTATCAAGAGAATAGGTCTTTATAAGATTTTGAAGATTACTTACTTACTTACGCCTGTTACCCCCAATGGAGCATAGGCCGCCCACCAGTTTTCTCCAACCAACTCTGTCCTGGGCTTCCCTCTCCAGTTCTGTCCAATGTTTGTTCATTCCTCTCATATCTTTCTCTATTTCTCGGCGTAATGTGTTCCTTGGCCTTCCTCTCTTCCTTTTGCCTTGAGGGTTCCATGTGAGGGCTTGTCTCGTGACGCAGTTAGGTGCTTTTCGTAGTGTGTGTCCTATCCACTTCCACCGCTTCTTCCTGATTTCCTCCTCCACTGGAACCTGGTTTGTTCTCTCCCAAAGTACGTTGTTGCTGATGGTGTCTGGCCAACGAATCCGAAGTATTTTGCGTAGACAACTGTTAATAAACACTTGTATCTTCTGGATGATAGCTTTCATAGTTCTCCAAGTTTCCGCTCCATACAGTAGAACTGTCTTCACATTTGTATTGAAAATCCTGATTTTGGTTTTGGTTGAAAGTTGTTTGGAGTTCCAGATATTTTTCAACTGTAGAAACGCAGCCCTTGCTTTACCGATCCGCACCCTCACATCTGCATCGGATCCACCTTTCTCGTCGATGATGCTGCCCAGACATGTAAAAGTGTTAACGTCCTCCAAGGCATTTCCATCAAGAATGATCTTGTTGGTGCATGTTGTGTTGCATCGGAGAATTTTGCTTTTTCCTTAATGTATGTTGATACCTACTGCTGCAGAGGCTGCTGCTACACTGATAGTCATCTCTTGCATTTGTTGTTGCGATTTTGAAGATTGCTGAATTTAATTGAAATCAATATCAGACCACCAGTTGAAACCTGAAAGCACTGAACTACCGTTCTGTCCGATTATGGGACTCATTCACGACCCCGCAAGTGGTAATCAAATCCATATCTGTGGGTCTTATACGTGAACGCCTAACCTCTTGACAAATGAGTCAGCATCCATTCGTTTTAATGTTTAGCTTGAACAGATCTACAATATCGTGTGACCTCATCCACCGTCCTCGGTAGTTAACTGCCTCACATCCTACACAGCTAAAATTCGTTCGTGTCTTGAAGATGAATTGATTTATTTAGTGTTTTTTTCATCTCGACATCGATTATGCAAAAACGTTTCGCGAAGTATAGATTGTAAGTAAATAGTTTTCATAAAACCTGAGAGAATTGGAAATCATACCCTTTCCCTAATGGCTCTAAGAGTTTGTGTTTTAATTTAAACGAAAATTGCGTTTAACATGAATTCAGATTTCTGGACATATTCTCGGTACCCATAAGTCTGAGACACAAAGAAAATCTTCAAACTTGACTTTTCTGTGTACAATCATTTGAGCTTTATATTTTAATTTGCTTTATATTGATCCTTTTTATTCTAGTCTGAAAAACGGCCTATTGTTGTCCTAGCTGTTCGCACTCCTACAACACAAGTTCCTACAGAAGGCTATTATACAACACTTTTTGCCGTTATTACGTGGTCTGAGATGATTGTATACAGTCCAGTACGCATAGTTCTTCAAATGTTTTCTCATGATTCGATGCTAGTTGAACAGAAATTTTGTTCCATAGGTAAAGCTTTGGAAACAGTTGTCCCAATTAATGCTGAAATGTCTATTAACAGGTAACAAAAAAATAAAATACATTATAGTATCCAAAATGAATATTCTCTATAAAATTAAAACAAAAACTCCAAAATGTGAAAGTAAAATTAATAATAAGTTTTACTGTTCATTAAGACAGACAATTCTCGTGAAAATTAGGTTCCATCTTTCCGTAAATTGCAGAAAGTATCATGCACTTAAATTCAGAGTTAGTGATATTTAAATTAGCACAACTTTTTAAAAAACGTTTGTTTTAGATTATTACTCCTTACTTATAATCCTTAAATAGTTATCAACTAACTGATTGAAAATAAGTCAAGTGAATGATAGATCAACTTTTAAGGTTTGAAAGGAATAATTATCAAGTCCTTCTAGAGGAGACTAAAATAATATTCTAACACTTATTCGGAATCATAAAACGGTAGAAATGTTGTGTAAATGGGAATAAAACTCCTGAAATACTACTAAAATGAACACAAATTAGATTGTGCATATATGAATACTAAGTAATACTACAACTATTGAGTCTTCTGTTCAGTTATTCCATCCTTGATGATGGACGTGAACTAAAATATATTTTTGTTATGTCGAACTGGTATTCACTGTTCCATTTGCATCGTCCTATGACTTACACTTGGAAACGAGAAACGAATATAATTCCCACAACGCTAATTAAGAACAAAAAGACTGGGTTAGAAGTGAAGATTTATTCCCGCCGAAAAACGATAACAACCGTAGTCGAGACTATACAGCTTTAAGCACTGACTTGCACACCGATTTGATTATTTACTAGAAAAAAAGTCACATGACTGCAATGAAATCACATGCTACATTCCATGCTGAACATAGTTCATATTAGTTCAATACAAAGAATATCATATCTTATGTAAACAGATCACCGAAATAAAACAAATATTAAACTGAGTAAATATCACACTGAACATAAAACAGATATTACCATGAGTAATTACATCGAACCTAACAGAAGTAATGTTGAATGGAAATCACAGGGTCAAAAATGTAATTTGCTTTTTCATCCCAACATATCGATTTTTCATTAATTGCTTCATTATTTTCACATCTTAAATGAGTAGGCAAACTGAAAAAAAGTGTTTTTCTAATTGATATCAGAAGATATATTCATGATGCTGCAAACCTAATATTAGATCTTATGAATGTTAAGTCGACAAGAAGATAGTGATATAATTATTCTTAGTAAATACTTCTAATCCTTTATCATATAATAATATAAATAAATTGGCGAATCACCTAGCTTTCAATACATCGTAAAATAATTCCTATAACTATCAGTGAACAACCACTTACTTATTATCTGTCAGTAATGTTTCTACTAATGAGATTTATACAAGTGTACAGTTTACAAATGAACAGCCAACGAAAGGTACAATTATTAGTTCATTTTAATAACCGTTAGTGAAACTTAATTACTCGTATTATTAAGTCAAATTATTCTCACTCAAACACCTGTAAGCTCTGATATAGCGGTATTTAAAAACCTATCTTTTAAAACCAACAAATTTTCAAGCCAAAATAATCCAATATCGAACTTTCCAATTGTTTATCCCTTATTACAAGCAGCAATGTTGGACGTATTGAGCTACCTTCAGTCTTTGTACAATCAGGTAATAATTACACTCATGAAGAACGGTCAATGACGATCAAATATGTAATAGAAATCAATGAGATTAAAAACATTACAGTAAACCTGGATGTTCTATTTAACGGAGAAAAGATTTCAAAACAGATTACATTTGTTCCTGATTCTTGCACATTGCCAGCTCCATTAGTAAGTTTATTGCAGTATTATTCCTTTACAATAATCACGCATATCCCTATAATACAAGTGTCAAATTACGTTTACATAGTACGCTTCACAAACTAGTGAAATGCATAGCACTAAGTGGATGTATTTCTTTTGATTTCCATGAATATCAGCTTCATGATCAATTTCATGTGCCATATTTTACATACTATCGACAATCAAAAATAAAAATTAATCTGACTAGTTTTAGATTTGAACCAATTTAACCCTTCGTTTGTTAAATCAACAACCTGTCCCGGTATTGTGTTTCAAATATATCCCATCAAAATTTTGTAAACTAGCTACACTAACGTCAAAGTTATAAATAAAAATTGTACATGATAATATATGACATTGCATAACATTATTTTTTTCAGTTAGATATGATGTCAATTAGTATGATGGACATGCGTGAAAAGAGTAAATTTTCTTATATATATTTAATTGATATTACCAGCCTGGATCTTGAATTAATCATGTTTTAACTGCAACGACGGTTAGGATTGTTTATTGCTGACTATAGCTCCATTAAAAATATCTTTCTAGTCGAATTTACTTACAATTAATTTCCTCCCAGTTAAATTGTAGTTTTACTTTTATAGTCTGTTGATCAAAGACCATTTGCACTGCTTCAAAGTCTTCTCATAAGTCGTGCAGATAATTATGTGCATCCAGATTCATTCAGCATTATTATGGCAAGTATAGTTCTTTCTCCAAGAGCTAGGCAGAAATATACAATGAAAATTGAAACATCTAAAATTCCAAATGAGGTTCAATTGTTTACTCCTAAAATTTTGGACACTGGTTTGGCGATAACTTCTTATAAATTTCAGTTTAATGTAACAAATAACACAGCATATGTAGAGATTGGTAATCAACAATTCGAAGGTGAGATGCTATTCATATAACTTTTAAAAATGTGTTTTCGCCTTAAACGGCTTGTTTTTGTAAACTTTAAATCACAATTAATTTATTGGCTCAGAAGAAATGACTCGCATTAGGTCTCAAAATTTCAAAACTACAAATTTCTGCTTATTGGGATACCACTAAAAATATAATTATTTTATGTTATTATAAAGCATAAAGTATAGATTTAATCTAATGTTCATGATTTTGTGTGTTTTCTTAATAAGAAAATTAAATTTCGATTATTGTTTTTAATTGATTGGCCAAACGTATTATTTTTTGATTAAATGCCAGATACTTTTCTGAAAACTGACGAGAGCTCAGTACATTCATACATACGTTGATAGATAAAATTTAAACATTCTGTTCATTGCTGTCAAACACATTTATCATTTACTAAAAGAAACAATGAAATCTTCCATGCAACGGTACTTGTATAACTTTAGCTTCAGCATAATTTGGGTTTTATGTGAGTTTGGACGATGAATTCCTAAATCTGATAAAACGTGAATATATTTTATTATCAGAACTAGTAATATAAAAGTGTTTACGTTATTGAAATTAATGTTCGTTTATACTTCTTATTAATAACTCCGCATATAGACCCCTTCGAGGCTACTGCCGATCCCATGACCGGATGAAGGAGGAAGGTTGAGATGTGGGTTGACGACCCTGTCCCGGAGAAAACTGACTTGCCAAAAAAACTCTAACAAGAAAAAAAATGATTCAAACCAAACTCTGCTCTAGGGGTTTGAAGGTCTTCATTTAGAAGAATCATGACATCTAATCATGGAAGCCGAGTTCCTTCGGAAGTCACGAGGCCGATACCCCTTCTGACAACCAGAACTCTTCCACGGTGTCGGCAGCTGGGAAGTTAAATCCGCCCTCATACCCATAAAAGCACGCGAGACCGAAATGGTCACAATGATAAAGCTTCTTATGAGTATATATATATATATATATATATATATATATATTTCATTACTTTGTGGGTACTTAAATTAACCAATAATAAAACCTTTAAATTAATCAGGAACTCTTATGTATAGTTTTTGCACTTGCAATAGTTAGTTGTCGGAAACATACTTAGTAAGCTATCTACCATTTACTACGTTTGTAAGATTGAAACTTATTTTAGTTACAAAATAAACAGATGTAACTGATTCTATGATAAGATATTTTCTGTTTCTAAAAATAAAAGCATTTGCGAAATCAATGAAAATGAACTCTTATCAATTAGTTGAAAACGGCTGAAAAAGAAGTAACTTACTGAATGCCAGTGAATTTATCCACTTTAAAACTGTTGACTATTTATTCCCTTTATGATTACCTTGATGATTTATTTTTAGAATTCATTATTTTTGTCAGTAAATTACTTTATGGAATGAATTTACTTTCGGCCTAACAAATGCTGTCATAATTAATCGTTACAGTAGTTTTTATTCATTATTATTACTTTATTTAAATTTGGCAATTATTTTGTGCAAACAAACTTAACTTATTTCTGAAAATTTTATACATCTTTTGTGTATCACAGATAATCGAGGAAAAGACGGCGCAATTTCCAAAAACGAACCTACATCTATTAATATCATAATGCCGATGAGTATTAGTTCAAGCGTTTCAAATTCCATCGACCTAAAGCTTGTTTTCCCTGGTAGAAATAATACTTACGAATTACCATTTATCTTTAAGATTGGTCCTTCGCAGGTAATTTTTAGTTTCCTTAATTTCAACTGTTCATTTTGAACAGACTTCTGAGAACTAACAACACTTTCTACTTGAAAATTTTATACAACATTAATCGATCAGAAGAACTCACTCACTGAATATTGAAATAGTATGATTGTCTGCAAACACCATTTAGTGCGGCTGAGAGTTTACCAACATACAAAGCCATAAAATAATTTATTTTATTTTTTAAAATGTATTATAGGTTAATAATATTGTAAATTTGATGAATATGCTAAATTATGTGGGATTTCGGTGCATCTAACAGAAACATACATGTTCCTTACTACTGAATAGTTTTTTGTGTTCATCTCTATGTCAATAACTTGTGAATAGATTAGTGTACCAAACAAAAATTTTCGATTCTTAAGCAAAAACTGTTTGTACTCTTTTTGATGAGGTTACACTCTCTGAACTGGGCGGTTTAATTTTAATGCGTTATAAATAACTAAGGAGTTTTTAACGCTTTTTTTTACTAGGCTATGCCACCTACTATTCTGTCATCGATAACATACAAAATTGATGCGATAAATTTTGATAAGCGACCGGAGTTTAATGATATGCCTCTTACTCCAGGTGAAATTGGACGAATTTATAATAGGATTTATTTAAATTTACCGAAATGCGAAGAATATCAAATATCGTTTTCTACCTTACCTAATTCTCTCTGGCCTGTTGATATAATTGATATTCGTATATTGGATGTTAGTAGATACCTTTGGATTTCCGATTTATCTGATTATCAAGTTATTTTTTCTAGTAGGTAAGTTAAAACTTGAATAAAACTTCTGAATTGCGGTCAAACAATTTCTGAAAGAAATATTTCTCAAAGAAACACTTATGATAATAAGAGAGTAAGGTATATTTGATTAATAGTTCATAATTTCAAAGTCGTTTGATTTATAAGAACATTGATTCAATAGATGTAAACATTACTAGATGATCTATGTTTGTAGAACTGTTACAGGTTTTGCAATGCAAGAATTGTAAATTCATGTATGAGTTATCTGAAAATTTTAAATTATTCAACTGATAAAAAAGATGAACAGTGGTGACCTCTGAGGACAACTGCTGTAGAGCGGACACAACCTAAGTTAAAATAAGACATTAGGGCTTGAATCGAAATGAAAGATCAAAGGTAACTAGCAAACCATGAAAGTTAACCTCCACTTGTGACCAGATTATATTGGTGATGACAATCAAACGGATGGGCCCATTAATTCTGTATTATTATGAACTTTATCTGATATCAAATGAGATGAATCGATCTGCAACGAACATCATAAAGTAACTGATTACATTACTTGTCAGTAATGATTCTTTAATTGCGAATTTCCTAGAGTAGCGTTTTATTGATGATTTAGTAGTTTACCCTATTTTAGTGATTTAATTCGTGTGATGTATACTATTTTTTATTTGGTGCATGGAGTTCAGTTGAACTTTGGATAAAGCTTTGCGTTATGAAACGTTTAGTTCTAAGTTTGAGTTTCAGTGAATATAAGTTCCGGAATACAAGTACGTTTATTTAAATGGTCCTAAGTAGGGCAAAACACCCAGCCCGGGTTCCGATTCCGGACTGTGTATGAAATCACATTCAATTTCTGCACTGCATTTGACTTTTTTTCTTTATATAGACCTGGTTCAACTACGACTGATACAGCTTTAATGAAACTAATGATCTGTGCTCCTGCTGGGTTTGGAAATGATGTAAGTTTGGGATTCCAATTATCGTGCTCAAATTTACGAATAGATAATTCCCAAAGAACGAATTGCAGACCAATTAGTTAAACATAGTGATTCCTAAGCTGACTTGAAACACAAGTTCCACGTAACTCAATTATGCATACTTCTGGAAGACGAAGGATTTTTCAACATAGTTAAATGAGGAAGTAAAATGATCCAATTTATTTAAAATAGGATGAACTCATAAATTATCACTATGATGATGATTTTTATGTTTGTGAGACCCAAAAGACAAATTTAATTATCGAGATAATCTTAATCAACTAGTATAATATATTATCTCATATATAACCATCTTAAATGAAATTAATTTAATTTAATTTAACAAAATACAAGACAATCAAATAGGTTATGAGTTAGAATTATATGTCTGGGAGAAATAAGAACGATAAATAAGCAAATAGTTCCTTAAAATATTAAAAGTAATCATCGAATCATTGAAGTTTAGTGTGTTTAAAGAAATCTTTAGCATTAAGATTAAGAAAGGTCACCATCATTTCAACTACCAATACACAAAGTACAGCCAGTTATGGTTTAAAGCTGAAATTGTAATTAAATTAAATAATTGAAACCTAAGATCTAAAAGTTTCCTCTGTAGCAAACCTACTCATATCCAACAGCGAAACTATGTTTGCAAGTTCTAATTGGAAAGTAATACTACGATGAATACTACGATGATAATTTGTTAAGAGAGATAGATATACAAGACAAAAATAATTGTACTTTGTTTTATGGTTTTCGTTAATGAAGTATTTGAATAATATTGAATAATTAACTCTTGATATTTCATTTTACGTTGAACAATGTTTTAAATAACTACTTCAATCGCCTGGCCTTTAGTTTTCAGCTTTTTATAATATTCATTAAATTAACTTTATTCAAGTGATATTCCAATTAGTTCATGAAAACAAAATTTTTCTATCCAAAAAAAGTAAGAGTTTATCAAGTTTAGTTGTTCCACTTAATAGTACAAATTACGTTAATCCTCATTATCAATGAAATCAATTTGCGAAAGTACTTATAATGATTTTAAATGCTTGAAACACGTTTTTATAAGGTTTTCATACTAATTCAGTAGTTTGCAAAATGTAGTCTACCTTTGTTTAAGTTTAAAATCACTGCAATTGTTTTTATCATTTATTATACATAGATACGAATCGATGTATTTGTTCGTCCATGGATTCGAAATAATAATAATGAAAAATTAAAAAGTCAACATAGTGTTCAAATCAACGGAAATATAAAAATTAGTAGTACTAACTCTGAATTTCCTCTCAATGCATGTACTTTTAACGTTTCTGGTGAGAAAATCATGGAGCAATACATCCTTCAAACTAATCAACCTTCAAGTGTTAAACAAGTGAGTTTCAAGATGTTTACAACTTTAGCTTTTTATTATGAACAGATACAAAGTCAACGATCTAATTATTTTCGATGGTTTTTCACAAATCCTACTAGGTTTCGCAATTTATATCTCCTTGTGGTAGGAATGAATAGACAAAGTACATTAGGCAATCAGTAATTACAAGTTTAAAGATTAGAATTCCTGCTATACATTTAAAAGTAATTAATAAAACAAAATATACTGGAAATGTAATTAATTTAACTAAGATATGGTTGTCATGAATAACGTTGTTTATAAAATGTAGAAATATTAGGGAGGTTGTTTTGTTCCTAATGCATTCCGGCTATATAAAATCGCCTTCAGTGCACACACTAATGAGTATGTAACAAATAAATTCTAATTTAATAAGTTTATAGCTTGCTGTTGCACATAATTGTTAAATTTTTCTGTCAGAGATATTCATAAATGTGTGATAGTGCACAATGAAACATTGTCTCTGTGATCATTGCCTGTTTTATACCAATGACAATGCACCAAAATGATATTTTATCTGAAAATATACAGTTTAAACACTACTGCCGTGTAAATTTAAATAAGGATATTCTCATTACAAACTTTTTCATTTCAATTTTCTTTTAAAAGCCAAAACTACCGAAGTTCAGTCCATCAACTTAAAAAATACCAATTATCTCATCAGTTAGATATAAAATTTTCTTGTAAATACTATTCTAGTTTTTTTTTCCTGAACATTATTCAAATGATCTACTTATTATAAACAATTAGTTTAAAGTACGGAATTGGCTAATTTAATTTTTTTTAAATAGTTGGCATCAAAAACAATGTTTATATTTTACCAATGCATCAAACATTGAATCAATTGAATTTCGTTAAGCTTAAGTTACATTTATTAGAAAATTCAGCATTCTTTCAAAAATTCTTTTACAGACATAGTTGGGATAATTTACAGCTTAGATGAGTGCTTATGATTCTGCTGTGCTTTATTTTCGTAGCAATGATTTAACTGAGATTCCTTCATTGTCGTTCTGAACGGTACTACCAACTCTTACATTTACTTCATAGAGAAGTGAGAATGTAAATAATTTAGTTCAAAGAAGATAATCAAAATCTTCGTTGATCTAGCACTAGTCCCGAACAGTGTATTATTCCATACAGATTATATTCATTATGGTAGAAATAAATTTATTCTTCAGGTGTTATTCAAGTTATCTATTGAGATTAATTCTGTTTAATATTCTTCAGATGCTTGATATATCGGCTTATGCAACAGACAATTTAACTCGACAACCAGGGGAAACTACCGAATTCACATTTCTTATTAAAGTTCCAGAAAATTCTAAATTGCCAAACTGTTCAGTTGGATTTAGTTCCGGTCATAGTGAAATAAATAATGAATCAGAATTGACTATTTTAAATGTTGACATAGAATTCGGAGGTGTATTTCGAACTTCACAAACTGAAAAATTTACAGTAGAATACACATCCAAGTATCTTAATGGACAGAAGGATACAGCATCAATTGATTTTGGCAGTTTGGTCAATCCAGGTACGTATTTTGAAGTTGTTGATTAGTATCTAGTATACTTTCTCACTTATCTCAAATCTGATAATTTAACTAACATACTACAGTGAATAATTTTCATTAATAACCAGTCGGAAATAAATCGACCGGTCGGTTTTCTAAAAAGTATTCATCTGAACAATCCACTGAACGTGTGTAAATAAATTTCTACACACAAATATGTTCCTATCATTAGAGACGAGTCTCGCTGTTATTTAGAAAAAATGATGAGTTAGTGCATAAAGAGGTAGAAAATTAACTCAAATGATATCTATACAAACATCTTTAGTAACAACTTTCTAAATTATGACTGTAATGAAATAAGACAAAGACAAGTTTTTTATTCACTGTGATTATTTTGATCACTTTCGTTTTAGAGTTGATTCAATGATTATTCACTGCGGTATCTGTTTTATCTTCAGTGTTGTACCTTGTATGATATTCATTTTATCTAAATGTAGCATATATTCAGTAAAATATGCTTTGTATTATTTTTTACTCAGTCACAGAGAATATGTTTTTTGTAGAAATCCTGTGTAGTGTTTGTTAACTAATGATTAAATGTTATTAGTATCAATATATAAGTGAGTGAATGTTGGTTAACGTTATCGTATTTTGTGAAGATTAATCAAAATCATCTGCATTAGTTTTTTCTTATTATTTTTCTAAGTTTAAATCATTGTGTGCTCCTCTTCCAAGTATTCAGCATACGTAATAACAATAATTTTCAGATGGATCGGTAATCACTAATGAGTTGATATATTAGTTAATGGATTGTTGCGTCAGAGAATTTTCCCATCAGTGCAAAAGCCAAACGATGTAATTGCATAATTCTCCGTTAATTGTCCATAATTGGGACAATGATCTACAAAACAAGCTTATTAGTTAGCTTATTACATGTGAACAGTTTTAGAAATACAATATCACCTAAAAAAGATGTTTGAAATTCAAATGGACTTGACATAATGTTGCGCTGCATTTTTCCTTTCTCAAGGTAGTTTTAATGGACGCTTTCAAAATAGCATAAAAATTAATGTCACTGCTCGTGTATCCGATAGCAGAGTGGTAAATAATGGTTCAAAAATAAAGTTAATTATGATGGTGAATTTCGGAAACTTCACAGGAACTACAGAAATCTTTCAGCTGATTAAAAGAAAAGGAAGTGAAAGAGCAATCATCTCTACGGATTTGCAAGAGAAGCATGAAGTTGGAAAAGATAAACAATAGTATGTTCTATGCATTAATTAATTGGAAAAGTGTCGAACTAATAAACGTTTGACCAATTTTATAGTCAGATCTTTTTACAAAATCATGTGATGTATTGTTGAAAGCTTCCTTTAAAAAGTTGGATGTTTCCGTTTGTATACAAACATTTAGTACTAAGTCAATTTTTATAACCCTTTTACAAGCTTATCAAATGACTAGAATTACTGTATTTTAATAGACAGCAGAGTATGGTAAACATCTACCAAATCACAATAAAATGAATAAATTTATTTGGTTATTCATTAAATATTCAACATGAATGAAAATGAACTAACATCTTACTAGGTTTTTGTTGGATAGTCAGGACTATTCAGCTAACCACAATCAAACTCAACATATTCAACAATTCGAAAATAGCTTAATAAATTAAAAATTAGTTCTGATGAAACCGTTTATATTAATGATAACTTATATAGACAGTAAACTGCATATCATATAAAGTTTATAACTCAAAAATTTATTGTTTTTCTTATTCAGGTATTTGTATTATTTTTAAAAAGTATCGACATTATTCCAACCAACATTCCATGCAGTTTATATGAAATGTATAAATTTTGATCTCTAAAACTCTTTAGACATTATAATTACGACATAAAATACAGCATTAATTTGAAGCAATAATCACTTACTTTGTTATCAAAAGATTAATTCATCAAAAATTACAAAACATCTGTGAAGTTTTGTGAACATATATGCATTTTTAACGAGGTTTATCTAATCAGATTTCCATAAGTTACTTATTTAAAGGTTAGTTTACTGCCTATCAGTAACTATTTTTTCTGAACTACCCTGCTTTGTTAGTGAGCAGAACAGATATTTATTCAAAACATTAGTTAGTATGCTTCATGAATTCTTGTCGGATTTCGATTTACTAACGGTTTGATTTCGACTTCACCCTATGAATTTCCGGATCGACCTCAGGTAGTGAAATCGATCTGAATTAATGTGAGGTTCAGATTAAAACAAACATCTCACTAGTGCACTCTCGATTTAATCATTTAGCTATATCTTGTGTTTGAAAATTTATGGTTTTCGCTTAATTAATGTCCAACGGTTGTTTGATTCAAGAAATTTTGTTTCATTTACACTTGTTTTCTTCTGACAGTTATAGTGACGGAGATAAACTTATGTTAAATCTAAAGATTAAAATGGAACATAGCTCTTCTCTTGAATGTTCCAGACACACACTGAATATTTATCCTGGAGTGAGCGTGAAAAACGCAGAAGTTTCTTCGCTTCTGTCAGATCTCTCATTTAATTATTCTATTGTACCTAACACCAAACAATCTGGTCCACTGCAATTTAAAGTAAGTTTAATTACATGCAATTCGCAAAACTTTATCTTTATCATCAGAGATATATTTCTCTAATATACTAATATAGCATTAGCCAGAAGATTGTATACAAGGAAATCAGATGAAATAAATGAATTTATATTTTTAACAAACATTTGTTCACCGCATCCTTTACATTTGAAACGAGGAAAAAATGTTTTCTAAAAAATTCATTTGTTTTTTGTTAATAACGTCCTTATATCTTTTTTAAAAGAAAGCGAATTCGTTGTAAACTTTCTCCCGATCTTCTTAACTTCAGAAACTTAGCTATATTAGTTCGTAAGAATACCTGTCAAGAGCTGAATAAGTAGTCATCTTTATGAGTGTAATTTATTGTTTTTAAAATTTCCTTTGTCACTCAAGAACTTCTACAAAATAATTATTACAAGTAAAATTGTTGATGATGAATACGTTCATGAGAACCGTTATGATAAACGATTGGCGAATCATATTCAAATATTTTATCTGATTATAGGTGTGAATATGAGTCGGTCAGCACAAAATTCCTTTATATTTCGGTTTGCAATAATGTGTACGTTCATACATGCACAACCTAACTGAACTTGATAATTAGATAAACCTAGGATACGGAGTTATCACTCTATTATCAAAACTAGTTAAGGTCTTAAACAGAGTATTGCTAAACCGAATGAAAGAATTTGTAGACGCTTGACTTCTAAGTCAACAAACTGAATTCCGTTAGGATTGACCGCGTACCGACCGAGTCGCGACACTATGAATCATTGCTGAAGGATCATTTTAATTGAATTCGATACTATACGTCAACTTTATTTGATCACGTGCACAGTATGACATTACGGAGGCTTCTTCAACACCGCAATGTATATGAAAAGATAAGCAACATCTTACAGAACTCTTACGATCGATTAAACTGCAATACCGTGCATGCAGGACAGCTGACAGAACCATTCCTGGTTTAAAAAGCGGTGTTAGAAAAGGCCGCTTACTACCAACAAGCTCTTCTATTCCTCACATAAAAACAAATCCAGCTGTAGCAGCAGCTTTTGCAGTAGAAAGGCTCAACATACACGAGAGAAAAGGCAAGATCCTCAGATACAACACAACACGAACCAAATAAATCACACTTGACATATCGGCTTTGGAAGATGTAGAACCGTTTACATATCTGTGCAGCATCTTTGACAGATAACGTAGATCTGACGTAAACTTAAAGACATGAATTAGAAAAGAAAGAGCAGCATTTCTGCAATTAAAGATCTTCTGAAACTGAAAAGAAAGTCAGATTTTTCAATACAAACATCAAAACATTTCTAATTTTTGGAGCTGTGGATCCGTTGGCCAGACACCAACAGTAATAACCTACTGTGACAGAAAACAAACCAGCCCCCAGTTGATGATGAAGTCAGGAAGACGTCCTAGAATTGGATAGGGCACAAATTACTGAAATCACTAGACTCTGTCACTTGGCAAGATATAATTTAGAATCCTCAACACCGAAGAATACACGCTGAGAATTGGGGGCTGACATGAAAAGAATGAAGGGATTTTGAAACAAAGAGAGATAGGCCCGGGAAAGAGTGGGTTGAAAATTACTGGTCAGCGGCCTATGCTGCTCTAGTATGTATCAAAATGTCGAGCCCCTAAGGCTTGCCCCAGCATTTGGACAAATTAATTGATCCATTCTTCTCGAGTAATTCACGAGTCTTTTGACCTTGTCAGTTATTCACTTATATCTCCGTTGTTCTTATTTAAGTGCGTATGTGGATACTTACTTGCTTATAACTTATCTAGCCTATATTTTTCTGATTATAAATACTTAGTCATTTCTCACCGCAATGAGTTGACTGACTCGCTTTCTCCATTTTGCTTTGATTTGTTTGTACGCTTTTTATTCTCATGTCTGTCTGCTTGCTTTGAATAAACTTTTCCAACGGAATGCGTATTAGGCTTCTTATTATCGCTGTCGTGCAAACGGAGTTCACCTAGGTATGAAATACGTAACTGGAGGGAAGATTTATTTTATAGCATGTTTTATTGCTCATCCAAAATGGAGTCGGTTCGTGTGCCGCGAAAGTGGTTGACCCTACTTCGAATTCAACGCAGCCACCAAACTGCACAAGGCATGACAGCCATAAGTGAAAAGTAATATAAAGAAGACTTTGACGATTAATCTAGTCAACGAATAGCGTGCTGATTTATAATCGGGATAATTCACAAGAGTATGTCATACTTCAGAGGACATAATTTATCATTTCGTTATTTCGTTCTCTTTCAATAAACAGTGAAGAAAAACTAGTTTTCTATTCTCCAACTTTTCTATGTTCGTTACATTACGCTGCGGACACTAACCATCGATATTTCTATTGTTGCAACACACAATAATGTCATAATTATGTGCTGAGGATCATCTCCTGAATGTTTTAATATATTTTGATTTGGAGAACATCATATTTCAGGTAACCGTTTACTATTCAAGAAACAAAACAGAGAAATATGTATACATTAAAATATTCATACATACTGATTAACTTTACTTTATATGGATAATAATAAAAATGCAAGTGTATGTAACTTGACAAAATATACTTTGCATGATTATAATGAATTAAGTTTCTTTAAGTGATATTATGAAAATTTCTGAATTTGAAAACATTCTCAGAAATTCATGATACAGTAACAAAGCAATATTTTGATAAATCTTGAGAAATATTTTTCATTTTTACTGAAACAGGGAGGTTTCATTCGCTTTGATAATGAAATCTCAGTCACAATCGATGTCTACTTCAAAGATAAAATAATTTTACCGCCACACAAGAAAACGGCAAAATACACCATTGTCACTGAGCTAGTTTGTATTTCCAATAACAGATCTGAACAAATTAACTCTTTCATCAGTCGGTTCTTGAGCAAAAAAACTGTTACACTTGCTGACATAAATTTTATCAGTAAGTTATTTTATTTTTTTTTGAGCGCATCTGAATTTGGTGTATTTTTCTGAGAATGTCTCTCATATTTCAATCCGAAATAAGTATGAAATAAACTGTTCAAGGTTCTTACCAATTCTACCGTCTAAAATTAGAAATAAGTATACAAAATATGAAATAGATTCTTTAATTTAAGTTTTCGTAAACAGTTTCCCTATTGAAAAGATATCGAATTCTGATAGATCACTAATTTGCTAAACAAATTTATTGGACTAGTTTTAGTAAAGAAAAGAGCTTTGAAATAAGTGGATTACTGAATAAATCATGAATGATATGAATTAGTTAATTTGAAATAAGATAACATCTACTCCACAAATGGTCGTTGTCTTGAAATAATGTAAAAATGTAATAATAAGACTTTAATTTATTCGTATAAATTGTGTTACCGATACCGTAAGAAAACGCGTTGAGCTTACATTTAGCATTGTTTTTGAGTGAAGTTTAGCTGAAGGAAAATTAATAGTAAATAAGTAATACAATGACTCTACATGCACATCGAAGGAATATAGATTTGACAGTAAACAGTCATATTAAAAACTTATACTCTTAGAATAGGGATCCAGAGAAATTTTGTAATTCGAAGTTGAAAACAGAATAGCTAAGTTCAAATAAATTGGAATTTATGATCTGACGAAGAGTAAAGTAATGAACAGAAACTGGTGTGAATTTATGATATCAAAGATGCTTTCAATACTGGAAACTTCATAATATTATACCTCTATTTGAAGGAATGAAAACGGTATTACATAATCACAAAGCATAAATATATGTAATGAAGGTCTTGAACAACAAACATATTTATATCACCAGTTATTTCAGCCATCATTTCATTCAGCTTTAATTGACTTCCAAATATAATGATTTCATTAACTAATAAACTAAACCTTATAACCTGTTTTTGCACATGAACAGTCTTGTCATAATTCCTCGCACTATGACTTCGCTAAATCCAGTTTAATCTACATTTACCTTCAGTAAAAAACAAAACGCAGTAGGAAAATCAGAAATATGATCCGCATGATTTGTTTAACTAAAAAAACATTTGATGACCTTTTTCTTGATTTACCAAATTATTAATTACTGAAGAGTGTCAGCGTATTTCTTAATCGACTTATCATGACTAACTAATACAAATTCGAGAAATCTTCAAAATCTAATAAAATTCAATTAAATCTATATATTTTATCTATAGAATTTAAGCAGTGAAAACCATTTTTCTAAAAGGAAAATATGGTATTAGATTCTCAATATTTCACATGTACATCTAAGAGTTTATTCATAGTTAGTCCTCTACAAACGCAAACACAAGGTTACATCGGTTTCACTGGATCACACTACACAAGACCAGATCGACCACATCTCCACCAATAAAAAGTTTAGAAGGACCATGGAAAAAGTGAGAAGAAAGGGAGGAATGGACACAACTTCAGATAACCACTTGGTGGCGGTCAAGATGGAGCTGAAGTTAAAGAAGTAGTAGACTAATGAATTTACTACATTAACAAAGTTTAGTACTACCTTCCTTCGAAATAGTGACAAACTTGGCAAGTTAAGTGAGTTCTCACCAATGAGTTCCAAATCTTACAAAATCTACTCGAAGAAGGGGCAACTATCATGGAGAACATCAAGAAAGGAGTTAAAGAAACAATAACTTTAATACGTCATGAAGTTTTCGGCCGCAGGAGAACCGCCATTAGGATTGGATCTCTGTCGATACATTGGATTAGGTTCAAGAAAAGAACAGGGAGACAGAAATGAATGACAGCCGATTAAAAGTCGAGTAGGCCAAAGTACAGACAGAAAACACAGAAATAAACAATCAAGTGAAGAAGCACCCTGGAGCTGAGGTGAAGAAAATACGTGGGAGAGCTAGCAAGCATAGCACAAAAAGTTGACAGAGGAAACACAAGACAAGCATACAAAGAATCTTTCTGGAAAATGTAGTCAGACAAAACGATCAGTGAAGAAAAAGAAGGACAAAGCAACCACAGTTATTCATGAACAGCGAGACAGGGGGGTCGAGTACCTTGAAGAACTCTTGACTAGATCGGCTGAAATGATTCCGCTGGTCATCGAAGCAACACCTACAGACCTGCCTACAAATGTTAATGCACCTATAGGGAAAGAAATCAGACAAGTCAAGAGTGTTTAAACTGCAGAACCAGACAGTATACCAGCTGAGACATTGAAAGCTGATACTGAAGTAACCGCGAAGATACTTCAGGTAAGATTTGATTGGAGGAGCAAGTATCAACAGACTGCGAAGAAGGATAACTCATTAAGATCTTGGTGAGTGTGAGATATACAGAGGCATCACTCTACTATCAGCACCCGGGAATTCTTCAATAGTGTTGTTGAACCTATGGAAAGCACCAGCAATTGCAAAGCAAGTGCAGCATCCCTATAATTGGAGTACTCCTGGGTCTCAAAAGAACTGTTAATCAACTCCAAAGTTAGAATTCTCAATCCAAACGTCAAGACAGTCCTATCGTATGGATTGAAAACTTGGCGAACTATGAAAGCCATCATTTAAAAAATAAAGCTGTTCATTAATAGTTGTCTGCCCAAGATACTGTGAATCAGTTGGTCAAACACCACTAACGTAACCTACTGTCTCAGAGAGCATATCAACTTCCAGTTGAGGAGGAAATCAAGAATACGTCATGGGAACGGATAGGGCACACATAACGGAAATCACAAGACTGAGTCACAAGGCAAGTCTCAACTTGAAATCTTCAAGACCAAAGGAAAAGAGGTTAACCAAAGAACACAATGAGCCGAGAATCAGGGGGAGGATATGAAAAGAATAATTATGAACTAGAAGCAGCTGTAGAGGAAGGTTCGTTGGTGATTACTGGTCGATACACTATACTCCACTAGATGTAACAGGCGCAACTAAGTAATAATCTAGAATAAGTACGGTTCTAATTTGCCATAATTTTGCTGTTTGAAAAATTTTCATATACATTTATTTTACAAATGACATGAATAAAATGAAAATCACGTATCCTCGCACTAAAATCAAATTTAAGGAGTTCTAAATAAGGATATAAATTTTACCATTTTCTTATCTAACTACAAGCATCTGTTATAAATTTATTAGTTACTTGTTTTTAATTCACTGATAGAAGTAGCATTAAACTGAAGATAACTATTTGGTGAGAAAGAGAACTGAATTATTGAATTATCTGACTAATATTATGATGTTATTAGACTAATACAAACCCGATAGTTGAAAAACAACACATAAATTCTAATGACAAATCACAAATTTATTTTAACCTGAATAACAAAGTTTTTTTTTGAATTATCAACTAGGAATATCTTTTTCTAAATATATTTTAACTGTGATAGTATTCTTTAGTTTTGTAAATTTTATTGATAAATTATGTTCTTTCTTTCTATTTACTTACTACTAGAAACCACAACACCACATTGTGATACTATTGTCAAACTTACAGAAAAGCGAAATATTGACAGTTGTCATGCTCAATCATTGTCCACATTGAGTGTCAACAATCCGATAGGAGGATCACAATCGAATTCTACCATTTTGCATCAACCTATAACCATTCTCTTCGATCAATTAGTATATATCAATCAGATTATTTTGATTTCATTAAATTTAAATAATAAAATAGAAATGCTAAATATTTCATCAACTACTGATGGAACATCATTTAAGCACATTCTGACGGTAAGCGTAAATTAAACAAGTTTTAAATCATCATTATGTGTATATGTTATGTTCGTCACTAAGTATGCTTGAGGCTATTACGAGTTTACCTTAGTCGATAAACGCGAACGAGACAATTACCAGCGTCCAGATAGGCTACCTTGAATCCCCAAATAGAGTAAAAAGGCTTTGAAAGCGTAGAAAGTATATTCTACAAACACCCAGCAATCACAGTACAATCAAGCACACAACTCTCGTTTATTTATACATCATAGAAACGTCCTTGGGACAGTTAAGAAAATAGCACACTAAAATACACAGCAGCCAATCACAGCCATGGATTTTCCTGGTGGGAATTGAAATCTCAAGGTCAACTGATCAACCCATGCTGGCAAACGTGAAATCCAAAATAAGGCATTAATCAAACGAGTTTTGGGGATCTAACATCCCCAACAGTATATATGCGAAAAATTTATTTAAACAGTTATATTAACTTCCACCGATTATACATGAAGACAAAATCACAAATTAGGTGCAAATTAGTGGTGTATAATTATTGAATCGTTTGAACGTTCTGTAAAAAACTCATCTAACTTTTTCATTACTAAATTTTCATTTTAGGTGGAAAACAGTATGACAAAACAGGAAACGAAAGATACATACTTTAATCCTTTACTCACTACAAGAGGGTTACATTTTATTGCTGTTCAGTCAGAAGATAATACGCTAAAAGCGAACTTTACAGTCAGAATTTACGGATGTAAAGCGGTTTGTGACCATGTGAAATTCGGTTAGTTTACAGTCTCTGCTTCATTTTTCATCTTTACTTCATTCATTTCAAATGTAAAAGTATTACCAAAATCAAACTTAAGTTTATCATTAATAAATATGAATACACGAAACACATATGGTTAACAGTTCTCAGGTACTTCCTAGTGAATAGCTTCATAAGGCAATTCTTAGAGTTCTAGTGCGAAGCCGTGACCAGTAGAGTTCAACCATGTAGGGTGTGAGGTAGTTCGATGTTGGTCTCACAATATCTTGGACTGATTAAAGTTAAACTTTACCACGGTTGGATTTCGGCTTAGCGGTAAAGAGATTTAGCATTCGTGTTCCAGAAAAAAGGTTCTGAGCTTGTGAGGTAGAGGATGTGTGCGTTTGACGAGTCCCATACTGATATGAAACGGCTGTTCAGTGCTTTCAGATTTCCAATGGCTGTCTGACATTGATCAATTCATTATTTCAATGAAATCATCATTAGAATACTGTGTTCATTATTACAATGTAAAATGGATTAAATACCAAATAAATTTATATATTTTTTCACACTCATTAGCATACTATCAAATATACAAGAATATCTTATATAAAAATTACCTGAAACGTAACGACATGAGAATAGCTTGATCAAACTCATTTTTTAACTGTACTTAATACTTTTATTTTGTACTGTTTCAATATGGGTTACGTTAATTTGTTTATTGATTTATTTTCTGAAGAAATCGCTTACAGTGTGTCATAAAACGTCGGAAAATCTTATTGTTTTCGCTCATTGGAATAATAAAAAATCTATCATTATTTTTATTATTTTTACTCAACGCTCAACTGTTTCCAAATTATCAAGTCAAGTTCATTTGATAGTTTGTATTTTGTTAAATAACAACTAAAATATTGTCACTTTTCGCTTGAAGTCTTGTATTTTGTTTAGTTCACTTGATATTTAATTATTTAGTTTGTCGATTATTGTATAAACTATTTTCAATTCTTATACTTTTCTGTATCTATATCTACAGATCCTTGTTCCAATAAATTTATTGAACAAAGCACAGAGAACAAATTAATAAAGACTATACTGATGACAAAAGAATTATTGATTTACTGTGATGCTTCACAATTGAAAATTGGAAATATTACAGATGAAAAGCATTGCTTTATGATTACTGGACCAGTCCCAACTACAGTGATAGGTAGATAGATCATTTGTAACCTCTACATTATCATTGTCAAATATCGAAACTTCAGCTTGGTACGTGTTGTTCACTTATTTTTGCACAATTTTTTTTCAGATATGGGACAGAAAATAACAGATATCATCATGTTACTAAAACCTAGTAATATTATCGCTGGAAAAAATAGTCATAATAATAGCACACTTATAAGTGAGAATATGGGAAAGTCATGGATAGTTATAAATCAATGGAAATTAAAAGAAATGTTATTGCAATCCTCTGAAATTATTCATTCATATGATACTCCATGGCATGATATTCAAAATAAATCCAATGGAGATCCTACAATCAATTTATGCAATGCAGATAGTGATCTATGGAAGTGTAAGTAGTTTGATAATTAAATAAATTATTATTCAAATGTATTATGAATCTTATTCAAGAGCTTCTAGATGATACTGATAAATTATTTCTTAAGTATTCTTCAGTGATTATTAAATCTGGAGTCTATAAAAGAAAATATGTAGAAAAACCAACTAGATGACTGAAGGAAGAAACATGAAATCCGAAAATAATTTAATTTATATTTTACTAAGGCAAGAACCGCATCTGCGAACCTAATAAAACAGTGATGCAGAAAATTTGAAAAAGCTGATACTAAATGTGAATCTTTTTGGTGGAAATATGTTTACTAAAATTTACCAGTTAACATTTTCACATTTTCTGTAACTAGTGATATATCTACATCTCTCTATGTGTAGATTTACGTCTGAAAATGTTATTTTTAACCAATGACCTAATGGAGACTGAACAGTTAAATTTTAGAAATACCTCAGAAATCCAATCGACATCTCGCATCACTGCATTTGTCACATATTAATGCTTTCGTTTGATTTTGTTTGTCAAGTCAATTCATTTCCGAAGAGACTGAACAAGTTGACTAAAAATCTTAAAGACTGTTGGTATATTTTCTGTATTGTAAGCATATGAGAAGACAGTTATTTTTATTTTATTATGAACAGTTCAGTGCTAATTGAAATGAATTTATTTTACCGTAACTTACTAATGACCCAACTGATTCAGTGACATAGTGTGGGAATTTAAAAGGTTAGCAAACAACTGTAAGATCTAGACGTAGAAACACCGGTTGATTTAGACAATTATCCAACAATTTTTATTACTGGAGAAAGTGTAGTGCCTCCACATTTATTCCAGTTTGCTTACATCTAACTTGGTTAAGCCCTTACAATTAATTTATTTAACCAAGCCATTTGTATAGCAACAATTTATCTGTATCATTCGTTCTTATTATTGTCTGGTTTGTATGAGCTCACATGATCTGTCCCACTTGTCATTTGACCTTGTCAACTATTCGTCGCTTTTATTCATGTGTGCCTATTTCGCTTGTCACATGTCTGTCTTATATTTGTCTGACTTGATAATCTTAGTCACGCTTTATCTCTTTGAATTGGCTCATTAGCATTCTCCAACGCGCTTCACATGTTCATTCGCTTCCTTCGCCCATTCGTTCGCATTGTAATCCTGGGAGCTGGCTCAACAGCCTCCTCCAATTCACGTCGCTTCATTCGTTTTATTCGCTGCTTCTCCACTTCGCCTTATGGTGTGTCCCAAATAAACGTATCCATCACTACGAATTCTCCTTCTGATAGATAACCGTCAGACGCTACTTTGTGACAACGATTGTCCGGACGAGCTAATTACCGAGCTTAAGAACACGCAGAAAAATCGACACACTACAAAAGGTTCTACAATCCAGCCCTTAACAAGAAGCTCTTGTCATATTATCAGGTGAAGTAAGGAAGCTATAATACACATCCTACTGAATGATATGAATCTTCTTTTGAGTATCGAGATTTTATCATTTCTATAAACATTATATTCTAACTCCATTTTGATATTACTCGTAGCAATTTTCTCATAAAATGCTTGTTATTATTAGTCATTTTCGATTGTCTCAACAACTTGATTTTTCTTTATTTCCAGTTTGTTACAAGGGAATTTCATGGGGCAGTCGATTGATCACATATTGGAATGTTCAACAATAAACTTGGAAATTTAAATTTAACAGCTTATCACATACGTATTTCACGTTATAAACCAAGAATGATTTATGAAGTGCATGTTTACATGTTTATCAATCTCATTTAAAATCTAATCACTATTTAGTTTATAATTTCAAATGAATCCGCTTTTTTGTTTTAGATCTCTGATTTATGTAGTTCCTTAATCTAATGTCTATTTTTTTTAATTCTAAAACCATGGGTATTGTGTAACAGACTGATAATAATGCGTTATAGAATGTCTGATGTGGCGTACTTTCTATCTGTTTCGATGTTTGCATGATAACTGGCAAAAAAGACCGACAATGAAACCAACTGTGAATGAGTTAAGTAGTATAGGAATTCCGGACTATCAGTCGAACTGTTGAATGAAATGTGACTCGGTTTATACGATCCAATGAATAATGATTCAAGAGAACAAACAACAAAAGTGAAATCACAGCGAAAATGTAGATCTAGTAAATCACACGAAAAATAGCAGGATGTAATTAAGAGTTGAAAATGATAGGTAATAGTCATATGTTATAGGTTCTTAAATCTGTCCAGACAAGAATAACTTTGAGAAGACTTGCAGTAATGAGAGCTCGTTTCAGGCTGTTTATCTGTTATTCTCCACTTTGAAACAGTATAGGAAAAAACACCGTGCTTTTAACTCGAAACTTTTTTCCAATGGATGCTTTTTGAAGTCAGACAAGTAAAACGTTTTCGAACAGTAAATATATCCGTTATAAATCGAAAATTATACATGAAATGTCGTGCTCAAAGAGAAATTAGCATTCGATTGACTAACACTAGATTTATTGATCATAAATCTGGAGTTTACTGAGTAATATCAGGAAATTTTGTCAAATTACAAATATGCACCTTCTCAAATCATATTAGTTTTAAGAATAAACAAACACAAAAATTAACCGTTGATAATATTCAAGTAAACAGTGATCATTAAAATTAAAATGTATTATAGGGAATTCATAATTTTACTTTTAATAATCGTAAGAACGCTAGCCAAATGTCGATATAAAGTAAGATAAATGGTTGAAAAACACATCAAAGATACACCATTGTTCACTACTTGGGTAACTGGTATTAACCAGTGTACGAGCGTAAACTGAAATCACATTTGAATAGAGAAATAAGAAGACATATTTTGTGAGATAGTACCATTTCGTGCTTTCTCGTCAGTCACATACAAGCAACATGTTATTTGTGTAAATACTATTTTTGAAGATAAGGTCAAAATTTCTTATTTAGCATGACATTCACTCATTAGAACCTTATCTTCAAAAGCTGTATTTACACAAATAACATGTTGCTTGTATGTGACTGACGAGAAAGCACGAAATGGTACTATCTCACAAAATATGTCTTCTTATTTCTCGATTCAAATTTATCAAAGGGAACCACTGTTTTGAAATCACATTATCTTAAACATTTGTAAAGTGACGGTATCAGTATATTAAACAAATACGATCGCAACTGATTAATTCAATGACCTGTTCTTATCTAGTAAGAGCCTAGAATTAATTATGATCATAACTTTTGCTTTTTATGTGTTCACACTCATCAACAATTTTAAGAAGACATCCTACCAAATAGACTTTTTATTTCATTTGTGCAGACAGGTGCATCCATTTACTGAGTAATAGATGAATTATCATGTCCAAATACCTGAGCAATAACAAGTTTAGATATCTTAAACTACAAATAAAAAGTTACTGTAATGACTTGGAACTTCATTTCGAGGTTAAATTTAAATATACTCGCAAATATTCAAAAACAAATGATATTTCTGAGGCCAGTTGTTTACAATGACTTCTTCGCACTCCACCGATTAATTCATATACATTAAGGCATGTATAAACTAGTCATTGTGATGTATCAGCGTTGTAGAATACACTTATTAAGCACTAAAGAATCTTGGTAAAAGGTCAGACACGAAGGGGTAGGAAAATTTATTATGCCTTTACTTGATGACTTGTAATCAATGGATTAAACTCGTATGCAGAGATTTAATACAAGTTGAAGTCGGGTAAAATCAATATGCAGCTCTGTTCTATCACAATTAGTGGATAGTGTTCACATGGTAAGTTCCCTCTCCTACACATGAAGAGTAGATATTCAAGTTAATGACCTCAGTCTTCCAGATACCTCTATTCTTTCCTTCACTAAAGAAAACTTAGCACACAATCAGACTAAAGTTTTTTTCGCACTTGGTTTATTTCTCTTTACTTCTTTCACATCTCTTTATTACTCCTTTAATTCAATCGATAATTCATACACCACTTTTTAATGATCATTGTTTTATTCAATTTATTTAATCAAATATTGAGCTAATAAATTTTTTTGCTCTCTGTTTCTCATAACCATTATTAAATTTAACCTCACTGCTATCGATTGTTAATTCTTATTTTTCATGTTTGATACATTTATGTTATCTTTTTCGCTGTTACTAATAGTTTGTAAACTGCCTTGATCATATATAAATATGATTTTGATAAAACAGTGAGAAAACGTAATTGTTCTAAAAAAACGTGATGTATTTGCTCTATACATTAAACAAATTCACTTGTCAAGGCATTTTATATGAAGATAAACAAAAGGTCAATTAAATAAAAGTTCAAATAGACATACGGTGATAATTGTAAAAAAAGAGGAGAGAGAAAATTAACGTTATATGAAAAGAATATGAAAGGGTAGGAAAACTGTCACATTACCCTCGGCTCAAGGATTACAGGGGTAAATTCAAGGTTATAACAAATTGTGTCTATACGCATAAAGGGAGTTTTAATTTTCGAGTGTTGATCTTTTGATGTCATTCTTATGCCCAGTCTTATTTGTGTTTTGCGATCGATGAACTTGGTTTTCTATTTCCCAAGTTTATCTGACGGTAACTAATTTTTAAGTCACTTAGGTAAATATTCCATATTTTGGGGCACAGTTTTGGAGGTTTGCGTTTTTACACATTTGAAATCATCGTGAGGAAATTCTCGGAGTTCTAGTTGAGAAGACGTGACTAATGGAGTTCAACCCTGTCGGGTGTAGGCAGTAACTACCAAAGACAAATGGGTGAGGTCACGCAAAATCCCTAAATCAATCAGAGTTAGACATTAACACCGTTGGATGCCGGCCCAGTGGTCCGATGGTAAGGCGTTCGCCTACAATGCCAAAGGTCCCGGGTTCGAATCCTGTGAGGAGCAGGAGTCGTGGATGCGCACTGCTGATGAGTCCCATACCAGGACGAAACGGCTGTCCAGTGCTTCTAGGTTTCTAATGGTGGTCTAACAATGATTGATTGATGATTTCAAATGTGTAAATATTCCATAACCCTTGATTGTAAAGTCCGATTACTCCTCCCTATGTATTTGTGTCCACACAAACAAATAAATCGGTAAATGATGTGGGATGTAATGTAATCATTCAAGCAACGTTTAGGTATATGTGGAGTCATAGGCTTAGTCTTCTTAATTACAATCAGTTTGGCAGCGTAGCATGTTTTCTCTATGGCTACTTTTTGTCACTGTCTTATGATCAGACCATCTGATTCACATCTAAATGGTAAAGTCATATAAACCTTTTTCTTCTCAGCAGAATGAAAAACAGACTTCTGTCTTAACTGATTTCTAAAAATACTGATGAACTTTAGCGGATAGCCTTTTGAAATCAATGTTTCAGTTAAGAATTTTGCATCGTCTTCAAATGTATCCGTGGTGCAAATCCTTTGTGTCCCATTGAAGAGGCTTTGTACCATGCCTAGCTTATGTTGCAGTGGACAAAAGGTGCTAAAATTTAAAAACTGCCAAGTCCAGGTTGGTTTTCTATAAACTGAACGGTTTAGAGTTCCATTCTGCCTTCGACTGAACAGTATGTCTGTTCTATCAAAATTTATAAGAGTATGATCGTTCTAAATATGATTACTTATTAGAAAATAATGCCAGAGGACGACCACTGTGTAAACAACATCGTTAGCTTGTCTTGTTCTAAAATAAATACTGTTTACTAGCTACTATGATAACAGTAACAATAGTGATAGTAATTATTAGTAAGAAAGTCATGTAGAGATTAATCGATCATTAACAGTAAGAATTTGTCACAGTAGAAAGTTAGTACAAACCTCAATGAAAGGAAAAGGAAGATAAAGTTTATGGTATATTCTAACAAAAACAGATTAGGAATAGAACAATCCTATTTAAGATCGGGGTTAACAAAAAAGGTCGAATATGTGTCTTTTGTAAGGATAAGTGTGGTTTCCTTGAGTTTAGCTAAGTTCTTCCATTTTATGGAGGAAATCGGATCTTCTACCATTTATCGAAATATGCTGGACTCCAAATAAAACCTTTAAACTTTATATTTTTGAATAGAGAAATGAGAAGACATATTTTGTGAGATAGTACCATTTCGTGCTTTCTCGTCAGTCACATACAAGCAACATGTTAATTGTGTAAATACAGTTTTGAAGATAAGGTCAAAATTTCTTATTTAGCATGACATTCACTCACTAGAACCATGATAAACAAAGGTCAACATACAGTTGTTTTTGAACACATAAAGTTGGACTTTTCCGACCAATCAAGATAGTGTGTGTGGGTTTTGATGACATGTCACAACTATAAATGCTGATTTTGGGTCAATTTGATGACCACTCATCATTAGGTGTTTTGCAATGGACGAAGCTGGGTTTCTTGATCGATTTTGAGATGATGGGCTAGGTTGATGAATCATGGATTTGATTAGCCATCTTGTCTATTATCAGTAAAGTTGAAAAGAGTGGCACTAATAACGAGCATACTTATACCTTTCCTGACTATTATGGTACATTTCATTGAGTTCTTAAGGACAGAGCCTCACAGAAGACGTCAAATTCATAACCAAACACTAATGAACTGATTGTTGACATCTTATCCATGTTCGATTACATAAGTAATGCGTTAGTTCAAAGGATGACCAGCTATTTATGTCACTGAACTCCATTTCAAGGAATCTATTGAGCTTCCTCGGTAAAATATCAATGGATTTATCATAATTGAAAATAACAGAGCTTCTATTTCAAATGTCGCAATTTATGTCTCACAAACCAAATCTATATATGACCACATTTTCTTAAAACATGAATAAAAAAGATACAATAAAACTTATCACAAACACATGAGAGTATTTTATTTTACATCCAATTAAAAGAATTGTATTATTGAAAATTCATTTGAAATGTAACTTTTTCATATATTATATACAATTATAATATGAAAAAAGAGAAAGGATTCAATTATTTACGGAATATTTTATTTTATTTCCAAAATTAAGAGATATTAACTCTTATATTTTCATTTTGATACTGACTAATCCTTTTGTTTGTGAGCTAAAACAAAGAATAAAAATTTTATCAAACTGAAAATGAACAGAATAAAATTTTCTTTTGCATTTCAGTATAGAATATAATTTTCATTTGTTCTAAAGTAATTATTAGTTAATTTTGCAATCAACTGAAAACTCCCTAACCATTCTCATGTTTCTTAAAAGTATTATTTAGGCTACTAACTATAGAAACCATTTTGTTTAACTCTTCTTCAATACAATATATAATAAAATCACAGTTTCGCCAAGAAAATTTATACTTATCTCTAGAAAAAATGAATTTTCAGAAAATATTACATTCTGCAAATGTGATTTACATTATCATTGCAAGTACGAGTGGTAAATTTATTATTAATTTCACGGAAATTAAAGTCCTCATTCAAGGTTTATCATCAGAAAATTATGAACTATCAGGTGATCAGAAAAATGTTTGTCCATTTCAAAGGTAAATAAACCGTTCAGTGTCATTTATGCTTAGTCATCAATGAATGTATTCATATCTTTCATAGTTTTATGTTCTTTAAATATTAAAGTATTTCCAAACTTAGATATGGTGGTTAAAACTTTTGTGAACAGTATCTATAAAATATGAATAAATTTATGTATATGCTAATTAAAAATCCCAGTTTCATCACTCAATGCTGGTTTGCTAGTACAATTTTAAAAACAAGATTTTTTAGCTACTACACAAACAGACTGAGTGAGGATTTCTATTCTTTGCACATCTAAAAGTTATCGAATCTTTCAAACAAACTAAAATATTACTTCCCTTAATTGTCAGATAATGCAACGTACAATGCTAAATGTGAACTTTGTTAAATTCAGTTAGAAAGATTTAAGCGTATGTTATGCAAATGTGTCATAAATTGATTTGACAAAACCCTACTTATGGTAACATAAACTTCAAGATTATTCAATTTCATAAGTTTATTTTATACTAAAGTTTGATTTAAACTGATTCATTTGGTGTAATCTTTAAACATCTTATAATTTCTGAAGGTTACTATGTTTTTAAACAAAACAGAATTTCATCAAAAAACTAGAATTCTTCTTTGTATTTAATTGGTTGGAACGTTTTTATCTCAGGGTTATTCGATTAGATCGAAAAATTCATCAGTTGGAGGATGAATCAAAAATTCTTCAAAACACATATTACTTAAGTAATTTTTAGTAAAAACTGCGTAAATCAAAAGTCTAATATCCTCATAATTTAAACTGTGATCTTCATCAAATGACTGTAATAAAATTAAATTACTGGTTATCCACTGAAGACAACGGATAATGGTCGAACAAAATCGTGTGTTGATTAAATTTAGACACAAACTCCTTTGGATCCCAGCTTGCTGATCAAGAGACAAGGTGTTTTATTGTGAGATAAACGGTCCTGAGCTCAATCCCTGATCATGCACATGGGTGATGAATTCCGTACCGGCAGGAAATGGTCGTCCATTGTTTTCAGATTTCCAATGGCGGTCTGACATTGTTCGATTCATTATTTTAATGAAATCATCATGAGAATACTGTGTGAAATAACTCCACATAAATTCAGAATCTGTATAAAATACAAGTTAATATCAGTGAATAATTGTTTAGAGGAAAGATATCATGAAACATCCTTTAACTTCGTTCGAAGTTATCAGATTGTACGAAATTATGAGATTTCCATCTGGCTATGTAGTCAGTATTATACGGGATCAAAACTGTTAAGCTTTTGAATAAGTTGACAAATTTTTTTCGCCAGAAACCCCTCATTTCATTGGATATATATTATTAAAGGAGCAGTTATTAGGTTTAAAAAATATGTAGTAAAAGTGACGTTCATTTTTTGCGCGAAAACATTTTTTACTGAAATGCAAATTCAACGTTCCTAAAAAAACCAAATCAGATATTTGAAAGACAGGTAGTTTTGTTCTTTGTTTACCTTTAAGCAAAATTAATCATGAAATCTTACACTAAATTATTCTCAACATATAAGATAAATTTCACATTATTCATTAGTTCATGATATTTGTATCAATGATACATGTTCTTTTTCGGTAAAATTTTGCGTATATCAAACTTTTGTTCATTGAATGATTGATTTTCCTAATTTCATTCAAAATAATAAACGTCGATATGACCAAACGAAGATGTGAACATGGTGTGTGTAATCAAGGAAAATGTGTATGTGATAAGTGCTGGACAGGAAAATTTTGTGAAGTATCAGGTTAGTGAAATTAGGCTAGTTACGTGTGGAAATTACATTTTGTGAAGTAACTTAGCATAGATTTTGCGTTATTCAAAAACATTTACCTTATTATTTCATATTCTATAAGCTAAATTCATATATAGTATCTCTCTTTGATTAAAAATATTTATAATGTAATCGACCAAAGCGTTCTGATTACTGGACAGGGAAAAGCTGTTAACGCTATTATGTGTCATTTTTTATAAAGTATATAACAAGATACAAAGTAATATAGAAGATTAGCAGAAAGAAAACACTGTGTATTGGAGCCAAAGATGTCCAGATAACGAAGTGATGCCTTTAATTTACAAATATACAATTTCCGACGAAACATTAATTACTCGAATTCAGAGAAAAAAACGAATTTATTACTAAGCTATATATATATATATATATATATATATATATATATATATATATATATGACTGAATTAAAAATTAAAACACTAGGCCATATAATGTAAATAATAGCAGTCAAAGTTATATAAATCGTATGCATACAATTATTGAACATACATCGAGTTTTCGGAATTTTCAGTGCGTGAATAAGTCCGCGCTCTATGAAGCATGATTGGTTTTTCCTGGTTCAAACTTGGCACAACAGTATTACGCTAGTTCATTTGGAAGTCGACGAAAAATATTTACTGAACGACTGATTCAAGTCAAAAGCAACATATATTTCTTCGAGATTTATAACTTCTTACTTTTTACTTTATAACAAAGGATATCGAATCGGGACTACATGACCATAAAATCATTATTTAAGTAGAAGAGCAACGAAAGCTCCTATTTCATTCTTATGGAATGTAATGTTTTAATTTCGTTGATTACTGAATGTCTATAGACCACAGTTTGCAATCAAGTCATGATAACTTATGAAATAATAAATTCAGATTAATTTCGAAGCATTTTAGTCAAAATAATTAAGAGATTAGAAGTAATTTTGCTTTCGTGATGGATTGCTTATAATATATTCAAGTGCCGAACACTCCGCTTCATGAATATAGGATGAAATATTACAGTTACTTTTATAAAAGCAGATCTCAGTTACGTGCTAAGATAAAAATTAAATCATTCATCACTTTATATAGAGAAACAAATGATAACATTAAACAATGTTGCCAATTACATTGGTGTCACTAAACACCTATGGGGAACCAGTCACAAGAGAATAGAAACAAAGGTCGTCCATTCAAAAAAACATACAACTTTGTTCAACTAGAGTTGACTATTAGAAATATTGAACATTTATTTTAAGCTTGCGACACTTACTTGAGTTGATATCACAGTCAACCACATTTGGCTTTATCCAACCGCCCATAAATTAGCACAAACACAATATACTTGATGATTGTTCATTCATATTTTCAGTTTTAGATAACACTCGCTTTACTTCAGATAGTTTTGAAATTACCGTGGCACCAGGTTCTGTCGGTATTCCAAACAAAATTATTGGACAACTTACGCTTCAGAATATACGAACTGATCAAATATGGGAATGTGGAGAATTTTATTTTTTACTTGAAGGAGTTCAACATGATAAATTTCCGATTTATGTAGAAAACAGCACAGGCTTTATTCGATTTAATCGCTTTAATAATTTTAATTGGCCAAAGAAAATATATCACGAAATTCATACTACTGTAAAATTATATACTAGTCCGGGTAAAGAAATAGATTCATCGCAAATTATTGTTTCATGGAATTACTTCACAAGAAATGAACAAGAAAAACCGATGACATTTCAAAACAATAATTTTCATCTAGAGAGGTCTAAACGAGTACGTAACATTTTCAAGAAACCTTAGTAGTAAATTTTTTTATTTTAAAAGAGTTATCTTGGGGACATATATTAGAAGTCCATTTGTGTAGGAAGAACTTTAGGAATAAATAAATCCCTTTTGTGGTAAATTTGAATTCAATATTACAATAACTGATGACTTACAAAATATGAGTAAAGTGTTTCAAAATGCCAAAGTGAAACCTTGCCTTAGTTATCCTGTAAAAAAAATTTTCTGCATAAAATAATCTAAACTCTCATATGAATGAATCATTTGTATAACACATAGCTAAACAGTGTTAACTAAAGAATGCAAAGAATTTTCACGTTTTGGTTTTCAGTCAATCACTATGATTGATTAACAAAACACGAAAAAGAGATTTCTAGCTGTACTCGTATACCTTTTTTATTGTTGATCAAAATAATATAGTATTTAAAAAGGTGTCATTAATCAATTCGGTTTTATTACCTCAGTATAAATCAGATGATCAATCTATAATTTCTCGTTTCGTTTTGCAGATAAGTATGATAGACATGAATCACTTGTTACAACTGATTTCCGCACACTTCAAAATATTGCATAAAATAAGTCAGACTTTGTTTGTAACAGTTCATATGATTGTGTATAGACAACTGACTTTTAACATGACTGGATAACTAAGCTTAGATGTTTACCTCCCATCTAAAAAATGTAAAAATAATTGAAACAACCTCTAAGGATACAATTCAATGTAGAAATTTAACTTTGTTGATTTTTAAGACCAGCTAAAATAAAATATATTCCAGAACCACAATCCATAATAAGGTTAAGCACCATTGAGAAAACGATTGCCTTTCATCCATAATTTATAAATAAAACTGAGAGAACCGTATTATTTCTGAGTATCTTTAAGGAATTTGCATTTACAGTGCTGAACTCTATAATTATTTTTGAGTTTACTTGTCTTCAAAAAGTTACATCAATAAAATTTACCCTAATTAAGATAACTGTGCCAGAAGCAAACAATACTTTAATTTTGTCGAAATCTGGAACCAACAAATTCATCGTATATAAATTGCGATCCTATTCAAGATGACGGAATGTGTGAAAATATTCTCGATATCTACGAACGACTTTTTAAAACCTGTCGATATCTGTGAGGAAAAATATGTAGCAAACACTTCGATTTTACTGAATTTCTACGCAAACAAATTATTAAGAATTAAGGCACTTAATTTTTGCTTCTGGATAAATTGAGAAATTGGATTCGGTTCTTCAGATAAATCATCCATCTCAAAGAACACAACAACAACTAAAACATCTACTTCAGATAAAAGTTTCTATCATTTTAAGGTTTGAATAATGTTAAAATATATCAGTCGTCTGTATACTACTGAATGGTTGACGGGAGTCGGAAGTCAGCTTTAAATATGAGTGTTCTGCCATCTTGAACATATCAGCGTGACGCATCTGAAACTTGTCAGCTGTTCTGAACCGTCCGACGCCACCCAAAAGAAACCAAATCATTTAGCTTCGCTACCATAATTCAAACTCAGGCCGAATTATTAAAACTAGTACCACCAACTTATAATATGGCTTCGTTTCAGTAACCAATAACAGTACTCCATTTAACAGTAACATTAATAAAACGACAATGTGAATAAACCATAATGGATTGTGAAAGTTGTAAAACTTTATTTAAACCGTTTGTAGTGCATCCACATAAACTTGAGTTCGCTCACATTTAATTTGATTAAGCTTTTCGAATAACTTATGTAACCAAACCATTTGTATAACAATAACTTATATGTGCCATTGGTATTTTTTGTGTGGTTTGTATGAGCTTGTACGACGGAGCATTGCTTACCGCCTACGAGCATGTTCATCCTATTCGCTTTAATGTTAATCTCTTAAATACCGCGATGACTCAGATATCTTCCTACGTATATATACGAACATTTTAATCGTATTAATACACTTGCACATTCGCCCATTCACTCGCTAGTGTGCCTGCCCGGTCTGCTTGTGGTCTGCTATCCCTATTTGTGGTGTGCCAGAATAAACGTATTCAACACTTCGAGTTTACCTTCTGATTTACAAACCGTCAAACGCTATTTAGTAACGATTGTCTGGACGAGCAAATTACGAAGATTAAGAACACGTAGAACTCGGCCACCATACGTTTCCCAGCAAATGTTGGGATTCGTCTGAAATCATAAATATTTTAGCAGTCCTAATTCCAGATTCTTAATGCTTTGCAGAAATCCTACATATGAAACATTTACTGTAGATGTAATGTTACACTTGATTATAAGTACTTTTTCTCCTATCTATGATCTTTTCTCATATACACTTCACAATAATCAAACTACATCAGCCAGATATTTGATTTATAATTTTAGAGCGTGAATTCTTCAAATCTTCGACTTCTCGTAAACCGAAGTGATGCAGCTACTAATTCTTTATGTCCAACTGAAATTATAGCACTGAGTGTTCAGCTTGGTCTACCTTCGGGTACAGATTCAATAACGGTTGAATTATTTGGACCAACTAGAAGTTCTATAGTCTATGGTTTTGTTGAATTTATTGACATTTCATTTATTGGAACAAGAATTTCAAATACGGATTTTGACATTAATGTACAAAACACAACTGTAGCAACTGATTACGAATATAAAGTAAGTTATATATTTTAGTACTAGTATTCATGTGTTTATTTATTGTTAAGATGAAAGGAAATCAGGCTTATTTGTGTGTAATGTCGTTGTAATGTGAATAATATATACAGTAAAAATGCATGTATTCTGATCAACTTCCTTAATATGAATTACATATTAATCTATTGGGTTTGTCACTAAGTATGCTGGAGGCTATTACGAGTTTACCTTAGTCGATAAACGCGAACGAGACAATTACCAGCGTCCAGGTAGGCTACCTTGAATCCCCAAATAGAGTAAAAAGGCTTTGTAAGCGTAGAAAGTATATTCTACAAACACCCAGCAATCACAGTACAATCAAGCATACAACTCTCGTTTAATTATACATCATAGGAACGTCCTTGGGACAGTTATGAAAATAGCATACTAAAATACACAGCAGCCAATCACAGCCATGGATTTTCCTGGTGGGAATTGAAATCTCAAGGTCAACTGATCAACCCATGCTGGCAAACGTGAAAACCAAAATAAGGCATTTATCAAGCGAATTTTGAGGATCTAACATCCCCAACATAATCTCAGTGAGTGATAAGAAAAAATATCTGAATTTTATTTCACTCTGTGATATCAGCGACAGACAAATTTATCTTTAAATAAAATCCTAAATAAAAATAAGATAAATAATTTCATTATAAGTAACAAGTGGAGTCTTCAAGATATTAACTACAGTAAGGATATTGATGTTTTGTTTCGTCAGAGTTAATAATTTATGTAATACAGAGAAATATATCATCTTACATTTTTCAATTAAATAGATTTTGTCTCAATATTAAAAACTAAAAGTAGATATGCCACAAACGTTGACAATCCTGTTATCAACATTTTTAAACCAAATATGAAATACAGACGAGTAGTACAACGATAAACATTCATTAATATTTTATCTAGAAATAAATTACAACATTGTACTGCAAATATCTGAAAAATGGTTTTGACAAGAACAAAAGGAAGTTGTATCCATACTCAATGAACAAAGGTTTGTTCATAGTTTACAGCCTTGAAAAATCAATAAAAAACATCTCGGAAATCGTCCACTGACCACAACAGCTGCTGGTTAACGTACTTAAAACTAACAGTACAACCACTTAAAACCTTTTCATGTAGATATTATAATGAATTTATGAAAGAATTCACTTTTAGAATCTTTCGCTTCAGAATGGACAGTATTAACCTTCCTAGGAAAAGATCTGGATATTTCTTAAATCACATTGAATAAGTGAGTCGCATTTCATGCTATATCACATGTTATAAGGATCATCCGAAGTATTTTATGTTTTTAATTCTTTAAGAATTCAAATATCTTACTTTATATAGAGTTCTACTTTGTTTCAGAACATTTATACAGCTGTGAATTTATCAAGTATTACAGTGATAGATATACCGAATATCGTGGAAGATTATAGCTTAACGTTGCGATTTGCTGTTGGTTTATGGCCTAACAATTCAATAATAGATGGAATGCAGTTTATGTGTAATTGTAAAGTTTCTCAAGGCACTTCAGTAGTAAACCGTACAACCACAATCACATCACGTCAAACTTGTACAGTTTCTCAACCAGAATTAACTATCCTATCTAATTTTCCAAGTATAATTCCAGGTGATATATTATTGTTTCAGGCCGAAGTATATTTTACATTTGGAACCGGAAATTATACGGTAAATTTTATGTTTTAAATTCTATCCATTTTAATAAAGTTAGTAAACCCATATTCCAGAATGTTAGGATACTATTTAGGTGTTTTGGAAAATAATTGAGTAGAGTGATAAAAATATTTTTAATAAATATATGGTGCTTATTTCATAGAAGTATTTCTCGTTTTTATCCTTATCTTTTCATAGACTTGATATGTTATATCATACAGAAATCAAAATATAAATGAACTCTTTTGAATTTGATTTTAACAATGGGAGTGTATTTTGTACAAAATAAGGATTTTTCGGACATTCATACATAATAATTGAGAGTTATTCTTTCTGGATCATAATGTGTGGTGCATTAATTATTAATTTTCAAAACTTTAAACATTATCATGATTATAACTCAAGGAAACGACAATAATATGAGATATGTAGGTTGTTCGATAGCCCAGAATGGTACTGGTAACTCTCATACAATCTTCTCATTATTTCATTGGTCAAATAATTAACGTATTAGGCCATCAAATCATAATATTTTGAACTGAAAATCGGTCTGTGGGAGGATATAAAAATCAAGCATCATTCTTTAGGAAAATTATAGTTTTGTTTGATAATGTGTCTTTGTAAGTTCATTGACAACCGATAATTAGCTAAAGAGTACATGAACTAATAATGTTTAATTACTAGATTTAAATTAGTGTATATAAAATAAATAGTATTGAGTGGGAAAGAGGATGATGAATAAATCTGAATTCAATGAAATGGAAACTTTTTGTTGGTTCACAATACATTTGGATTTTTGTAAGGTTCACAACTAAACAAATAAAACTATGTACAAAAAGCTCGAATTCATTAACATCTATAAAATATTAATTTTTAAATGGTCTGTCAACATAGTCAGCATTTTTTATGCATTTTTTGTAGCATATTTTCTAAAGTGATTCGGACTATTTAGTTTGAAAATCCAAGAAATATACCAAGGTCAAAATTTAGTCTGTTTTATCATGTAGTTCGAAGAAATATGGTTAAATGTCAAACAGGACTGCAGGTTAATGCACTCCTAGGTCCTGGATATTCCATCGAATTTTTTATATGGTTTATTAACTAATGTAATTTGACTGATAATATATGTTAATATCGTCTTGAACAACTTCACGAATAGGTCTTGTACAAGATTGTAGTGTAATGTGAGGTATTAGCTGTTCATTGACGGTTGGGAACGTTCCTGGTCGTTGTTTTTCAATGAATGGAAAGGTAATTTCACGAATTACTGGTGATAAACTGCGTGAAAACTGTTTGATTGCAGGTAGATGAAGCTTACCAAGCGCAGTATTCGTAAAGTTTTTAAACTTACTCAGAAATGCTACTTATTAATTTTTAAGTAGCAAAAGAAATTAGTTTCAAAATCATAGCAACACGATCATTAACGAACATAAAAATAATCACATCACCGAGTAATACAAAAAAATGGAAATGACCAGATTTAATAAAATCCAGTGAATTAAGGAATCAATAGATCAAAATTATAATCTTTTAAACGACATGATTACCGAGAAAATTTCTAGTCCATGACTGAAAAAGTAAAATGTTTAAGTTGACATCATTCGCATGTAAAAGGAACGATGTCGATTTTGTAACTTACATGTAACAAAAACACTACTAATAATCATTTCAAATAGTAATCTGAGTAAAATAGACTTCAAGAAATGGTTAGCATCTCCAAGTTACAATATATTTCGTGAAGAAAACTTAGCTAATCATAAATTAATACACTTGAGATTGAAACCAAAAATAAATTAATAAATAAAGTAAATTAAGAGTAAGAAATATGTACTGAATTCACGTAAGAACATGTCATATTTCAGTCAGTAAAATTAAGTCAGTTACTCACTTTGGATATTTATCAATAAAATATTCCCCAATAGTTTAGGGAAATATTTCCTCTTATTTAGTATAAGAATTCTTCAGTAATCTGATAATATGACAGTATAAACAAAGATTAAAAAATTACTTTCGGCATTTCCTCTACTTTGCAGTTTTCAGCATATATAGTCGGTCAGTCGTCTACTGTTGGCAATTTTGAGGTGATTCTAGGCAATGGGATGAACTATGCAGAAGGATCTGAGAAAAAGCAGTACGAAGATGTAGCGGCGCCTACTTATATAATAACAAGGCAAATTGATGTACAAATAGAAGGACTTAGAAATAAAAGTAATGCATTCAAGGTTTAATGAATGGAATTTTAAAATGAATTATAAAAAATATTTGTAATTTTTCCCAACTTTTATTCAAGGAGTACTATGCGTCTAACAAAAAGTTAATCCATATACAAAAATCTATAAGAAACCTTACCCCATCCCTTAAAATATCATTCAAATTGTCAGAAAACCGAACAAGTACGTCACACTTCCTTGTATTATTCAGCCTTTACAACTCATGAGTTTAGAAATTTGAAATTCAAGACCGTGATCCAACATATAAAATATATCGCAGAATGTGCAAAACTGAGGCATTTATGGAAGAAATCGAAAAAAGTTCATAGTTAATTTACAGTAATCAGTAAACGGAAAAACATATGGCCATGATCATGAATTAAAGGAAAGTTTACAGCTAGAAGAAATATCAAAATATCATCAATTATTTAGGTGCTAAATTCAAAAAAATATTTTGCTTACTCAATAGAGAATAAATGCTGAGATACGATACTTTCATATATACTCTCCTATCCATAACACAACATAATTTGAAATAAAACGTAGTTAGTGATTTGGAAGTCAGTGGTGTGCTTCTAGAGTTGTAAACTTTCTAATATGAATTTGAAAATTTATACTTTTGCGTACATGATGGAGTTGTGTATCGAAACTTATGTGGGCATTTGTAATATGATGGTCAATTTTGTGTGTCACCGAGGAAGACTGAAAAAATTAGTGTGAGTATATTTTTTTGTTCAGATATATTCAAGTATGATATGGAATTCACATGATTCTACTAGATTACTACTTTTCGTTGAGTGATTTAGTCACTAGAAATCCAATGATTTTCACCGAATGTTTCACTGAAAAGTGACCAAAATGTTAGGATCATCATAAACTAATTCTAAAAAGGACTTAGAAATACTTTTTATTGATAACCAACCGCTTTACTAGACAAATTATCTGTGAATACTTTCAACTTTAAGGAATTGCAAAGGAAAATTAGATGATATAGCAATTTATAGTAAATTTTCTTATCCAATATCTGTTTTCTAAAACATAAAAAAATTTGTAATGTTATTTATAGACGATCGATTCCAGATGATATTTCCATATATCATATAGAAGTGTATGATTTACTTTACGAAACTTCTATTTAGATGTCAAACTTGTTAAAATAAAACATATGATCAGTGTATGTCGTAGAGAATTTTTTATGTTTGTCTAACAGCTAAGAATATAAATTGTTTGAAAAGTTTTAATATTTTCTTCAGATTTTCGAGATAAGTAGTTCACTCTGAAGTAGAAAGACTCAGATATGATGATGTGGAACAACAGCAAATCTAAATATTTGCACAAATGTTGCTGATGATTGGTAATGAGCAAACAGCTAGACATTTGAGACTAAGCGAAGTATAATCAACAATCAGTGGATAGGAGATGGTATTTCCAAACATATTGGTAACATCAGCGGATATGAATGTCTCTTCGGACGATTTTATTTACAGTATTTTTAGAGTATTCAAACCAAGATTAGTTCAGTGAGCTGAAAAATATCATAAGGAAACAATCACTGACAATCCATGAAAACTTGAAGCGACAAGGTAAATTTTTCCTACAAGTGTTTTGAATACTCACTTTTCAAACTAACAGTTATTTGTGAAATCGATTTTTGTTCATTATAGATGCTAGAGCGACATATCTGTCTAAATCAGATCGCTCAGTTAAATTGAATGCATATATACAAGCTAAGACACTTTCGCCAACAAGAGCAATAATTGGATTTCGATTCCGTTATTCCCAAGCTGGTGCTATTTTTCGAGAGATTCCAATTCCTGTAATAGCTGATTATCGAAACTTTATAAATGTAAGTATGATATTATTGCAATTTATTAGCTAAATTCAGTTATTCTTTAAAAATTTCTATGCATTATTAGATAACGTGTTGAATATGTGAAACATGAGGTACATAAGAAGAGGCATCAAATTAATTCTTTGAATTATCCGTATTTTGCGAATTTCTATACATTTAAAAGATATTAACTGTTATGCTCGTCACTAGGTATGCTTGAAACTATTTCGTGTTCACCTTAGTCAATAAACGAGAACGAGACAATGAACCAGCGTCTAGGTAGTCTACTCTGATCCGTTGACTAACGAAAAGTCTTGATATAGCGTAGATAGTATATTCTAAAAACACCCAGCAAGCACAATGATCTCAAGCACACAAATCGCGTTTATTTATAAATCATAGAGACATCGCACACAGTAACCAATCACAGCCGAGGATTTCCCTGATGGGAAATGCGATCTCAAGGTCAACTGATTAGCTCTGGCTCGGAAACATAAAATCCAAAATTAAGGCATTTATCAAGCGAGTTCTGAGGATCTAACGTCCCAGACATTAACAAATTAAAATAATTGTCAAGCTAGTTTTAATTAGCATCTAGACAATCAATAGACTTAGGGAATGATATGGGAAATGGGAAATAGAGAATAAGATTTGAAATTTAAAAAAACAGAAAAATGCAACAGTATTAAGATTTAAATAACTATTGATTACATATTTACGTCATCACAAAGCACTTCATTTACGTGGTAAAGACTTTGAATACATTTACTTTACCTTAAGTTTACTCACCTAGCATCCTTTTGAATATTATATGCAAGTAAATTTAATGAAAAAAACAGAGAGTTATTACAGAAGAAATAGAAATGATCCGGCTAAAATATTCATTTCGATTATATAAGCTACCAAGGTTGCACAGTAGTATTTATTTTAATTTAACAGATATTATAGTCTGTTTGATATATCAAGCATTAGGCAAGGGCTGTGCAGTGATATACAGAACTGTTACCTAAGAAGACTAGATTGTACAAATCAGTATATATCATGTTTGGATTTTTAAATTTTTTTTTAAATTATTTTCCTACCTGTTGTAAGCAATTTTCGAGAATAAATGTTAATCAGTGAACAATATTTAATAGACCGGTTATGAAAACTGCATCCAGAAGCCTCAACATTGCTTTCATAAATATACTATCAACTCTCACAGTTTACTGTTCTTACTTGAAAAATAATATCTTTTTCTGATTAAAGTTTCAGTAGCTTCTCAAATTCACATATATTTCAATAAATATGAGAAACTGAATTATAATGCATAGAATGGTGAAATCATGGTAACTCGACTTTCTTTAGTGTGATTTAAACCCATTTAACAGGAATCATTCAGTGAAGTGTATTATGTTTAGATATAAAAAATACAGGGACTTTTACATTCAGAAATACCAATCGGTTTAAATGTTATTAAAATAAATCCTTTAGTGGCTTTTGTTTAATTCAAAGTAAATTTCACCAGTTTAGTGGCCCGTGACTTGACTCCAGTAGGGCGAATAATCAAGTACGCAATGAAATAAATCTTCCTTTCCATTTTCGTATATCACACTCAGGCTAACCTCGTTTGTGCGAAGGTGCTATTAAGAAACCAAGTACGGTTTTGACGATGAGTTTATTTCTTGGCTTCATTTAAGCAAACAGATATGAGAATGAAAAGCGTGCAAGCAAGGGAACTGGAGAAAACAAGTGAGCTAACTCTCATTATGCTGATGACTATGTATTTATAGTCAGGCACTAATAGGATACACATAAAAATAATCAGTCAATCACTGTTAAACCATCATTAGAAACCTGGAAGCACTGGACGGCCATTTTGTGCTGGTGTGGGGCTTAGCAGCAGTTCACACCCACGACTCCTGCACCCCGTAGGATTCGAACTCACAACCTTCAGTCTTGTGCGCGAATGTCTAAAGACCATTGCTAATAAATTAACCTCCCAATAATTTCTATTTACCAGTAAAAACGTATCTATAGCATGTGCTCTGAATGAAAATCAGTTTTGTAACAGTATCATGATTATTTACCTCAAAAAATTAATAAAAACAAATTTTTATCTCATAATTCTACTTTTTGCTTCATTATTGTATCCCTAGGTTCCAAATCCTACTTTTAACTTTTCATTAACGTCAGGTCCAGCCAGTGTTGAAACATTTGCTGAAATTATTTCCACTCTTATACTTCCTCCTTTATCCAAGCAGATTTATGCTGTAGAGCTAAGCTTTGATAATGTTATTTTGGGTGAGTTCTGTTATTCCACCATTTTGTCAGTTGGAACAGGGATCATAAATCGATCAGCAGGGGTAAGTTGTTAACATTTTAACTAATATATTCTATGGAGATAATTGTTTTGTAGGAGAAATATTCTATAATCTGAGGCCAAATCGTACTGACAAATAAAATCGATAGGTCACTTGGTAATAAATGGTCTAAAATACATCAACGAAAAACAGATTTGTTGACCAAACAGATAAAAGTCATTTGGTCTTTAACACTAGATTTTGTTTGGACTTAAATGTTTAGGAGCTGAGAATAACATTTAGTTTTATTGTTTAAGGTTAGAACACAACCTTAGAAATAATTTGAAATTCTTAAGTTTGATTTCTATAACAATCATATGTAAAAAGATAAACGAATTATGTCATCCGAAAAATCAAGGAGACTTTGCATTTTAATTACCAGTCTGAATAAAAGCAAGTAAGCTAAAGCTTTGGAAATTTACGAATATGCTTAAAAATTCGTACTGACCTTTGAAACATTTATGATTGACTTGCAGTTGTACACTATGAATCAAATAGCATTCGACAGTCTTTGTTCAGGCTATTAAAGTTCTTCTTTCTAAATTTCTGCTTACTCATTTGCTTCATCTTTGTTCTACACACAGTGAGTTGTGTTTGTTTTAATGAAGACAAATAACTATAATGATTATGATCTTAATTTATCTGATATAGATGAGATTGTACACGGACTTTGTGTTTCAAAAGATAACACTGCTTCGAAAAATGGCAGTAATAAGTCTTGGAGTAATGGAAAATCCAACAACAAATAGTACAGATTATTATGTGATTTTTAAAACTATCGTGAGACCACGTCTAGATTTGGCATTTCCAACAATCAGTGAGACTCAAATTCATGCACGAGTTTTTATTACGGATATACCTCAAGAACGGAAATCAATTAGTTTTTCTATTGTTGATGAACCAGTTTTACCAATTACGGTAAGGTTGTACAAGTTTACTGAAACTGTCAGTTAAATTCAGTTATTTTATTCATAACATTTAATGCAACAAACAAATTATGTAACAGAGCTAGTAATATATGTTTTTCTGAATAAAACTTGTCAGAATAGGTTCATTCTCATAAATGAAACAATCATGGCACGTTAAGAATGATGAATGTGTACATTAAAGTTTATGAAAAATATTATATTTTAGTTTTAATGAAATGATACCAATGTTTTATTTTCAATATATCATAAAAAATTTATTGTCGCCATTTACTCTATAAATAGAAACCTCTCATTTTATTATACGACATTTCAAATCATTTTATATTATATACCATTTTATTTACATGAACAGATGTAAACTAATCATCTTTCTGTTAGTTTTCTCTTAAGTGTTTATTAAATTTCACTGAAAGTAATGATGTTTCAGAGTGGAGTGTAAAAATCAATCAAAGAGAAGTACACATCGTGTTTATAACTACATCAGCATTAAAAACGATACATTGGACTTGTGAGAAATTGGAAATGCTAATATGCAGACAGTAAACGGTTCAAACTTACATTTATTTCTGGATTGATTTCAAAGATATTACTGATCAATTATTTTGTAAAAATGGGCAGTTTGGCTCATTAATTACACGATATCAATGTCTAAACAGTTCGTTTTGATCGTATTTTAAAATTCATAAGTATATCTACAACTATACGTCCTCTATGAATAAAAATTCAGTTACATTAGAATAGTGTGCAGATTACTTTGTGCGTGTAGCCTTGGAAATTTCACACAGTGCAGTAGTACTTTTCATTTCTGATTTTCCTGTGAAATAACAATTTTGGAAGACTTTTTATTTTATGCCATACCAACTGCTTTCAAATTTTTAAGCATAGTTTTACAGGACGTCTACCTATAGAATGTCGGATTTTATAGTTTTTAAAATATGTGATTTCTAAGTATGACAAGAGAAAAAGTTGAAAACTTATTTACCACTGTATGCTTATATAAATTACTAAATCTGTCTAAAAGATAAAACAATAGAATCATCATTTTGAACATTCGTAACTGAAATGCCTAACATCACTTGTATTAAATGAAAATATTTCTGAAGAGCCTGGTGATAATGCTGACTGGCTCTGTTTTTGTAATAATAAATTAAACATAATTTGATTTAACACCCGGTGAATCGATAATTGCCTATACGAAACCAGGTAACTCAAAACGAGATAGAATACTATGTAATTTTTCTCAGCATATATATTGTTAATAATGGAGCATGAGTACAGACTATTTAATACATTTGGCAAAAAAGCAAAGCTCATAGAACATGAGTGTTTAGTTGCAAGCAAAGAAAGCGAAGGTAAAGAAAATTCTAAAATTTTTAAAGATTTCTTGGAATAAATGGTGAGTTAAATAATGCTTAATTTAACTCACTCTTCGTGTGAAGTCAACTTTTGATAGTCTTCAGGTTAAAAATGCCATGAGTACAAATGTTTAAGTTTGATTTGCGTATATGATTTAAATCTTTACAACAATGTAACCGATAATCCTTCCTATTCCCATGATACCATGGCTGAATTTAGTCTAGAATGAAAGTTGTTAAAATGAATAAGTATCTACGAATCATTCAGTTAATGCATTAATCATGGATTCATAAGTAACTAACTTCATGACAGAAGTCCAGATTTTTCAGTGAGGCACTCGAGCTATTCCATTATATTAGGAACTGAGTAACATTAGAAATATAGGTGCCAAAATGCAGAAATATCTAACTAATCGCGCTTGATAATCAAGCAATCAAAATGCTACGTATGCATTAAACGAAAAATATCAGTGCTTTTCTTGAGCCACATCGACAGTTTATCAGAACTATAACATGGTGAATACAATGTCATGACACAAAACAGAATAAAGATTTTTACAGGCAATTAGATAAAAGGGAGTAATAATTTTACAACTTACAAGTGTCTGGATGAATAAAAAGATTTCTAAGTTCTTCTAAAATTCATTTCGAACTGAAAGACCATTTTAATCAATCTATTGATCATCAATTACTTTTAAATTTAATTTTGCCTACCACTTCAACCTAATTTTGAATTTTTCACTAAATATTATATTATTATTCTCATTACTGGACCCCTTACTAAAATATAAATAAAGCGAAATGACTCCTATTTCGCTCCGCAATTATCCTACTATCTAAAAAACGATAATAGATTTTTGCCATACTCATAACTAGCTTGTTCATTTTCAGGCATCCAATTCACCTAAAGTAAACTTCTACAAAATCGAACCTGCTCAAAGTGAACCTATGGATGCGTATTACGGAATTATGGTTGCTGAAATTTCTTGGGTTGAAAATGTGACATACAGACCTGTCCAGCTTTTACTTACAGTTGTAGGTTCTACTACAAAAGTAGTTGAACAAAGATTCATTATGTTTGGAAGATCACTGATCACCATAGTGCCCAACATTACAAATATGTCAACTGTAAAGCAAGTTTAAAATGTTGCCTTTTTGTGTTAACATTTAAAAGGAATAGAAAAAGTTTATAGCATTGAAAAAAATAAGCTAAAACTTCTAGCAAACTATTCTCAGAAAAACAAACATTTTGAATTACAATCCAATTTATCAACATTATATTTCATTAGCAAACGATAAACTGAGTGTAGATAGTTTTTTTAAAAATATTTTCCTGCACAGTGAATCAAATAGATGTAAGAATAAAGATTAAATAAAATACCTATCAGTTAATGACTGTTTGTATTCTGTAAATGCTATAAAACCTCTTGAAATCACCAAAATTTGAGGGGCTTCATGAGAATACACGAAATCCCGATATTTATATTTGGGTATTTAAACTGCCAAGTAAAAAAAACTCGAGACGAATTCTTTGAAGAGGTTGATATGCAATACATAATGCATCAGAAAGAAGTTCTAGTTATTTTATCTAAAAGCCACAGTAAGATTGATAGTTATCAAATAACTGACAGTCATCCACTTTATAAAATATTGTTTCATTATATTAACAAAGTGAAAATTGAGTTTAGGCTTAGATCTGATGAAGTCCTTTTTCTAGAAGGACGTTTTATTGTATGCGAAATAACCTGAAGTAAACGAAAGGATTTATCTAAACATCGAATGCACTGGATTCCATTTCCGCGAGTAACAGAAGACAGTAGTGTGTTATGAACTTGATCAAAGTATGACAATATACAAAGCAAATAATGGTATTATAAAATCAGTTCTAATATACTGAGTTAAAATAGCTAAACGCTAATATAAAAGCGGTATAAAATTCTCGCTCAAAACATAAGGATATACTAACTAGCAAAACGATAACAATTATTATGCAAGAAATACTACTTGAGAGCTCCTTTTGGTATGACACTTACAAACAGAGTTCACTCGGTTAGCAAATATCCTTCTACCCGGTATACAATAACTTCGTGAAGAGAAATATAAATCCGATAGTATTATTGAATAAAAATCTAAACCGATTGTTCCACGTAGTGTACTGCGGCCTAAAAGTTATATTGCAACACTATTACAATCTCCAGGTCAGAGGCCATAGTCAATAAGCAGAAAGTTAGGAGGGAGTAGATAGAGTTTATTTGATCTGCAAACGTAATTTAAGTACAATCAATCGATTGACAATGTCAGTTTACAATTTAGATAAGCTTCATCATAATGATTCATTATGAGTACTTACATTAATTATTTTCTGTTTTTAAACAGTACTCAACATCTGATATTCCCTAAAAAGATCAGCTTTTGTTAATTCGTGTTGACAACAATATGATATTAGTTTTCAATATACAGTTGTGAAGGCTGTTGATTTTTATTGAAATGATGAGTCGATAATTGTTAGACCACCATTAGAAACCTGAAAGCCCTGGGCTGCCATTTCGTCCTACTGTGAGACTCATCATTTCAACGAAACTCAACAATCTTCCCAACTGTTTTAATGAGCTTCGTAAAAATGTGCTCACTAATGACTAGATTCGTGAGGAACTTCTCAGATTTCCTTTGAGAAGTCGTGACCGGTAGGGTTCAACCCTGTTGGGTGTAGGCGGTTACCTACCGAGGTTGCACGATATCTTGAATTGATCAAAGTTAGGCATAAACACCTTTGGATACCGGCTCCTTGATCTAGTGTTTAAGCATTTGTACTTGAAATCTAATTTCAATGGGACATTTGTTTCCTATGAACTCTTGTTTCATCACAAGGAGAAGTACCTTTTTTTTATTTATAAGACTCAATTTTTGAATAGTTAGTGAAGTATTATAAAGTCCTAAAATCTAAGTTCTTTTGAAGAATATCATGTTCTACTGTCTAGTTCTATCATAAAAGCATGCTCCTAAGTTTGAACAAGCTAAGATCAAAACGGGCTAATTCTTGGTTATTCATTGATTACAAGACTGATTTAGACAAGAACAGGTGGGTGGTGATTCTGGTGTGATGAGTATTTCATTTATGATAAATTCTCATAGCCTTCCCACTTATTAAATGTCCTTGAGGAGTCACATGATCTTACTGTACTTGTCATGAATGCCAGTTGAAAGATATTAATGTTTGCGTACGTCAAATAAAATGCCAGAGTACGTACACTTATGAAGCTGAATTTTAAGGGATTAATATATTATTCTGATGATCACTTCTGTTCTACTTAATCACTACCTATTACCATTGAAACAATTTTTTTCCATTATCTACTTATCATGAATATGAATCTGATCTAACGAAATTATTTTTCAGTGACAGGATATGTTTTTGTTTAATACCATCCAAATTTTGGTGTAAATCGAAAGAAAACACAGTGTTTATTCTAATGAAACAAACATGAATCACCATATTCTTACATTATTTTTCTTTTCATTTCTATTCATAAGTAACATTGGGAGAATTGACTTACCTTCTGTGTATGCTATTCCCACTCCTAATAAGTATGACAATGTATTAAGCATGAAGTATGCGGTTAAAACTGTTGGTGCAATCAGTTACACAGTGATATTAGTTGTTATTACTGGTGGCTATAATGTAACTAGTCAGGTTAACTTTTCACCGATTCCTGCCGTATCACCTCCACAATTAGTAAGTTATTTACAATACTGTTTTTGATTTTACATTCATTGTCAATTCGCCTTAAATGTTTAATGGTGTATTTCAGAGCATTAGTTAATAAGCGTTTAAGTAATTTCAAAATAAAATGAAGAAACACATAATAAAATTTGTTAAACGTCTGATAGAAACACTATTTGATTAACTTTTGAAATTTCCAAACATATTACAACCAGTTCCAACTTGGATATACTTAAATGAATCTCATAATTGATTACAAGTGTATATCATACTGATAAATGATTAATATGGTACTAGCTGTATAGTAGTTAGATTGTGTGTGAAGTGAAAGTCTGATAATGTTTAGTATTTAGCACCTTTTCTTTTTAAACTTGACTGTAGATAATAGTAATGTATTATGTTATGTGTCTTGTCATTGTTTGACTAAAAATACTCTTAGTTATTTTTATTTTCACTAGTATTTAAGCACTTACTTTCCACTATAAGATATTCATTAATGAATGCTTTTTTCTTAAAAACACATGACATGGTTAACTGGTTAGAATAATTTATGAAGTTGTCAGTCTAATATACTTCTTTCTTCCACTTAATTCACACATCTAATTTGAATATCTGAGTACGCAGTTTAAGCCAAATATAGTTAATCTCAAAGGTCATTGAATTATTTTGGGTGTGATAAAAACATGCTAGGGATAAATAAGTGACATGTTCGAATGTAAAATAATATTTCAGAGTCGTTCACCTTAAAGAATTATGGTGTTCTCTGAGCTGGATGTTTTGATGTACAGCTTTCATTGTTCTTCTGAACAGACATCATCAGCACAAACCTCGGATAGAAGTGAAATATTCGAATTTCTTCACGTTTGACCTGTAGCTTGTTCTGCTAACCTTGATCTTGATTGGTTGCTGTTGATCTTAAATCTGTCATTGTTTACACCTTCGCTCTCATGGTATCCCCCTTTCGATCTGTTTCTTGATCCTATGTCGCCTATGATTTTTCTGATTGATTGATAAATTGGGTCAATGTCGATGTGTTTGTTGATTGCTAATTGACCTGAGTGCTAAGCTTCTAAAAATTGTTTAGTGTTCTTTGTGCTCCCCCTATCCAGTATTTCCACATTGTTCCGATCGAATGTATGTCCATAATTGTAGGGATGTATTGATATATGCGGAGAATTGTCGTGGTGTTTGACTGCTAATTGGTGTCCACGTAGATGAAGCTGAAGAGGCTGTCCACTTTGTCCTATGTAGTCTTTATTTATTTTGTACTTTCTCCATGAATGTCTTCGTCAGCCGACGACACAAAGAACAAAGAAGAAACATCCTCAAATATAAAGTAATCAAGAACTCAAAGCCACCCACTGAAGAAAACGCAAACTTGAAACTCAAATTTTTCCCTGCAATAGAGTCATCACTCAAAACTACCGGAATAAGTGAATAAACCCAACAAGAAATAAGACAGAACATAGTTCCACTAACTCGACGAGAGAGAGACAATAACGAGCTAACAGCACAACAACGAAAAGCCTTAAAGGAACTCAGGACCAAGGAGGATATAATCATAGTTCCTGCGAACAAAGGATGCATCACAGTAATTATGGACAAGGAAGAATATATCAAGAAAACCGAGGAACTACTTGAGCGGGGAGGCGTTTATAAACTGATCGTCACAAACCCAATGAAAACGTTTGACAACCAAATCTCAAGTACTCTAAACAAGCTTGTCAAAGGAGGACAAAACTCAAAACAGAATGAATCAAGAATGAAATCCAGTGGACCAGTAATTCCAGGATTCTACGGTAGGAAGAAACTCCACAAACCAAAAATTTCACTACACCCTATTGTATCCCTCCCCGGAACCGAAATATACAAATTTTCAAGAGAAATTTCAAGGATATTAAAACATCCGGTGGATGAATCCAACTACTCCATTAGGTCTCCTACACAATTCTTGGATAAACTCAAGGAGATTCAAATCGGCAACGACGAAACGATGGTATCCTTCGTCGTAACAGCCTTATTCACCTTAACAGAACCAAGTTAAGCTAAAGAAACTCTTTCTCTGCTCCTGACCAACGACACATATCTGAAAAAATATACGGAGCTTCAGAGCCAAAGTCTTCTAGAACTCATCGATCTATGCTTAACAACGCATTTTAAATTCAACAACAAAGTTTACGAACAACCAGAAGGAACGCCAATAGGATCACCAACATCAGGACTCATCGCGGAAGCTGTAATGCACAGACTAGAAGAGTCAGTTTTACCAGTGATCAAACCAAAAATATGGGTTCGCCATGTAGACTACACATTCGTCAGTATCAAAAGAAACGAGCTGGAGAACATCCAGAATCAGACCAATAACGGCTTCGATGACATCAAATTCACGATGGAGGGGAATCAAACAATATTCTATCATTTCTGGATGTACTAACCACTAGAACTAACACAAGAAAACTGGAAACTCAAGTATTTCGGAAGCCGACCTACACAGACGTACTTCTCAACTACAGTAACAACAACCGAAGAACCCACAAAATCAAGTGCATACAAACTTTGTTCAAGAGAGCGAAGACACACTGCACCACATATGAAGCACTAAAAACAAGGAAAAACATCTTTTAAATATCTTCCAAAAGAACGGCTATCCATGCAACTTCGTCAAAAAAAGTCAACCGAAATTGTCAACATTAGCAAAATCAAGTACAGAAACCAATAAACGCATCCTACCATACATAAAAGACATATCGGAGCATGCAGCACGACTACTGAAATCGTTTTGAAATAGGTGTGGCACACAAACCAATAGAATCAATTCAATCAATCCAATGTAGACCAAAGGACAAAACGACAAAAGTAGTAAAATCAAATATCATCCAAAAAATAAATTGCACAGACTGTGAAAAACACTACATAGGACAAAGTGGACAGCCTCTTCAGCTTCATCTACGTGGACACCAATTAGCAGTCAAACACCACGACAATTCTCCGCATATATCAATACATCCCTACAATTATGGACATACATTCGATCGGAACAATGTGGAAATACTGGATAGGGGGAGCACAAAGAACACTAAACAATTTTTAGAAGCTTAGCACTCAGGTCAATTAGCAATCAACAAACACATCGACATTGACCCAATTTATCAATCAATCAGAAAAATCATAGGCGACATAGGATCAAGAAACAGATCGAAAGGGGGATACCATGAGAGCGAAGGTGTAAACAATGACAGATTTAAGATCAACAGCAACCAATCAAGATCAAGGTTAGCAGAACAAGCTACAGGTCAAACGTGAAGAAATTCGAATATTTCACTTCTATCCGAGGTTTGTGCTGATGATGTCTGTTCAGAAGAACAATGAAAGCTGTACAACCAAAACATCCATCCGAGAGAACGATAAACCACCTCAATCATCCACCTGAGCTACGAATTTTTTTCACCATCTGAATGTTTATACTGTTGAAATAAAAATGAACACCTAAGGTGGAAGTATATAAATGAGAGAAGAATTGAAATCTTCCATCTTCTAATACTGTAAGTTGTGATTTATTCGTAAAAAGCAACAGAACACCAGTGATAGAAAGTATATTGGATCTCATCGTAATGATTCTATTAAATATCCAATATGAGTAACTCACAGTCTAGTACATAAATTTACTTTACATTAAACTAATTTTAGTATTTTAATTATTCCTGATATGAAATTTAGAGAGTATGACTATATAGATATTGAAATACAGCGATTGACTTAAATAATATCATAATATGGGCTCAATGTACTGAGATGCACCATCTTATTTTTTTAATTATGTGTAAATATGACATACTGAGAAACAAAATTATTTCTGTTTGTAAGTGAGTTCTAACTTGAATGTAAACTAGTAACAACATAATTACAGGAGTTTAATTTTATCTAAAAGTTGACTCCTGATTGAGTTATAGACTTCTATTTTTATTTTTAAAGACTGCATATAGGGAAATATGAAAAACTGTTAAAAATAAATTTGTACCAATGTTTTGTTGAAATTTTATTCCATCGAATGGGTCTAGGTACTTGATAGCACTCATTAATTTTAACTTTCAAAAAAATTTTCTCATGTTAAATGTCCTTCATTTAGTGAATAAAATTATCTAGAAAAATTCATTATTAGTGTAAATACATTGACTTTTATTTCAGGCAAGTAATCAGGTACCTTATTGGATACTCGACAGCATGGCAGTTTCTCGTAAAAATAATAGCGTAGTACGAGGAGCATTCAATTTACTTTTATTCTCTATGGTTATAATGCCAGGTGCAAGACAGTCGTATTCAGCTCAACTTTATGTTTTACAAATCACGAATATTGTAACTTTTATGCAACCGAAAATTATTCTTACCGGTCTAGCTGTTTGTACATCTGACGTCTCTGTTGGTATTGTCGGTGGTAATACTTTAAACTTAGGTGCGGGTTCACAATTCTTTGATGGTAAGTAAATTACTGTTAGAAATTCTATATTCAGAGTAATTTTGCTCCATTGCTATAGTACATACTTTTCGCAAATGAATAACGCTAAAATAAAAAAAAATGAAAGTTAGATTATTTTATTCCAAAAAACGTTCCTTTTTAAATGTATAGTAATTAATGTTTTCTTATTTCATAGAAATAAGCACTCACATCATCTGTAAACGATTTGCATCTGGTCATATTATATCATAAAAATAAAATCACGATGAACGGATCGATATAGGATATATTTACAGTTAACCATGAAAGTAATCGGTGACAATTACCAGTAGTAAAAGCATGAAACTATGATAATCCAACAGTCTGAACTTAAAGCTAACGAAGGAACATTTCAAATTTAGCACACTAGTCCAGTAAAACTAGATCTTAACTAATTAGCTAGACCATATTATTTAATAATATTTTTGTCTTGTTCAAACAAACCAGTTAAAGTAAATTAATTCCAAGGCAGATGTCTGTTATGCCTGCACGTAAACACGTCATCTTGATATGCTTGAACTATTACTAGTTTACCTAGTCGGAAAACGAGATCGAGGACCGCGGATCCGGTGACACGACATGCTACTCAAATCCGATTATCCTAACCCTCCAAATAAGAAGACATGTTATGAAGTAGAACGTGTATTATACAAGCATCCAGAAAGTACGAGGTCCGAATCCAGAAGAGAATCAGGATCTCGGACTAGGGATCCGGGACCGAGCCCTGGTCCTGGTCGTGGTCATAAAACGTTGCAGATAATGCATATTTATACATTTTGGTCAAATAGGAAACAGCATCGAATTCTGTGGCATTGACAGTTAAGACGACCAATAGGAAGTAACCATTTGAAATGACAGTCCGGATGACCAATAAGAGACAACATTGAAGTATTTGACTTTGACAGTTAAAACGACCATAATTTTGACCAATAGAAATCGACCAACAGGATTTGACCAATAATTCCCTTAGGATATTGGATGAATATCCTAACAATGTCATAGTGTATGATCTCATCCGGATATTATATGCTCTATAAAACACCCCGCTTATGAAGTTATGAGTGCGCAATTCTGAGGAGTTGCGTAGTAGAATGAAACGGCTGTCCTGTGCTTACACGTTTCTAATGATGGTCTAACATTGATCAGTTCATGATTCAGTTAATCTCAACAACCTCCATTAACTTGTATTGATATAAGAAGACAAAACTGTTTGAAAAATTGTACTTCAATAAGTGAAAGAATTTACAACTGTGCTGAGAACAAACTAGAGTTAGATAAGGTCAATTGAACGGCTGAATTAATCACTGTATTCTTATCATGCTTTCGCCTGACTGACTATGTAACCTTGTGATTTAATTTTGATTTGTAATTTAATTAAATTTAGGGTACTCACCACACTTAACAGTGTAAACACAACCTTCTATATTCTATCTATAATATTTGTAATTTATTTTCAAAAAAGCAGAGAAATTTTACTTAGAAATACATGTGTAGGAGAAAAATATCATTTTCGATTACGTCTTCATCCGGTTACATTCTAGTATTTATTAATAGTTACATGAACTGATTGAATATATGACAACATTACATTTCTTTCACTGATGCATTAACATCAATTAGTAGGTAGAATGCACAGTACAGTATAAATTTTCACCCAACTTTGAATGGAGACTAATCTAAGGATCTGTTCTGAACAGTCAGTGAACAGCCAACTTCAATCAATGAAGAGCATAGTCATCCAACCTGAATAAGAAATAATGTGAATTTTATTTTATTTGAAAATGAAGAAAATATATCTACTGTAAGTAATCGTAACCAACACGAACTAGTACTTAAGTAATCAGTATATACAAGGTTTTTGCTTCTGAATAACATACTTCTTCACTAGACCAAAATGTTATGACTTATTATCTCATCATTAATTTCATGAGATTTATTGCTAACTTACTCTCCACTTGATATCATTACATGGAAAAATTTGATGATGCAATAATTTAGTTAAAGAAGCATTTCTGGATGGTTTAGATTCAAATATATTAACTTAACTCCAAATAAAATGAATTATTGGCTAATATCCAACAAATAATATCCCAACAAATGAAATAAAGTCTTTGTTTTTATCATATTATTATGATAAAAAATTTCTTACTACTGAGAATATTGTTTTTCTTCAGGATTCTATTACAAGTGATGATTAACTTCATTTAAAAAAGCTAAGAAAACTGCTTTCTATGCAACACAACTTACCAATGAAAATATATGTCTCCTAGAATTGGTAGAACAAGGTATTAACATGTAAAAAAATGATGAAAACTTAAGTTTTTATACATTGAAATCATCAATCAATCATTGTTAAATTACTATTAGAAACCTGGAAGCACTGGACGGCAATTTTGTCCTGGTATGATACACATCAGTAATGCACATCCACGACTCCTACATCTCGTAGGATTAGACCCCAGGACCTCCGGTCTTGCGCACGAACGCCTTACCTCTAGATGATTTCAATGTGTAAAAATCACTAATATCCATAACTCCAATGGAAAAAGAAACTTCAAGTAGTAAGTTGACATTAATGCAACGAAATAAACCGCGGATCTAACGGGGAAAATACAGCAAGCTATATTCCAACTTATAGTTTACAATGTGATCTATAACATCCTAATACAGTAGGGTTTATAATTTGCCTACATTTTGCATCCGAATGATGTAATTTTGTTATCTAATTCACAGCAGTCCTTAATTTATTCAAAATCTATAAAAATAAACAATAAAAATAAATCATCGTCACAGTTTGAAATTATCGACCATTAATCTGGCTTGAATTTCCTTCAATAATGAATGCTTCATGAAAGCCTACCACAAAAAAAAGTTCGAATAAACCGCCATTTTCTTCATTGACTTTAATATACAGGAATAAAAATATATATATCAAACATTGCTATTACCTATTTCATTGAATGTTCATGATTAGGCTCTTTATTGTGATTCGACAACTTTCATTATCTTTTATTATTGACTAAAACTATTTTGGATATCACATATAATTAATTCTTAGGTAGTGAAAGTGTATCGAATTCAATGAAAGAAAGATCAGCAATTAACTTTCTTGTGCCCTTAAATGTCAATACACTAGCATCTTCAATTGTTTCAGTAAGTGTTACAATTAAGTATGGGACACAATCATCTCAAACCTTTGTCAGTTTACCTGTAATGGGATCTGAAGTAAGTGATTTTAATTGGATAATTTCCCAGTATATAATATTTAAACGTTTTCACTAAGTAATCTTCTCAAAGCCTTAATCTTAGTAATATAATTGTATGCTTTCTACACACTATTTATTACATAGCGGGAAAAGCAAATTCACGCTGTCCAAGTTTATTGGCAATGATTAAATTATTAAACTGAGACATAAATGTGTGGATTACCAATATCATAATTAAGGCGTTTCATCCTGTAGTATACTATACAGTAATCTTTTATCTTCTTTACAATTTAGCCTGTAAGTGAATAAAAATAGATTTATGCCATTAACATTGTATGCTCTCACTCAGTCGATCAAATGTCTCAGTTCTCTCAGATATGTAGTTGAAAATAAAAGTATCGTCAAAAGATGGAAGAAGCTACCTAGCTGTATACATTAGCAAGATTATTACAAACAAAAATCATCGACTGTTCTTCTGCAAATAAAATCAAATATACCATCTTTGATGAATATCAATTGCTAAATTATGTTTAAGAATTTTAAAAATTTATCTAAATGTACAGTTCAAACTTCATTTTTATCTTCTATTTTTATGTTTCAATTTCAGTTGGGTATACCTCAAACTTCTGTCAGTTATCAGATAGATGCCATTGATTTCCAAGACAGACCATATGAACGTAATTCTCTTGTTGCACCTGGACAAACTGTTCGAATTTATAATAGATTCGGTCTTCCAAACACTATGTGCACAACGTTCTCATTTGAATTTACTATGTCGTCCAGCCCATGGCCTATTGATTTTCTTGATGCACGACTAATTAGCTATGGTGGCTATTTATGGTTCCCTAGTACTGTTAATCCTTTAATAACTAAGTAAGTAAAAGTAATTACTTTATCAAAATTACATATTTCTAGATATATTTCTTTGGTATTTGGATTTATTTGTGATCATCTATGGTCTACTTTCATTGTTTTACCAACGAGTCGAATTCCTTAATTGCTTTTTATTCGCTTTAGATCTAAATGGCAAATGTGCTTCAGACAAAAGGTTTACGATAGAGTATATGTACAGCTTTATGAGTATGGTTTACAGTGGTTATAAATTAGATTGTCTAACAAGTAGGGATACAACCCCTAACTCAGGTCTCATATAGTGGAAAAATGAAAATTTCGGAAACGCGAAAAAATCATTGCACGGCATGAGACAAAGGGTAATAGAAGTGTTTGGGCCTAATTGCATTAAGCTGGGCTGCCTCTTCTACTATCCTGCGCCATATATGTATACACCATATGCTATACTGCTATATAGAGCTGAAGGTCTCCTATAAGACTAGAGGCTCGCAGTGACTATTGCGGATGGCATGGTCTTGCTTTGATGAGCATTGTTAACAGTCCATATACAAAATTGGTTAGCAGGGTGACCGATTTCATTGATATAGGTGGTTGTTTTGCGACATTCCTGTCTTTGGGGTGCTGTATTACATATCACCAGTGTTAGTAGCAAATACCTTGAAAGGGATGTAGCTTTCTGGGATGATTGAAGGCGGCCCTGAGCCATGTGTTTGGGGAGGCAGCCGTAGACATCCTGGACTATAGACGCCAACCCTATGTGGTCATCCCTTACACGCTGCACCTGATGTAGTGTGTGAACTGGCGTCGAGGCCCCTTAAACAAGGGTCTCCAGTTGGGCTCCGGTGCTTTAGTGCTGAAAGGGTACTGAACACCAATGATGTCTGCCCACGTCTGTGGGATGAGCTCCGCTTGGCTGAGCGCTTGCGTTTGGTCGAGTCCATGACATCTTCCTCATGGAAAGGTGTACGTTCTAGCTGACCTTGTGGGACAAACTCGATCTTTAGCTTTATGTGGGGCTTTGAGGACTCCGGTCGATTGTTCAGCGCAGGGCAGTTGGAGGCAGACGGTTGGAATGGCTACTGGTCAGTGCACTGCTTGGGTGGCTCGGTAAACCGCTTCGGGGTGCCAGGTCTAGCTGGGTAAGCCCGCCTTGCCGCCCTTGCCGATCGGGGATTGTGGGCCGTGGTTTGGTTGGTGAGATTTCTTGATTCATAAGTGCCCCGGGCGGGGGCCACTGCTTCTGTGTGTACTTTTTGGATGTCTAACTTGTCTGCAGACCAATCTAGACAACATGTATGTTCCCGCAAGGGGCAGGGCTGATTACTGTTGGCTACAGTGAGAAACCTTGCTCTGCATATCAACGCAGCGATGTGCATGTGCAGCAGGCCTGTTGGTTGACCATGAATATATTTTTATCACAGATACAGACACATAGTTTTATGTGTCTGTAATTAACAATATCTTGATAATTCACGACGATAACAAAGAGCTATTGTTGTAAAATCAGTTTAATTTAAAAATATTCGTATTTTATTGTTATAATAATATCATTTTTCTTATTCAAAAATTATCAGTAATTTTTCAACTTCAGGTGTATTTGAAAATTTCAATTCTTTGAAAATCGATGGCATTTTCTCGTTAAATCTTCAAAACTATGAATTTATGTATCCTTTTTTAGGATACCTTTATCACATAATTAAGTGAAATAGTTTGAAAGAAATAAGACAGCTTTCATCATAAAATAACATCAACTGAAGAACAATTTAAAATGAAGGATTGGGAAGTGGTTGGTTTTACTATTAGTTAACATACTGTTGAGGACTTTAGATCCCTAGAACTCGTTTGATAAATGCCTGAATTTTAGATTTTATGTCTCCGAGTATGAGCTGATCAGCTGACCTTGAGATCGCATTTCCCGCCAGGAAAATCCTTGGCTGTGATTGGTTGCTGTGTATTTTAGTGTGCTATTTTTGTGACTCTCCAAAGACGTTTCTAAGATCTATAAATAAACGAGATTTGTGTGCTTGATTGCATTACGCTTGTTGGGTGTTTGTAGAATACACTTCTACGCTATATCAAGACTTTTCGTTAGTCAACGGATCAGAGTAGCCTACCCGGACACCGGTTCATTGTCTCGTTCTCGTTTATCGACTAAGGTGAACCCGTAATAGTTTCAAACATAGCAAGTGCCGAGCATAGCAGCACATGCATGATGTTAATTCTCTCTAAATGATCTGGATACATTTTGTGATAAAAACAATTTTCAGTTTTGAAATGAATTAAAATTTACTGACTGTCAGTGCATCAAAAAAGAAGAACCATTGAATTTACTTAAGATCGAATTCATGTCAAGTTAATTATATATTTTTTGTGCGTTTTAGATCAGGTTCGCCAACGACTAACAAGATCATAATGGACTTAGGATCAATATGTGTTCCGGAAACATATGAAAATCTGGTAAAATATGTTGTGATTTTTTATGGTTGTCTCCATTTTACTCACTAAACTATCACTTCAATAAACTTAGTCTCATGCATCAGAGGTTATTTTGTTACACGTCATCCATGCCTTGTTTAAAGATCATTAACTCAAATCACTATTTGACCTAAGTACTACCAAATGATATTTTGTAGATGAGAAATATGAGTTCATTTGCTGTTGCATTCTCTTACCTTACTGGCTAGATTCAAATTTTGAAAAATTATTCTGTAGCAACAAAACTATCGACTCCTGCTTCTGTTTAAAAACAACGACTGTCTACATATTTTCCTGATGATTGCTCCGTTACCACAAGAATCTTTTTTCTTTAAAATAGCAGTTAGGTATGACCTAATTTTCTAGCTTTCAGTGGTTGAAATATACACACATACACTTTAAAATCATTATATATATATATATATATATATATATATATATATATATATATATATATATCAGATAGGCAATGGTAAATTTTACTACGCTAGAAATACTGTACACTATTATCTAAATTAATTACCATGTTAAACATTAGTACAACTTTATGTTCCCTTGGTTATCCTAAGTCCAATGAAATATTGTAAATAGAATACTATCCTGAAGATTAGAACAATTTGAGAATAGACTTTGATACTTCTCAATTCATCAAACTTCAACACAAACTTCAGATAGAAGTGAAGTATTAGAATTTCTCCACGTTTGACCTGTAGCTTGTTCTGCTAACCTCGATCTTAATTGGTTGCTGTTGACCTTAAATCTGTCGTTGTTTGTACCTTTGTTTTCATTATGTCCCCTTTTTGATCTATATCATCTACAAAATAAAATGCTCAGACTGTGAAAAACACTACATAGGACAAAATGGACGACCTCTTCAGCTTTGTTTACGTGAACACCAATTAGCAGTCAAACGCCACGACAATTCTTCACTCATATCAGTACACACCGACTATCATGGACACACATTTGATTGGAACAATGTGGAAATACTGGATAGGGGGAGCACAAACAACACTAGAGAATTTTTAGAGGTTGAGCACTCAGGTCTATCAGTAATCAACAAACACATCGACATTGATCCAATTCATCAATCAATCAGAAAAATCATATGTGACATAGGATCAAGAAACAGATCGAAATGGGGATACAACAAGAGCAAAGGTGTAAACAACGACAGACTTAAGGTCAACAGCAACCAATCAAGATCGAAGTTAGCAGAACAAGCTACAGGTGAAACGTGGAGAAATTCGAATACTTCACTTCTATCTGAAGTTTGTGCTGATGATGTTTGTTCAGAAGAACAATGAAAGCTCCACAATCAAAACATCCAGCTGAAAGAACGAAACCCCACCACAATCATCCACCTGAGCTATAAATGTTCTCCACCATCTCATTAAACTTCAATACATAATGAACATTTTGATGCATACTGTTTGTAAAACAGTTCCTTTTGGTTGTTGTACGTTTAGAAGATATATTTCTCTGCGTAAATTGAGAGATATTGAGTAACATATTATTTTCTAAAATCTAAAACTTTAACAGCAAAATTTAAGCATGATATCTTACGTGAAAATATTATTATTATTATTACAAATACTACTAAAACTGTGATAGGAAGTAATCCAGTGTAATTTGAGTTGATAAAATTTGTGGTATGCTAAACGTATGGTCTCGTTAAGATTTGTCTGATCCAAAGTGTATACCACAATTTTGCATTATGAGATAAACAACAGTCACCATATGTAAGTTAATGAGATAAATATTTACAAGTTATTACCGAGTAGAGATTGACTATGATCATCACTAAGTACTAATTACTAATTAAAGCCCCGTCACGTTATTGAAAAAGTAAATCCAGGGAAAGAATATATTTGAAGGAGAAAGTGGGCGACATTGGGAGAAGCAAGTAACTTATTATGACAGCAACGTAAAAACAGAAAGTTGCGCGTGTTTTTAAGTACAGCTAAACAAAAGGTTTACACTAATAAATGTTCCCTTTTCACCAGTTGCGTTTTCTTCGTAGAAGTATTCAACTACAAGATAAACAACAGTCACCAAATGTAAATTAATTAGATAAATATTTACAAGTAAATGAAAAAAACACTGGTCAAGATCATAATTATTGCGTAACCATGAGACATCATCATAAAGAAATTTGAGTAGTTGATAGCATTGTTCTTATGGTATTCGATTCTCCTGAAGTACTGAATTACATCAGATGCCTTTTACTTGATAAATAGTACATACTAACAGTCCATACAATCAATATATATCACTCCAATAAACAAATTTGTAAATTCACATAATAAATCAAAGAAACCTCCTTCAAGTGATTAAAATCCTAAACTAACAGCGATTGAAAAACTGGAAGCAGCAGGTGGTAATTTTGTCCCTGTACAAGACCCAATAGCAATGTGCATTCACGATACCTTGACTAAAAATTAAACTTCGGATCTTTGGTCTCGTATGCGAATGCCTACCCCTTTAAATTACTTACCTACTTACTCCTGTTACCCCTAACAGAGCACAGACCACCGACCAATATTCTCCAACCTACTCTGTGCTGGGCTTCCCTTTCTAGTTCTGTCCAGTTTTTATTCATTATTCTCATGCGTGTCACCATTTCTCGGTGTAATGTGTTCCTTGGCCTTCCTCTTTACCTTTGACCCTGAGGATTTCAAGTGAAGGGTGGTGTTGTGACGCAGTTTGATGTTTTTTCAATGTGTGTCCTGTCCGATTCCAGCGCTTCTTCCTGACTTCCTCCTCCGTTGGAAGCTGGTTTGTTCTCACCCAGATTAGGTCGCTGCTTATGGTATCTGGCCAACAGATCCGGAGTATTTTGCGTAGACAACTGTTATTGAACACTTGTATCTTCTGAATGATGGCTGTGGTAGTTTTCCAAGTTTCCGCCCCTTACAGTAGAACTGTCTTTACATTTGTATTGAGAATTCGGATTTTGGTGTTTGTTGACAGGTATTCTGATTTTCAGATGTTTTTCGATTTTAGGAATGTAGCCCTTGTTTTACCGATTTGCGCCCTCACATCTGCATCAAGTCCACCTTGGTTTTCGATGATGTTGCCCAGATATGTAAAGTTATTAACGTCCTCCAAGTCATCTCTATCAAGAGTGATTTTGTTGGAGCATGTTGTGTTGTATCGGAGGATCTTGCTTTTGCCTTTATGTATGTTAAGACCTGCTGCTGATCAGGTTGCTGCTACACTGGTCATCTCTTGCATGCACTGTTACGTGTGCGATAGAAGAGCTAGATTATCCGCGAAGTCCGAATAGTCCAGCTGCATTCTGGCTGTCCATTCGACACCGTGCTTTCCTCCAGATGTTGACGTCTTCATAATCCAGTCAATGACGAGTTTGTTGATGTCACATAAGTTTGCAAATCTCTCACCGTTTTAGTTCCTTTCTCCCAGTCCACGTCTTCCCATGATGTCTTCATATCCAGTGTTGTCCATTCCAACCTTGGCATTCAGGTCTCCCATAAGAATCGTCAAATCCTTTGGTGAACATGTCTCGACGATTGATTGAAGCCTTTCGTAGTATTGATCTTTATCGTCGTCATTGTAGTCATTGGTAGGTGCATAGCATTGAATGAGGTTCATTGTATTGTCCTCCTTCTTTGTTTTGAAGGATGCTTTGATGATCCTGGGTCCATGAGATTCCCATTCTATCAGTGCCTTTTGTGCTTGTTTGGACAGCACCAGTGCAACTCCTTGTGTATGTGAAGCATTTTCCTCTTCATGACCAGAGTATAACAGCAGTTCCCCTGAAGCTATTCTCAGTTGTCCTACCTGCGTCCAATGTATTTTACTGATTCCAAGCACCTCGAGGTTGTATCTTTTCATTTCTGCCGCAACTTGAAATAGTCTTCTAGTCTCCCACAATGTTCGAACATTCCATATACTGAAAAGAATGGTTGGTTTGGTCTTCAGAAGGCGCATCGGTCTCGTGAATTTCGGAAAGAATCGGCTTTCATCATGGGACGTCATAACTCTTCTGAGGGAAGACCTGCTCACTCCCAGGACAAAGTTAAAATGGTTTGGATTGGTTTTTCTTGTTAGCGATTTTTAAGTGAGTTACTTTTTATGGGTTGGGGTCTCCAACCCTAAGCTCAACCAGCCATTTTTATCCGACCTTGCGTTTGACAGTAGCCTCAGAGGAGCTCTAGGTGGAGGCTTTTAAATCACTGACCACGATTCAATGTAGTACCAGTCTAGATCCAAACAATTAACCTACTATTAAGTTCATACTGACAGACTGATAAATGATGCATGAATATAATATAGATTTTATTAGGAAATACAATTTATAAAGTAATATAATTTCTTACGTTACTTCGTAGGTCCGCATCGATTTATTTTTTCGCCCAAGGAATAATTTTTCAATAAGTACTGTAAATGGGAATATAAATGTATCGATTCAAAGTTTACTTACAGTGGGTACTCTGTCTGGTCCACTAGCTTTATCAAAAGGCAGTTTCGTGTTTAACAAGGACGCACTCATGCAAGAAAGTATGGTTAAATTGTCATCATTCGGTGACGACAAGTATGTAAGTTTAGTTTTCGGTTATGAGTCTACATATTTTACAGTGTGCAAATATAATTAGGTTTGTATGCAACGACAGGATTTAGATTATCACAGTAAAGAAGAACTCTGATTCTTAATTATCTACAAACTGAATAACTTTTACCAATTAGGTGCTGAATAATTTTCTAAAAAAAAGTAAAAAAAACCTATTATCCAGTTAATTCAATAACTTCATGAAATAGCCAACGATCAAGTGAATCTCTTCTCTTGTTGAGTACTTAATCACAAGCTAACAATGAGAATTGTCTTTTAACAAATATTCAGTTCAGTCTTATAATTTAATCTCTTTACAGAAACCTATTATCAAAAATATTACTAATGGAATTTCTTTTCAACCACGTGTATGGACAAATTTCACATTTAGAGTACAAGTACCATTTTCTTCCTATCTGCCTAATTCATCCATCTTCGTGGGTGGTGCTAATTCTAGTGCAGAGAATGAATCAATTTTTACTATTAGCGGTGCATTTTTAACGTTTGGATCTAATTTGGCTGCATTACGATTGGACGAATTTGAACAGTCGTATTCGTCTACTTACATGAATGGACAGAAAGATTTGTTGGAAATAAAATTGGGAAACGTTGTCAATACAGGTAGTAAACAATAATACAAAATTAATATTCTAGTCATTTTCTACCTTTTTGCGGATAAGGTTATCGACTGACAGATTCTGAGCACGTTTGTTAATGCATTTATCAATTAAATAATCATACCGTCGATTGGATTAATACGATAGTCGAAACAGATTTCTGCTAATGACATGTGAACAGATTTCTTGAAATATCTTATAGCTCATCAACTCCAAGAATAACAGATGATAACAGTTGGTATGTAACTACGAAGAATTGGAAATTTAATGCTTTCAGATCCATGAAAGAAAGATGTTCCTTCAATAAATTCTCAGTTGGTTCAAACTGATAATCAAAGGACGTATACATAGTTTAAAAGACAGGATACCAGGGTTAGAAGTATTAGCTAGTTTCCGTAATCACTGTAATAATCACAATTTATGGGCTGTTTTGTATATGTTTATATGTGCAGATGGGCGGTTAGGTAAACAGGTATTATTCGATCCGGTTGAAGGCCAGTTAAATTTAATTGTCTAGTCAGAATAATGATCGATCATAAAGGCTCAGAGGAATAATAATGTAATTAGTTGATCACGAAACACATATATGAATGAAGAATATTATTTACGAAAACTTCCCCTCTGGTTCTTCCATATCGATAATCCCAGAAGTGGTAGGGTTTATGGCAAAATACATGATTTAAAACTGGAGCATTTGAATTTACGATTGTTTACAATTAAATTTGCTAATTTTGCGATGACTGATTTGATGTGTTCACTTGAATAAGTTTGTATGCAAAATGAAATCATGAGACTGTTGATCAGAATAAATGCAGTTAACATGGGTTAAGAGATAATAATGTAAGGAGAACAACACATATAAGTGAAAAATATTGTTTTTATTTAGATTGTCATGATTTCTTAAATACTTATGTGAAAATGTTTAACCAGGCAAAGTAATTTGAGTCGATAATCATAATGAAAGAGATTACGTCACTACACATAATAAGTAAAAGTACAAGTTGGCAGTAGGTTCGAACCAAATTGACACTTTGGAAATGGATAACAGAATAGATCTGGGAATACAATAACTAAACCAATAAAAACTTTGGAAAACCAAAAACCAGAAAAGGAATTTCCTTTCGATCCGAAACGGTATGTACATAATTTTTCCAGTATTGAACTAGATGTAGTACAGTTAGGAGCCTTATCTCTTGGACCTAAATTCTGTGATAAATGGCATACAATCAACTAATTAGGTACTGATGTACAGTTTGAGAATTTGTTTTCACAAGCAATTAACTTCATTCCAACCTCATTGGAGAATTTAGCTAGGTTTAAGTCCAGGTTAGTTGATAGCTGTCAACAGAAGAATAGTAAGTGTACCACAAAACGCCTACAAACCAAACAGCATGGGGGCTCCTAAAATAAAACTAAGAAAAGATAGAACGTTGATTATAAGCAAGCCAGATATAGCGGGAGGTACACTTCTGATGAACAAAACGGATTACATCGACAAAATGGAAGCAATGTTTAGTGATCCTAGAAAATTTCAAAAATTTACTAATAATAAAGACATCAGTAAGAAAGTAGAAAAACAGATGGCTAATTATCTGAAGGAATTAAAAAAAAATGGAATAATTACATCAGAGATTCATGATTCACTTAGTGCAGCTGGATCAAATAAACCACGACTGTACAGTTTACTTCAAGTTAATTAATTTGGTCTTCCACTATACCCAGTTCTAGATATGTACACTTCTCCTTATCACAAAGTTGTACATTGTACGCAGCCAATCTGGTTTCGACTTTCTGCAGTCGACCAGCGATATCTACTCAAACGAAGGATGAGAGTTACCTCAGTTAGACTCTTCAGTGTGCATTTACAAATTCAGCTTCTCTTGTAGAGATGGTTATATCGGGATTAATACCAAGGAGCTTAACCAATGAGTGAGTGAATATCTCCCAGCATGATGAATAAATAAAAGTTGCAAGCGTTATAATGAAAGCAAAGATAATTATAGTGTTAATAACAATGATATTTATGAATATAGTTTACGCTAGGAAAGTGCAGAGAGAGAGGCTGTGTGAATAATAATCAGATTACTATTTTTATAGTTATCGTTATCGAATCCATATGTAGTAAATGAGCTGGAATCGAGCACCTCTCAGAGTGGTTTGGCGAAAGTGTGGTTAAATCCGTTAAAAGATCGATTCGAGCTATAATGTATGATGATGTATCCATTAGTCCGATATAATGTTCTATCAGTGGTTACGTAATGTTTGAAATTATATGTTTTGAACAAACAAATCGCACCAGTGAATGACAACAAAATTAGAAAATCTTTATTCTTGTTCACTTTATTATTGCAAAAATATGAAATAGAAAATAATACATAATACGTCACTTTGTCATTATAATCATCACTAATCGTGTCTGAGAAGAATCTAGTTAACACAAGAGATTAAGTTCGAATGGATGACTCCAGTTTGTCAATTGATACGATAAGTACTACTACAGTTTAAAGGATTTAGAATCTGGTCTGCTTTAATAAATTACTATTAACATGGTAGATTATTGATTGATAACTGTAAATCTCTTGTTTCGTTACAGTAAGATGAACTGGTAGAAAACACTTTACTACCTCAAACTTACCCTCTCTATACCTCAACTTTTGTTCTTCATAAATCACTAATCGTTTAACAGATTTGTAATTTCCAATGAAAAATGAAATAATATTGTTGGGGAAAAGATATTATTTCGCTAAATTTCGTTTCTAATTAGTTAATGAACTTATAATACGATCTCAAATAAAGTGCTCTGTCTATTCCAAATGTATAAAATAAATTATCGTAAATCTTTAGTGAAATCTTCTCAAACCAATTATCATGTGTTTATAAACTTACGTAGTGATTTGATCTCAACTTTACATTATCTTATTATCAGGATAAATAAAAAGATGTTGAGAGTGGGCTAAAAAATTTTATTGGTTAAAATTAACTTTATGAGATTTATAAATCTATCAAAGTATCACATGAAACTAAGTAGCAAAAAATTAAACTATTTGCCTTCAGAAAAGATTATTACAACACTTACAGTATTTAGGAGTAGACGTGGAAAGACTAGTTAATACTCTTTTTAGTTTTAAATCTAAATCTGTAATATTTTCTTCTAATTTACATAAACATTGTTAATTAGTAATTGTTATGATTAGAAAATTATCTACAAGTAAAATATAAGTCTATTCTTCTTTTACCTTCAAAGCACCAGTTAAAGCATTTTGATCAATTTTTGAAACTGTATGTCTGTGAAGACAATTTATGAACAGAAAATATTTAGAATCACATGAGATAGCGAAACACTAAATCTTCAATCAATTTTTCGGTACGGTGGCTAACAACACTAATATTTAAACAACAATAACACTTTGGTTTCAATTTTGAAAATTATTAACCCACTAGCTATGATAAAATAAAGATTTATCAATTCAAGGTTTTGTGGAAATCACAACATTTTCATAGTTTAATCCACGAACCGATCTTAGACCAATATGGACAACTTGGGGACAATGGAAGAATGCTTCGTTCTTGTGTAGAACTTTTCAAGCACGAACGTTTGAAATTTTGATCACTGAGCCTTCATCCAACGGTGTTGAAGCCTAATTTCAACCTAATCACGTTTTTGACCAAACATTATACATTGTCTGGGTTGGATATATGTTGAGCACTCGACATCGTTGTACTCCACTTGTTTGTAGATTAAATGTCCGAGTACAATACTGAAAGTCATGGGTTTGAATCCTTGATGCGAGATCGTGGATTTGTTTTGCTAAGGGTTCTCGTATTGCAATGAAACAGCCATCTAGTGCTACCATGTTTTCCATGGTGGTCTAACTAAGGTCAGATTATTATTTAAACTATAAAAATAAGGATTCACTTCTACTTTAAGTTGAAATTTTCAGTTTTCTCATTCATACCCTCTTCATTGTAGTTTTTTGTCTATATATTCTCACTTTTTGAAATTATCCATATCGAGATTTTATCAGCACAATTAAGTTTTTACACATATGTTGTAATCGTCAATAAACTATGAACCTCTCTTTGATAATGATTGGGCATGGAGGATCCTCTTTTGACCTTTCCCTCAGATTTCCTGTGACTGTTATTTATAAATTAATCTGAACCAACCATTATCGTAAATCTTCCCTAACTTTAGAGTTATCACAACTTTCATGACTGTTTATAATCTTCAAAAGTGTATACGTTAAGTTAAGATAAAAAATAGGTGACTTTTTTTTATTGTTGATGAGTGTGGATATAAATTGCTGGTATTTTTTCCGCAAAACTTCTAGGTATTCTTTTACAACCAGATTCAACTAGTATAGGTGAAAATGATATAGCGGTTCAAGTATCAATTCGTTTATCTGATAGTAAACTGAGTGATAATGGAACAAATGTTTCGCTGCCCATTCGAGTTAAATTTGGTAGCCTTGAAGCAGTCAGTCAAATGGAAGGCAAAGTGTTTAGAATTGGAAATGAATTCCTCGATTTACAAATGGACATTATAAATTTAGATCAAAATTTGACTGGCATAGTATATAATCCAAAGTAAGTTTATCATTATGTATGTATAAATCAACTTACAAAGAAACCAATATGTCATTTTATTGAATTTAAGGGATGTGTAAATTACGTTGCCTTTAAACAATTTAACGGGCAACAGAAAGATCATGAAATAGTCAAAAAGTAGATCCAAACACATTCAGTTTTTATTCATTGTGTAAAAAAATGATTTTACATTCTCTAATACATTCACCTATATTAAAATCAATTAAAACTGGAATGTGAAAAGCTCAAATCTTTTCTTTGAGGAAATGAGATTTTGAATCCATTTCTGTTCTCAATGTAAATTTCATGGACTGATAGCAGTTACTGAACTAAATCAGACTGATATTGAGACCGGTGTTTTCATCACTAATACTGTCATTCCAAGACTATCCGCCCTTCAAAAGTACATAAGAATTGTGTGTTCTTATGGCCCACATTAAATACAACTAGCTCACCTTACCATACGACCAATAAATGTGTAACAGAATTCCTACAACCTGTTAGAAATCACATCAACAAAAGCAGAACACTGAACTTTGTAGTGGATTATTTACGAGAGATTTCTTATGTCTCGTATATCAGTCGGCTCGAAATATAGTTTATTACCTTAAAGCACTGAGCAGAAAGTCACGTGTACGCTAAGTGCATACTCACAGATATGGAAATTTGATAAAACCAATGAATAGGATTTAAGAAGCACATATACAAAAGATAGCGAACAACTCATCAAGTAACTTAAGCAATTAACATTTAAGTTGATAAGCGGAATGTGTGTAGGCTGTAACAAGTGACTAAGCATACAAGCTCATAAAAACATGATAATAATAATAATCATAGCAATAATACAACAAACATATCAAATCATAGTTTCTGTCCGAATGACACTGTCTCTTAAATAAGTTAATTGAAAGGTCTAAACATACAGAGACTAAAATGTAAATCAGGTGCTATAACTCTCCATTACTGTTGTCAATGTAACCACAGTTAAAATGATATCATCAGATGTGACTTTACTTTTTCACAAATGGGCCTTGAATAGTGACCATATGCTTCGTGACCTTCCGGTTTGGTTCGATTGCTGCCATCAATCCATCAAATTTAAATTTGAATCAGCATTAAATTCGAAATTTCATTTATTCGATATCTTATTAAACAGAAGACAAGATGGTACTTTACGACTTGGAATGGACAGGACAAAATTTTCATAACTATTTCCTGTTACAAGGCAAAAGAAAATTATTCCAAACTTTATCTTCAAAATATAGGCTAATATACTCGAAAGGCATGATAGATGAAAAAAATCCAACCTTTGATGGATATTCCTCAAAAACTACTATCTCTCCAGGTTTGTGGAGAATAACATGGAAACCACACATTTTCTTAGAAAACGTTTTATATGAACATTGAGCTAGAGGGATAATACTGTTGCAGACATTTTGAAGACTCATCTCACGAGGTCTTTGAGGAGAATTCCTTCTCCAACCAAGTTTCTCAATGTTCATTCGAATCGCCCCATCATTCATGGATGTTTAAAAAACAAACTCTGGCACTGGGCTACATTACTGTTTAAATATAAGTTCATTTGTTCTTAAGGAGCAGGTTATATAGATCACACAAAGTGAGTGCTTTCCAAACATAACTCCTAATATTGTACTGTAAGGCTTTCGAAAGATGAATTTAAGGGAATCAGCAGTTCAGTATTAGAACTCCTTGTCACATGGCCCTATCTGATAAGTCCTTTAAAACCATCTCTACGATCGGGCGATTTAGTTCAAGCCGAACGCAAATTAATAACTTATGCACTTCATAGGCGCTAGCAATCCATCTTCTCATAGATGAACTATGTGTTCAAAAGAGACACGTATAAGACATCATTCCTTCATGGTCCTAACACTAAGTTTTCATAAAATTTAACTTGATTCTCCGACATCCTTCTAACATTTCGAACCTTGATTTTGATTATCACTAATTATCAGCTTCATGTCGTGAATGTGTTCTTCAACGTTTTCTTACTCATCAAGTGGATAATTATCCTTTACACATTTGATTTCATTTTATTATCTCTTCTCAATTCTTGATTATTAAGCAAATCTCTTTAAAACATGATATGATGTAATCATCTTCCTATTTTTCAATAGACTATTTTATTTGTAAATTAACAACAAGTACAGTTTGAGTATGTGATATCATCGGAACAAAAATTTTCTCCTCTAAATTGTCTTCTCCATCTTCTTCAATGACACCATGGGTTAATTTTATTATTCCAGTCATTATTTCCTTGTCTTGCGGCGTTGGACTTTCATTCTCTTCTTAATTCCTTGTATCTTCATCTTGACGTGAGTCCTTGCCATAATTTCAAAAGTCTATAGCTTCTGATAAATAATCGCTAATCTTTATGCACAGTTTCAACTGTGCTCAACTCTACTCAATTTTGAAATCACTATTCTGTAAAACAGGCATATAATTCAAATTTCAACTTTTAAAAAGAATATTGTACAAGTTAAAGTAGATAAGTGAATGAAAAATTACTCAATTTCTAAATGCTTTAATATTAGTATTTTGAATATATAATTCTTTCCAGTGATACAATAAATTTGAAAGCTAAAATCCAAATGATGAATAATTCTAAAAGGGAATGTGGAAAAATATCGCTAAATATTTATCACAGTTTAGCTGTAAAATCAGCAGAAATTTTATACTCCATCCCATCAGACTCTGTTCAATTCAAACGAAATGAAACAATCACTGATAGGGGATTCACACGTTTTGTAGTAAGTTAATTTTCTTTCTCCTTATGATAAATGTTCCTTTATGGTAAGCCTTACAATTTGCTTACAGTAGCGCTTAAACATAGGATCCACGTTGAAAGTTAGAATAGTAAGTGACTATTTAAGGTAGTATTATTATTTCACTCTTTAGAAAATACTTAACTATAGCATCCTTTGAAAAACTATTCATTTCAGTAAACGAAACTACATGGAACATTTTTTAATTAGATTGATTCAGCGAAGAATAGCACTTCAGGCGAATTCATTTTCAAAGCTTTACAATCGTAAATATCAGAAGGCTGTTTCGATATAGTATAGAACTCAACAAAAAATGAGCAGCCCCTATTCTGTACACGGGAATCGAACCCAGGACCTTTGGCTTCACTTGTGGATACCTTCTGAGCCGGCATCCAGTGGTGTTGGTATCCAACTTCAGTCAATGCACGATCATCTTCAGTATGTTGCAATTTTCGCTATAGCCTGCTATTTTATTCCCTTCACTTAAGAATAACTATCTTAATCTATTCCTACCTCCATAGAAGTTATACCAAAGCTCGTGCTTTTTTATGCATTTATTTAAGTTCAGTAATCAGTTTCATTATGAACTTGTCAGAAACTACAATTAATATACAACAAAATCGAAATTTTAAAATGCAGAGGATATAACAGCCATGTACTTTTAATGCAGCTTTTTTCCATATAGATTGTTGTCGTTATTTTTAACAACGCTTTGAATCCATAAGTTAAGTTTTATTTTTAGGTTATAATGCAATTAATTATTATAAATGTTATCATCACACACACACAGCCGTTATCCCGAATTTTATTAAACGTAATTAATAGCTACACACATGTTCATAAAATCAGACATATACAGTCATGAATACTTCAGAATGTAATAATTCAGAGAACGATCATTTTACTTAATTAAAACACAGCTATAAACTCGCACAACAATGTTTTCCAGAATCTCGTGCCTATATTTATCAACCAACAACTAAATAAATGCAAGTTCCCTTGACTTAAGTCCACCATTCTTGCGACTCAGCTAATTACCTTTACCAAGTATCATATTCATAAAATAAAATATTTGTTTCAATTTTTCCACTAAAATATTGCACATATCTTTTCTTCATTTAGGCAAGTGGATTTTATTTTGATAGCAATATAGATCTTTACTTAAAACTACAGCTAAATGATAAGATATTCATTCCAAGTGGTAAAACAGAAGCAAATCTAATAATAGTTGCTGAACTTGTTTGTATTACATATGATCGGGACAAAACTCTGTTAAATTCATGCAAAAATTCGACATTGAAAAGAATCATGAAGAAAATTGTAGTTAAAGCTAAACAACAACAAAATATGGCGGGTAAGTTAAATTAACTTATATGATTCATCATCTTTAATATCACAAACTGATTTAGTAAAACAATCACTAAAAACTAGGAAGCATTAGACAGTTGTTTCATCCTAGTGTGAAATTCCTCAGCCGGTTATACTCACAACCCAAAACCATCGCCCACACAACATGCCCTGATCTCTAAACCATTGAGTGGATATCTGGTTGTGTGTAAGCCTATCCTCGATTAATAAGAATTCATAAAAATTTATTTCAAAATTTTACTGGATTATAACATATTTTGTTCATATGTACAATCTTATTATAATTATTCAAATGTAAGATTTGCTATATCTGTAAATAATGCAATCTTTTAACAGCTTTTGCTTATTATACATAAAATTTGTGTTAGATAAACTTAGAAGTGACATGTTACCGACTGAACTTGGGTGAGAAATTTCGTAAGAACAACCGTCGTCTGTATTATTTTTACCATTTAGAAGATAGGAGCTTAAATTGACGACTGCCAAAACAATCATAAATTTACTTGTCAAAGATTTCTGCCACCGGTGGTAATAACTTAAACTTAAACGCCAGAATTTTGCGTGTGATCGGCTTCAATCGGAATTCACCTCAGCCTTGTATCCACACTCCTTGGTCAGAAAAATGTTTTACATTACCTAAATTTCTTTTCTACGACTCCCAGGGGGGATTACTCTATCACGATATGAATAGACAAGAGGTGTCAATTACCTACACAACTCTAACACCATCGAAGTAACAATATGTCGTCTGTAGTTGGATGACACAGTTTTATAAACTACTCTTTAAAACTTCCATAGGAATCTCTTAATGTAGATGTATGAAATGCACAAGTTTCAACTATGGCAGAGACAGTATTCAATATCAGACAACTAATTAGACCTATTAAAAGGAAAGGATTTAAGACATCAACTTCTCTTAAAAGTATTTAGGTAGAAGACGGAGTAGCTATTTATTAAGAAACAAGCCACTCTGAAATAACCGGGAGACCAGGCCTATAATGAATTCAAATGATGTATAACAACACTCCAGTTCCCCATTATGCATTGACAACTGAAAGAGAGATTTTATATCAGAGACGGTTACCAAGTTAGTGATGTTCAGGCTTGGCTTTACAGATTCACCCACTGAGGTATTAAGAAATACGCTATGTGTATCCGGCCATCTACGCCGATGGGCCGATGAGTGAATAATTGTCGTGGTGTTTGACTGCTAATTGGTGTTCAAGTAAACAAAGCTGAAGAGGCCGTCCACATTGTCCTATGTAGTGTTTTTCACAGTCTGAGCAATTTATTTTGTAGTTGATATTTGATTTTACTACTTTTGTTATTTGGTCCTTCGATCTACATTGGATTGATTGAAGTGATTCTGTTAGTTTGTGTGCCACACCTATTCTAAATGGTTTCAGTAGTCGTGCCGTATGCTCTGATATGTCATTGATATGTGATAGGCTGATCCGTTTATCGGTTCCTGTACCTGATTTTGCTTCTATCGACAATTTCGGTTGATGTTTTTTGATGAAGTTGCGTGGATAGCTGTTCTTTTGGAAGATATTTAAAAGATGTTTTTCCTCGTTTTTAGTGCTTCATATGTGCTGCAGTGTGTCTTCGCTCTCTTAAACAAAGTTTGTATGCAGTTTATTTTGTGGTTACTTCTGTTGTTGCTACGGTAGTTGAGAAGTACGTCTGTTTGGGTTGGCTTCCGAAATACTTGAGTTTCCAGTTTTCCAGTGTTAGTTCTAGTGATTAATGCATCCAGGAATGATAGACTGTTATTTGATTGCCTTTCCATCGTAAATTTGATGTCATCGAAGACGTTGTTGATCCGATTGTAGATGTTCTCCAGCTCGTTTCTTTTGATAATGATGAATGTGTCGTCTGCATAGCGAACCCACATTTTTGGTTTGATATGTGGTAAAATCGACGCTTCTAGTCTGTGCATTACAGCTTCCACGATGTATCCTGATATTGGTGATCCCATTGGTGTTATTTTTGTTTGTTTATAAACTTTCTTGTTGAAGTGAAAATACTTCATTAAGCATAGATAGGTGAGTTCAAGCAGACTTTGGCTCCGAAGTTTTGTATATTTTTTCAGATTTATGTCGTTGATGAGGAGTATGGAAAGAGTTTCTTTAGCTAAGCTTGGCTCCGTTGAGGTGAAAAAGGCTGTTACGTCGAAGGATATCATCGTTTCATCGTTGTCGATTTGAATCCCCTTGAGTTTATTTAAGAACTATGTGGCAGACTTAATGTAGTAGTTGGTTTCATCCACCAGATGTTTTAATATCCTTGAAATTTCCCTTGATAAGTTGTAGGTCGGGTATTTGTTACATGCTTTCAGAAAACTTTTCTCAAAAGAACGAACAAGAAAGAACTGCTGCAGAAATTAAATGATATTTATTGATCAGAATACGTATTTCGGTCTCAGTAGCTAACAGTATGTATGGATTACTCGAAATCGTGTTAAAAATATCTTAGCCAGTTTCAATTATCTGCTGTCATATTTTGTTATCCCCCTACCGTTTAAGGCATACATGCACCTCTAGTGTAATTGGACGATATAGTTCGCTTCATGCAGCTGTATATTTTTGTGCGCAATATAGTGTCAAACTTCTGTGAAGTATCTTAGTAAAATAAAGATTTTACTGATATCTTCTGAACAGTTAGTTAAATGGAATCTAGACGCTTAGTTCGAAAATACATTTATGGGCCTAATAGAATTATTATATCTGAACAGTGAAATATTGGTTTTGGCTTGTTTTTAACAATTATGAACTGAAAATTGCCCATTACAAGGTTAGTTGCTTGAATAACAACTTAAATACAACAGAAATTATAATTTAGAGGAAAAAGTATTTTCATTCAGAATGTTTTTTCTATTAATGAATAACTGTGATTGGTTTCACCTTTGTGAAAAGTACATCACTTTCTTTATATGCAAAGTATTATACTGTTAGGTTGGCAAAATGTTGTTAATGATGCTGTAAAATTATGAAAGGACTTCACAAATTGATTGGATATTTCTATCTGGAATTCATTAATCCATGATCTTTTCAATTCACCTCGACTTTATACTTATTTTTATATGTTCAGATTGTGAAGAAAATTTGGGTCTGTCCAACAGTCAAATAATTCGACCATGCCAGATAACTTCATACGTGTCACCATTTGTTGGATATGCAGAAGAGCAAATTAGATCCCAGTCAACATTCGGTTGGAAACCATTTGTTCGTCCAGGATCGCATGATCCTTTACGTTATATTACTATTTTATTTGGACAACAAACGAATATCAGTCGAATTGATATTAATCTGATAAACACAGCTAATCAAGTTACAATGTTCCATTTGATGGGGACTAATGACGGTCGATCGTTCTTTGATTTCAAAACAGTAAGCGCTTAACATTTAGAGGTAACATGAAATTAAGTTTCAGTTTATTAATCAAGTTAATTTAAAATTAAAACATCATTGTTAGTCGAATCAATAAGCTGATTAGGGCGTTGTAAGCATTATTATTTTGAATTATGTATTTAATTTTGTTTTGACAAAGTTAGTTTCTCTCATCTCACACATCACTTTCTATAATAATTAATTTCCATTATAGTTTAACTTCATGAGATCAATAACTATACTGTGTACTGTAACTCTATTTATATTAGGTAACTAGTACTTTTCTTTGAAGTACACATTGAATATGAAATTATCATCTATACTGAGTTCAATTTTTAGATTTATTCAGAGAGCTTATACAATCCTATTGATCATGCACAAATTTAAAATTGATAATAAGAGATTTATTATCAGTTAGCAATATTTTTATTGTAGGGTTCGCCACTAAGTACGCTTGAAGCTATTACGAGTTCACCTTAGTCGATAAACACGATCGATACAATTACCAGCGTCAAGATATGCTACCTTGAATCCCAAGCTGAAGGTAGAAGGCTTTGTAAACGTAGAAAGTATATTCTACAAACACCCAGCAATCACAGTACAATCAAGCACTCAACTCTCGTTTATTTATACATCATAGAAGCGTCCTTGAGATAGTTAAGAAAATAGCACACTAAAATACACAGCAGCCAATCACAGCCATGGATTTTCCTGGTGGGAAATTAAATCTCAAGGTCAACTGATCAGCCCATGCTGGCAAACGTGAAATTCAAAATGAGGTATTTAACAAGCGAGTTTTGGGGATCTAACATCCCCAACATTTATAAACTGAAATAAGCTAATTTTCAATAAAATTATACATTTGATGAAAAGTTTAGGAGGTTGGAAATGATCAAGAAAAAGCAATAGACTTAAATTGTATGACATTAAAATTTAGTAATCAGAGTGTATCTTTAAGTCAGGAGGACTTATATTTTTCACTGAATATGAACCTTTATCACCAAGTGTTGTAGTGACAGATGTTACCAATGAGTAAATCGAACAATAACTGACCTCCAGTAAGAATGGGATCCCGATTTTATCAAATCATTTAAACATCAATCAAAATGTACTGTAATGTCAATTCATTTAAACTAACAATCATATTGTGATTTGACCGATCAAATTTGATTTAAATCAAACAAAAGATAACTTAAGAATCCTAGGGTACAATGCGTTTATTTGGTAACAACTTTCAGATGATATAAGAATACTATTATATAAAGTATAGATTTATTGAAATATTAGTTTGTATTACATCTAATCAATTGATGAATTCTTGTAATTAATACTTTCAAATGTTTATTAGTTGAGATATAACTAATAATTTATCATAACCACTATTTTTAATAGGTGACAGTCTCCTATTTCAATCAAAGTTACGGTCGCATATTTCTTCAGCCTAAATTTGTTTCAAGAGGAATACGCATAATTGTCAGTGAGACAACAAATGAAGATAATGATATTGCTTTTACCCTTGAACTTTATGGATGCAGACTTAATTTGGATACAAACACATTTGGTAGATTTAGTGTATTAGATTTTTTCTTTTTATCTGTACATAATTACTTATCATCATTATCTTATAATTATACTACTGTGTAAATAAGGCGACTAAAAATACTCATCAAAGACCAAACAACAATACTATAAAGCTAAAACTTTAACAATAAAGTTGAAATGTGAGAAAAGATTAATCGGTTAAATAATTCGAAATAATGCGTTTAGAAATAAGAAATTATATTGAGCTTCATCATACTAGTATATTTACCTTCTGCGTTAGTTCACAATGTATATTTTTGGAACAAAATTATAACAATTAGAATATAGTTTATGAAAAGATATTATGAAAGTTGGGATAAATTTTAACAGAAGTACACTATTCATTTACTATGCTAAAAGCAACAGCTTATTTTCCAGTTGTTATTACTACGGAACATGATAATTCATTTCCGTGATTTAAGTAGTATGTTCAAATATGACACCACAGATTGAGATTTCCACATTTTCATTTAACAACAAATCTTGTTTAGTTACAAATCACTAAACAAGTATTCCGTCCTAGTATGAAACTCGTCGACAGCTCGCATACATGACCATATGGGAGATTTAACCTTGGACCTTTAGTCTCGCTCTCAAGTGCCTAACCTCTAAATCACTGAGCTTGAAGTCAGTGATGTGCATGTCTAATTGTATACCCACTGCTGAAGATTCCTATAATAAGGTAAAATAGATATTCAGTGCTTTCTAATTTTTAATGGTTATCTACCTAAGATCAATGCGAAGTATAATCTGTGAAAATTCAACAATCTCTACAAAATCCACAAATAAATAAACAGTAATTGATAAAATCATCATATTAGGGAGGTTTTTATCGAAGTAAATCAGACGAAAGTAGTGCAAATGACTATTATGTGATATTTTGATTAAATTAGCAGTGCGCTGAAATTTACAAATGACATTGTAGTGCTTAGTGTTAAATGAAGGAAATTTTCATCACAAATCGATATCTTCCACGTAGTCATATAATCCGGAACCTGTTTAGTTCAAGGTCAACACTTTAGTGTCTTAGTTCAAAAATAACTTCAGATTGGTATATTTTGTACACAAAACTGATATCGTATTCATTTATGTAAGTTAAAGTGTTGCTTAAAACATTCACTTTCATTGTGACTCATGATAATCCTAAATTGTTGTTAACAGATCCATGTAGTGTTCAAAATAGTTATGAAACTTCATCAAACAACGGTCTACGAAGTTATCTTTATGCCAATGGTTACCTTTTCTATTGTGATGAATTTCCAAAAACAATAAAATCATACCTTACAGAAAAACGATGTTTCGTGACCTACAACAATGCTGACATGAAATGGACAGGTTAGTCATTATTTACGTTTCAATAAGGAATTACTATGGTACATGAAGTACACGTACTGATTGCTTCTTATTAAATATCACTCGATCAATCATGATATATATAATATTGAAAAATTTGGAAATTTATATTTTTAAGGTATTGTATTTTTCTTTCATGTTGTTTAGTTATAAAGTACCAAATTTATCCAAGATAAGATAAGAATAGTGTAACAGAGCAAGAAATATTTATTGCCATATATAACAATGTCACTAGCTCACCCATGCTTATGACAACCGATCAGATATGCTTTACTATGGATATAATGCCTTGCTCTTTTCATACAAGATTTTGAATGATATCAAAATTCAATTCAGTAATTAAACAAACTAAGCTAGCTCATTTTAAAAACGAAAATTTTTCGGCGATTCATATGAAATACGATTTCAGTAAAAGATACAGTGGACGTATCCAACATTATTGCAGACTTACCGAATTCGGTACGATAATTTGGTATGAATCCGAATACCAAATTTATTAATGTCTATTTATGCCTTTCAACTCTCGTAGAGCTTAAGGCGCTAACCAAGATTCTCTAACCAACTCTGTTCTGGGTTCCTTTTTCCATTGATTCTTTTCATGTCTGCCTCCGATTCCCGGCACATTGTGTTCTTTGAGAACTCCAAATTTTGGCTTGTCTTGTGACGCAGTTGGGTAATTTCCACAAAATATGTCCTGTCCACCTACAGCGTTTTTTCCTCAGCTGAAATCTGGTCTGTTTTCTGCCAAAGAAAGTTGTACATGGTGGTATGTGGTCTAAGGATTCGGAGTATCTTGCGTAAACAACGGTTTACAACTATCTGTATATTTTGAATGATAGCTTTCCTAGTTTTTCAAGTTTCACTCCCATACAGTAGAATTGTCTTGAAGTTTGAATGAGACTATAATTTATGGACAACCTTTGAGCGATGTTCAAGTGATCCTATGAGTACTCACCCGTTTATCAGGGCTGAAAGAAGGTTGTAAATCAGTATGAAGAATGGGGAATAGGATTTAGAGTTGGGGTCATGATTGAAGCTTGATGGTTTTTATCACTAATGGACATCATTTATAATGACAAAATCTAGCTAACCGCTCAGACAAAAAAATTTAGCGTCGAAATCCAGGACTTGCCATTTTGAACGTGACTTGTTTGTCCAAAAATTATAGTTCCGCCAACATTTATGTTGAGAATTCTGACTCTCCCTGGTATTGAGAGAAGATTGATTCCTTTGTAAGTCCCATAATTGCTAAAATCTTTTTTTAGTATCTTGATGAGCTGTCCTTCTTTCTAGTCAGTTGGTACTTATTCCCCCTCCCAAATCCCACTGAAGAGAGCGTGGAATATCTTTACAGCTACTACTTTGTCTGGTTTTAGTGCCTCTGCTGAAATGTTGTCTGGTCCTGCTGCTTTGCCTCTCTTCATTTTTCTAAGGGCCATACTGAGCTCTTCAATTGTTGATGGGCAACATTAATTTGAAGGTCTATGTGCAGCTTCATTGTTGGGTGGGTTCATTGGGGTTGGTCTATTCAGAAGTTCTTCAAAATGCTCTAACCTTCTGTTTGCGGATCTTAAATATTAGTGATTGGTTTGCCTTCCTTATTCTTTTTTCAGCAACCTTCTTCGTTTTATCGTATGCTTGTCTCGTGTTTCCTTCTCTCGCAGAGTTTTCTGCTATCCTTGATAGATATTCCACATATTTCTGCTTATCAGCTCTGATGCCCCTCCTGACTTGCTTGGTTGCTTCTGTGTTTCTAACTTGTGCCTTTGGTTTCGCTGCCCTCGTTTGACTGATATTGGTTGCTGTCTTCCTATTCTTTCTTTCTTGAATTTTATCCAGAGTATCAACAGTGGTCCATTATTTGTGATGGTGGTGCTTCTGCACCAGAACATCATGACATGGTGAAGATATTGCTAACCTGGTCCCTTTCCAGATGTTCTTCATGGCAGTTTCCTCTACATTGAGTAGATTCTAAAAGGTTTGGAACATGTTGCTGAGACCTATCTTGAATTCGTTGTTTGCCAGTATCCCGAAGAAAGGCTGAATTAAACGTTTGTTATATAATGTTTCCACTTGTTCAGTACTTTTCTGGTTTCAGTTTCATCTTAGCGCCCGCCAGCTGGCGATTTGAAGGGTTATCGACTCCTCATTCTATTCTTACATCCTCCATGGTTGTTCTGAAATTCGCAGTGATGCAGATGTGATCGCTTTGGTTCTAAGCAGTATGATCTGGTGAAACCCATATAGCATTGTGTATGTGGTTGTGTGGGAATATGGTGCCGCCTATGGCCAGTTTGTTGAACGCACAAAGATTTGTGAATCTCCCACCATTTTCGTCCCTTTCTCCCAGTCTATGTTGTCCCATGATGTCTTCATAACCAGTGTTGTCTATTCCTTCCTTGGCGATTAGGTCTCTTACAGAATAGTTAGATCTTTTGCCTAGCACTTCCAAACAATTGACTGCAGCCTGTCATGAAATTAGTCTTCATCACCCTCATTGTCATTGTTGGTAGGCGCATAGTAACAAATAGCAACAATCCCTTCTTTGTTTTGAAGAATATTTTGATCACCTTGAGTTCATGAGATCACCAACTTATAAGCGCTTTCAACAGCGTCACTGCAAATCCTTGTGTGTCAGGCATTTTTTCTTCTCTTCTGAAGCTAATCATTTTTGTCTAGTTTCACTTATTCCAAGCACCTCCAGGTTGAATCTTTCCGTTTCCTCAGCACACATTATGCAGATATCCCATGTACCTGTGTCAATTGTTGCTCTGATCTTCAAAAGAGATGTCGGTTTCGTGACATCTGAAGAAACTTGACTTTCACCACGAGGCGTTATAATTCTCCTAAAAGAAGAGTATTCAACCCACAGAGTAGAGTTCAAATGAAATTTTCCGGGTGGTGCTATTTAGTAAGTTTGTTTACTACGGAATGCGGTTGCTAATTACATGCCCAGCCATCCTTCTTTATTCGGGATTGGGACAGACGGTAACCCTGACAGGGATACTCGTATGTAATTATCGGTTATTATGACACATTCTGTAATTACAACCTTCACAATTATATATCACATGATTCGTATGAAATCTTATTTCACACATTTCATGATAAAATAATATCATGATTGGAATGTCTACTGTGGACTGTTTCATTCTGCTTCAAATAGTGAATACGAATTTGGATAGTTTTAAAGTAGTAATGGTTTAATGGTTCATGAGATACATGATTTAATAAAAGTTTATCTAATGTTACTGTCGTCAATTTTAATTTATTTTAAAAAAATAATAATTTCTCTTGTTTCAAGGCTACTTATCTTTTTTCTGTTTGCAAAGCATTTGAAATCTTACAAATGTGACATCAAATTCATTAAACATTGTTCACATTGGCACAATTACATAGAGCCTTAAACTTAAATTGGCACTTTTATAAGGCAAAGAAGAAAAAAAAACAAGATTAACTGTTCACTGCAACAGATATTCAAGTTAACATAATAAGTTCCAGTTATTAAATACAGGTACATTGTATCATTATTCAGAAATAGAGATTACCAGTCAATTGCCATTTTATGCACTCTATCAAGCTACATTCAACTTTAGCTTTATTCTTTATCAGCAGAAGTGGGAAATATCAAAATGTAAATATTATGTATATTTGACTGATTAAATAAATGATAAACTCATATCAACTTTGGACTGAAGCGATTTCTTAAAAACATATTAGTTTAAAATCACTTTTATAAAAATTATAATATTCAACCATTCGGTATAGAATTAAACAGCCTTTCCAGGTCAAAATCTTTAGATGCTAACTAATTCTTATCGTCTTGGAAATTCAACAGTTACATTTATTTTAACTTTCATAGATTACAACCTGAAAATTAGGACGAAAAGCCTAAGGAAGCCATTTACTGACAATAACCTTGGTTCAGATATTGTTCTGGATAAGATAAAGCTTGAATGATATTATTTCTGTCATTTCATGCATTCTGCAAATTTTTCGATAGTCAATATGTCAACAGAATTAGTGTCACTTTGTGTATAATAGTAATATAATACTAATTAAGATCAATTTGCATTCATGTTTGACTTTAAGCATTACATTCTATCTAACTATCATGTTACACATGAAATATTTAATTTCAGAGATAGTTGAGTCCAGTTATAAACAGAATAAAATAATATTCTATTACAGAAGCTCACAGAAGTAACAATTTGCACCAGCAAAACTAATTCACATTTTGTGCTGATTAAAGAATATTCCGTAGATTGCTCATAATCTTTTTAGAACAACCCATAATGCTGAAAACTAGAAAACTGTATAAATTAACTGTAACATTTTTAACCCTATGACCTTCACTCTTTTTTTACTGTGCCAACAGACTTAGGGCCATTTATTACAAAAATTTTGAGTTACATAAGCCCCAGCAACATAATATTTGCTCAAGGTCAAAATGAAAACATCATTTTATTGAGTAATAATTACGGAGAAAGCTGGCGATCTACAAATTTATATACACAAATAAAAATGACTAGAGATGCAAGTTATTACATTAATTCAACTAACATACCATGGACTTATGCTGCTGGATATTTTGAACGAAGTATTACTGGCATATCGTGTCAGTTATATCAACAAAGTCCATTTCAGTGTAAGTTTCACTTGCTTTTTGATATAAATGAATCTAATGCTTTAACATGACGGATTTTGTTGATTGATAAATTTAATATTAAGAGCAAAAGTAACAATCAGTCAGTCAGTCAGTTGCAACGTAGAACTTCGTACGTATGTACATAAGTTCATGTTGCCATAACACATTAGCACAGTGAAGCAAATGTCAAATCAAATCCCATAGTGATAAAGATAGTAGAGGTATTAATGGTAATGAAGAAGACTAGGGTTTGAAGATATTATTCAAGAAGTATAATTCAGTGAGATAAGGTTAGAAAGACAAAGGTAGAGGTGCTGACGAATCCAGAAGATTAGGATTTGAGAGAGCTCAACGAATGAGTAACAGTTAATTAGTAAATAATATAACCAATTTATGGACATGGTCAATTTTATTAAACCAACTCTAAGTGATAACGATAAAATTAGGCATAAAAATAAAGAATGTAAAAATTATGGCGTTTTATGGATTGATTGTTGATTGACTGTTGAAAAAAAAAAAAACTCCAGACCTGTCACATGATGAAAGCATACTACAAGATTATTTGATTACTAAACACAATGGTAAAACGAAATGTTAGCAACATCGAATACAACACTGTTATTCCTGTGCAGAATTAATTACTGATTACTCTATTTCATGTTAATATTAATGATTTGCAACTTTACCAAGAATAAATCCTAGCATTGTAAAATAAATAAATAAATAACATTCATATTATCTAAACTTTTTTGTTCTTGATGGCCCGCTATAATTCCAACCAAAACATACCAGGTGAATAAAACGCTAGTCATTTAAAACTTGCTTAACATTTAATATTATGAACTGAGCTATAGAACAAAATATTTCCTTGAACAAGTTTGATTGGTTATCATCTTCTTGTTACAGCTGCTGATAAGTCTTAGTCGATGAGCTATTTTTATTAAATGAATGCAGTTTTCAAGATAGAGTGATAAAATTGATCCTAACCGCTATCGATCGATTTTAGTCCTAGCCTTATAAATTTATGGATAAATTAGTTTAGTGAAAATCATCACATACGATATGTAGCTTATTACATCTGATCAAAAGGCGCACTAAGCAATTATGTTCATGTCATTTAATGAAAAACCCAACTATTTTGTATTTTCACGTTAAGTCCCAAAATGTATTTACAGTTAGATAACTTCAAGTATAACATATTTTCGAAATATAACGAACCTTAACCAGATACTTTGATAAAACAGTGATTTCTACACATCGCTACATCGAATTAAATGTCAGCCGAAGTGATGCTTCTGAAACTATGTAAATCATCCATACATTTTGGAAATCTTTTTCATAACCAATGAATCAGTCTAGTCTATTAGAGTTAAGAATATTAACTGTACAAAGAAACTGAAAACGAGATTTCATGTTGAAATAAGAAACAGGGCACTTTTGAGACACTAGAAAGGGGTAACAGGCAGATTTAATACCTTTTCTAATGTTTTTTCTCAGTCTAAGTTTTACTTGACTACTTCATTAATAAGTTACTATAATTGAGAATTCTGTTTCCAAAATCATACTGCATGTTTTATTCAAAAACTTTTATCTTTTACATTCTAGTTTGCTTTCAAGGCATATACAAAACTAGTACAATGATATCTGATTGGAATAGAATATGTCCACTACTTCCATGACGAAAAGACCAGTCTAAAAATTAAACGATGGTGTAACAAGGAATTTTTGTGCAGTTAATTCTAAAATAATTGTTTATTTTATAAATTAGCACAACAATAGTGCTAATTTCATATCGTGAATATTGTTCATATTTTTAAATAAATGTCGATGTCTTATTTTCTATCTTCTGATCCTCAGTCTATTTGTTTAAACAAGTTCCAGTTTTTAACGATTTCCAATCAGACTGGCTTGAGAAAGTATAATATACTAGTGACCTTGAGAGACCTATCAGGGAGCATTGCCAGGTGGTGAAACAATCCACAGGTAAAAGTCACAAAATATCCCCAGAATATCAGCTTCTATCTGGATAATCAATCCTCACATGTTCGATTATTCCTTGTAGGGAAAGGAAAAGTCTATGTCTATCTATTTAAGGTCGGGGTTGTTTGTATAATTCACAGTTATCACCTGACAAAGTTTTTACCACCAGCTGCGGCCAGCTAGGATGCTTACAGGTTAGGGCTACATTTAAAGTTAGAATAAAGTCCGGAGTTTAATTTTGCACACTAGGGTTAGGATTTCACTACAAACTGGCATCAGTCGTGATGCAGTGCTTTCTCATTTTACTATTTACAAGCTGAGAAGGCTCGTAGTTGAAATTTAGAGCAAGACTGGGAGAATACTATCTACCTTCACTGAATACTCTTGACAACGCGTTGAGTCACAAAAGGTACTTTACCTAATAATTTACCTGTAGAGTATTTATGCTTTGTAATCTAGCTTAAGAACCATCCTAAATTCACTTTCAGTTTTGCAACAGTAATTTTTACTGATTTTGAACAATCCAGAAACCATATATTGTCAATCTTTACTTGGATAATAATGACATACAAGTTATTTATGAATGCACTTTAAATCTAACGCGAAGTACTCCAGTGGTTACCTTGATTCTGAATGATCCACTTGAGGCCGTCGGCATATTTACTTTTACCGCCTGGCCAATGGTACGTAGATAAAGACATTTGTAATAATTGAAATTCAAACAATCTAAAACATTAGTTAAGAAAACAATTCATGTAGTTAGTCATTTTTCTAGTTGATGAGAATCATGTTTGTATTTACGTTTAGTATGAATGATAAGTAGAGAACATTATCACATCCTGATTAGAGAAATTAACTGGACTTGAAAATTTGATTACGCATTTTCATCATTCTCCCACTGGATATACGATGCTATAAAAACTTTTGAAAAGATTCTCAATTTTATTATAATAATAATTATTATTACAGTAATAATTAGTATTGATAACAAGAAATAGTAGTTTCTGAATGAAGATTCTTTTTTTGGATAACTGCATAAAAATCTGTGATAGCTAAGAAGCAAATACAGAACGATGACAGTGAATACGTGAAAATAGATTACACTTTGTACGTTCAGAATTTTTACAGTGGATTGATTTATTAGTGTACTATTTAAATCGTTTATAATCATTTCAGATATCTTATTTTTAAGTAGACGACTACATAATGAATTCATTTACATTTATAAACGTTGAAAATAATGTGAAAACTTTCGTAGATTTTTGACTTAATTAAGTTATAGGTACTAAAACTAAATAATATAGTGTTCAATAACATGAAATTATTTTTAAAAGATAAATGTGAATAATGATTGCTGACATGATTGATATAAAAAGAGCAAAATTTAATCTTGTAAATTTGATTCACCATGAATACGTTAGAAGCATGTGATTATCATAAAGCAAATTTTAAAAAAAAAAAACCAGTTTATGTCAATACATTGATTTTACTACTAATCTTCAGTGAATAATACTTGAAAAATGTTGTCAACATTAAAATTAATTCTGGTTAGTCGACTAGTTCTATTTAGAATCTTGAAAAATACAAACAAAAATGCTACTTCAGTTATTTATTTAAAAACTGTCATTCAACTAGACAATTCATTTTGATGTAGATTGTTTCTAAGATAACAACGATGAAGTTCATTAACTTTTTTCTAACAAAAAATTATCTTAATCAGTACATTTCATTTTTTTTCTAACTAATCAATAAGTCTTACAGAATGCTAGTCATATATATATATATATATATATATATATATATATATATATATACTGTTATGTATATATGCTCTTCTACAAACTAGAACCATATTATACCATATCAAATAAACTTTTAGATATTAATTAATTTTAACAAGAAATACATAATTCAATGAACAGTTTAGTTATGTTTAAATGAATAAAATGGTACAAGAGCCAAAAGTTTAAATCAAGTAAAATATTGTCAAATTATAAAATCCAACGAGATAAAAAATCAATACAAAAAGAAGAAAACCATTAAAAGATTAGCATTTTTTTTTGAAACCATGAATCGATCAATGTTAGACCACCATTAGAAACCTGGAATCACTGGACGGCCGTTTCGTCCTGGTATGGGACTCCTCAGCAGTGCGCATCCACGACTCCTGCACCCCGCAGGATTCGAACCCAGGACCTTCGGTATTGTAGGCGAACGCCTAGCCATCGGATCGCTGAGCCGGTATCTAACGGTGTTAATGTCCAACTTGATCAATTCACGGAGTTGCACAACCTCATACACAGTCTTCGGTAATGCAAAAGATTAGCAGTTTTAAGCCCACCTTGTCATTAGCTTTTAAGGTTTTTTTTCCTCAAAATCTCTGTAATAACAAAAAAACTTCAGATTGTACTGATGTTTACCAACCGCAATAAAAACCCAATTCAAATAAAAAAAATCTCTTTTTCATCATCTAGATTATGTATTTATTTATTTATATTCAAGCAAAAAAAGTTTTTTTTAAAAAGAAAAATATCAACTACCAGTTTGTTGATTGATTTTTGATTACCTTGAGGTAATCAAATATTTTCAATGTTATTAATATCACCAGGAAACAATAAAGTAAGATACAATTCAAGTCTTACTTTGGATTGAAACATAAAAAAAATAAATAACACTCATATCTGTTGTGTTTTTTTTTGTATCGAATATCTGCGTACATGTTTTGTAGTGTGATATTTAGTTACATGATGACTGTTTTTTTTTTATCTTCATGTGATCAAGTTAGGAAAATAGCAAAAAAACAAACAAAACAACGATTGGTTATACCCATAAATGTAGCCCAAAAAAATTTATGATCTACCAATAAAAAAAAACCTGAACAGTTTTTTTTTTCAATTAGTACTGATCAATACAATATGAAAGTCAATAATCGATAATGCATAACTTTTGGACAAAATAATTGCATCAAAAAGATTAAGCAATTATTTTAAAACAAAGAAAATAAAATCAGTATCAAATAGATTGAAATTACTGAAAAAAAGAAAAGCATATACCTGATAAATTGGTCAAATATTTAAACAAGGGTTGTTAACTTCATTGTTTACAGTAAATTAATATGTGAATTTTTACACGACATAATAATTTAAAAAATTGCAGTTAGAGTGTTTAAAAGATATACATGTTTTAATGGAAACAAGGATAAAATACTTCATGGATTTTGAAATAAAGAGAAATTGTGAAAAGAAGTCAACCAGGTATAATGTTCAAACAAAAATCAGAACAAGTTATAAACATAGATTGAATGGATAAAATACCTAGGAAAGTGTAGCATTTTCATATAAAAGTCAATGATAATAAAAAAGAACAGAGAACAGATTAAAAGAAGCGTTAAAAATATCAAAAGAAAATTCATATTTCCATATAAATACTGCAAATGAATGGACTCAAACGACGAAGACACACACACACACACGCATAGAAAACATTACCCAGATGTAAACATTGAACGTCTTTGTCTTGGTTTCCTTTCGAAAAATTTAAAATCCTTAGAATAAAGGAAAAAAATTTTGGATATAGAAATCAGTTAAGTATATTAAAAGAAATTTATATAACATATATTGAAATCTGTGAACTAATACTACCTTCCAGTGAATATGATGTTATATCAGGGTTTATAGATAGTTAAGCGTCAAATAGAGCGTCCATTGTAAATATAACAAGTTAGTTCAGATGTTGATAAGGCGAACTCTACATTGATTGAGAATATAAACGATTGACAATCATATCATGAATATATAAAAATTTAATTAATATAAAACTTTATGTAAGCTGATGCTCAAACAAAATTTCAAGTATTTGGATTTAATTACAATTTGTTGTAAAAAAAAAGTGTTTAAATAAAGAATCCGTACATTAACAAGTAGAAAATATACTAGCGATTGTAATGCAAGTAGACGTCAGTAATGGGAGAGTGAATCTGAGCCTAGTGTATTAATTTGATATGCAGAAAAATTAAAATAATAATATCAAAAAAATTTCTAACATGATTCTACTGTTTTTACTGCGATTGACCTTAAATTTATGACTAAAATGTAGTTTGCCATATTTGAAATCGTGAATATGTTTAGTAGAAACCGTGTAACTTACGATAAGGAAAACAGCAGCTAAGACGACTGCCTTCACTTTCACATCCAAGTCTATCGGGAAAGAAACACCGAAATTATCTGCATCAGTAAATAATTCTTGGGCAACATTACTCCATTTTTTGGTGATTCTACCTATTTCCATAGTACCGTCAGCAGAAGTTACCTAGAGAAGATTATTTAAGAAATATTAGACATCGACTAACCGGATCAACTCTGAAATTTACAGGTCACAAGAAACTGACAATCATCAAGCTGAACGAGTTAAATAAATATCACGGTGGATGTCTTAGGTAGATCAATTAGTTACCATAAACAACAGCCTGATGTGTGCGTTTACCCAAGTCGTCATACCACATTAGCATGATGAGATGAAATGAACGAGATATGTAGCAAAATAATATAGTAGCAATGATTATGAAACAGACAAGGAATCGATAACAGAGTTTGAAAAGGCAACAGTGCTGGTTCTATGAAAACGGTACTCGGTAAGCATGGCAAATCAAATGATGAACTAGTGAACCTTAATCAGTTGAGGTGGTTCAAACATGTGTTACTTATGCCCGACCACCGACTGCCTCGACGAGCGACGTTTTGTGGTGTAGGGGTAGGCTGGAAGGAAGCTAGGGGCAGCCAGATCAAAACATGAAACAAATCCATGAAGTAGATGTAGACTACCAGGTTGAGGTCCGCGAGACGACAGTAACCGATGATTAGAGACTTTGAATGACATGGCTCAAAATAGTTAGCAATGGCACAAACGCATCCATCTTTTGTTTTCTATGAAATTCCAATCTTCTGAATTCCTCATGACCGTTGTTTCCTCTTTTTAAATTTCACTTGATTATACTCCTCGAATGATATCATATGTCCCTAATCTTCTTGATTACCGTTGATACTTCTACTGCCTCGAATACTATTGGATTTGAATTGACAATTCAATGTGATATGAACTGATGTCGTACGTACGAAGTTCTACGTTGTGACTTGAAAAGACAATGTACAAATGTTAGTATGAAAAAATACTATGAGAATTAGAAGATAAAAAGTGAATGCGTCTAAACCATCAAGAATGATTATGAAGCATTTCAACCATAATGTACAACCAGTTACGGTTACCATTCATAATCCCACCAGTTAGTTAATCATTCAGTTAGTCTACGTCTACCAACAGTCAAATAGACAAAAATAACAAAATGAATGGGAGATGTCAGGCATAAAGCATTTTGATGTACAACAATGAGTAAAGAAAGCAAAACATGGTGATTTAAATAAAATAAGGATGGAAAATTTCGTTACAACAAGAAGAGTACTACAAAGAAAACTTGTAAAAAGACCGAATATCCCTTCATTCGAAATGTAAATATACAAAAAACAGAACAGAATTCTTTTCATAACATATCTTCGCAAACGAATAACATTTCCTTAAATTATGATAATTCCATCGTCATGAGTCATAGGTTGTTATGTCTAAACCACTACGGATAAAATCTCCACAAACACAAAACTCTGATAACAGACTATAGGATAAGAATAAAACAGAACGCTTCCGGAAGAACCATAACAAAACATTATTGCGATAAATCTTTGACGGATGAAATCCATTTGAAAATCGATACCAAGTGGCAAACAGGTGCACTTAGGCAAAAATTATCGTCAAAAAAACAACTATCAAAATATCATGGAGAAAAGTATACCTTGAATTTTATATCCGATCCCAACAAGTCACAGAAACAACATGATGGACCACGTATCTGCAGAACTGTGCTCAAGTTACTATCCAAAATGTGGTAATCAATATTACAGCCACTAAATACTCGTTTCACGTAGCCGATGCAATTGCCCACTGGAGACTGAACTTCAAGTTCCTCTAGACAGCATTCTAAACACCTAGACCAAATCATTAAAAAAATAAAGTAACTTTTGTAAATCCAAACATTCTGATTGAGAAAATTACGTTTGGAAATTATATCATAGTTAGGACATTATCAATATCTGATTAAAAGTTCCATTAGTGATGGATTTGTTTGTAGTCAACGATGTCCTAAACCATTTTCTTACATCACAAACCAAATGGCATGCTTACAGTTGGGCAAACAGAGGTCGACGATACTGTAGTTTTCAACATAATAAGAAGAAACTAAAACAACCGAAATATTTGAAAATAAGTACAGCTGAAGAGTGAAAATGAGAATAACTGTCTTCACTGTTCAACTGGTTACAAGGCAGAAGTGACTATCCCACAAAAGAATATACCTAAAACAAATTAAAATCAACTGACGGTTATCAGCACCACCACATTACCAATGATAGACTTTATTTCTGCAGTCATTTTTCCACCGTACCACTGTCGTTTTACAACACCCTCCCCCAACCCGAGCAGGATGAAAACCTCACTTACACTAAAGTAGGTGGTATAATCTCTTCCATATACAATTTCATCTTGGATAAAAGCACAAGCAGAAAAAGCCTTGATGATGTGGCCCATAATACACCATCACACTAATCAGTGGCAAAAAATGTGTCTTCAAAATTTGGCTCTATGGCCAGGCTAAAAATTGAAGACAGCATTCAAGGTGATATTTACCATTCTTAAAGCCTGATCCCACTAGCTAACCTGAAAGATTTCACTCCACGTAAGTGATTAGAGGCTGTAATAGTTGTACAATCCTTTCGACTTTCTGAACATTCGACCAGAATCTACTAAAAGTCAATTTTTGTGAGCATTATTCTAAATTTTCCAACCCACATATGGAAGCCTAAATTCTTCGTAGATTGTCCTTAAGGTCACGCCAAATACCCTTGTCTACACCCGTGTATTTTTCCTGTATTCACTGTCGAGGGTAGCAGCAAATAAACCTGTACAGTGTGTGTTCGTCTCCCACTGTAAGTAAATAGTTGGTATATGCTATGAACAGAGTTGTGTTTCTAAGAATGAAATCTTTATGGTTCTGATTAGAAGCTCTCATACATTTTTCGAGCAATACAGATACTTAGAATAGTGAGTGATATTGATATGACGATATCAAACTTCATTATTAAATTTACAGCCGAAGCAGATCCATGTATATATAACAATCCAGACGTATAAACGATGTTTATGAAATGTAAAAGTATTAAGACGGTAAAGTAATCTATACTAAATGAACCTATGCATGAAAATGAATATAATGCACAGACTAGTTTCAATGTCTTCAGTTTAAAAAATAGTATGCAGCTAACCAAAAATCTTTAATAACAGCATTAAGGTAACAAAAAGAAAAAATATGTACCCGAAGTTAAAAAATGCTGGTCATGTGTACAAAATCTGTAGAGCCGTATGATTTATTGAAATAATTGTGAACAGACTAATTGCTCTCATTCATGCATAACGTACTGAATAAATTGACATTTGATTAACGCCGAACCATTTCCTTTTTTAAATACTATGCAAACTACTGATATCATTATAAGATGGGGATTAGGATAACAGACATTAAAAATAAGTTGACAAGAAAGCATTCCAACCACTCAAGCTTTTTAGAGTTCAGAATATTATAATCCATACTTCGACAGAGAATTCATCACCAGACAAACGTCACAATGCAAACGGAGGTGGATGTATGAAGGATTAAAAAAGTAGGTTATTTGATGTTGACTGACTTCAAAACGGCTGAAATACGAAGTATTGATGTCAAACAACTACTTTTCTCGATAGATATACATTTAATGGGTTTCTCTCATCAGTTCAATCTCAAAAGTTTAGAATTCCTTTTCACAGACGCTATTGCGAGTGCATACGTCGGTTTGTTTACATTTAATTCCAGATCCCCTATTAAGTATTTAGTTACGATTCGCTATTACCTTGAAATTTCTTCTGTAACTAATTATTAACTTCAGCCTGAAAGTTTATATTATGACATAAACATATTTCTCCTGTATTATAATTATATTCTTGCATTTCTTAATATATGACACAGATTTACATAATCTTATTTCATAAGAAATTAAAGTGCCCTGACGATGTAATTGTGATCTGGTTGATAGAAAGATATTATGCAAATAAACAATAATATTTTTCAAAGAAAACCTGATTATTTTATTTGAATCAAATATATGACTACTTACGAACAACAGTGGTAACAATCACATCGATAAGGTCGAATAGCACGGATAACTTCAGAGTTATCATTGCTAATAATATGCAATTCGAACGGTCTTGATGCCCCACAAAGTGCGCGTACACAAAAATTAGATTCTATAAAAAAAGAAATATTAAAAACCACGTACATTCATCAGCACAGCTAGCATTTCTGAACGAATGCATAAACATCTTCATATCAATCACCAATTAAGACAGAAACAATATTGTTGAAATAATCTAAAAGCTGTAAAAGTTATACTCATCAATTCATACTTATATACTACTAAATACAACGTTCTATATTTCTTAGTACTAAGCAGATGAACATGTACTAGTAACAGTAATCTAAGTATTTGTATTACTCAATAAATGAGAGCTTTGTATTTACTTTCATGCACAGTTCATTTAGTATAGATTACTTTATCGTCTTAATACTTTTACATTTCATAAACATCGTTTATACGTCTGGATTGTTATATATACATGGATCTGCTTCGGCTGTAAATTTAATAATGAAGTTTGATATCGTCATATCAATATCACTCACTATTCTAAGTATCTGTATTGCTCGAAAAATGTATGAGAGCTTCTAATCAGAACCATAAAGATTTCATTCTTAGAAACGCAACTCTGTTCATAGTATATACCAACTATTTACATACAGTGGGAGACGAACACACACTGTACAGGTTTATTTGCTGCTACCCTCGACAGTAAATACAGGAAAAATACACGGGTGTAGACAAGGGTATTTGGCGTGACCTTAAGGACAATCTACGAAGAATTTAGGCTTCCATATGTGGGTTAGAAAATTTAGAATAATGCTCACAAAAATTGACTTTTAGTAGATTCTGGTCGAATGTTCAGAAAGTCGAAAGGATTGTACAACTATTACAGCCTCTAATCACTTATGTGGAGTGAACAGTTTCAGTGGCTGTAATATTGATTACCACATTTTGGATAGTAACTTGAGCACAGTTCTGCAGATACGTGGTCCATCATGTTGTTTCTGTGACTGGTTGGGATCGGATATAATATTCAAGGTATACTTTTCTCCATGATATTTTGATAGTTGTTTTTTTGACGATAACTAATAATAAAATACTCTTTTAACTAGTTTTACACAAGAAAGAATGCTCTATTTCTTATCAATATAATTCAATAATAATATCTATTGTTATACTTTAGCATTAGTGTTAGGAAATATATGGAACCTACCTTCGTAGCACCGATATACACCCTGCCCCAAGGCGTTGTAGCATGCATAACGATTTTGTACTTCATAAGGCACGAAACCTGTATATGGTGGGGTGCAAAACGTGTATTTCATAACATATGTACATAAACAATTTAGTTATGTTTAAATGAAAATTCAGAACTTCAATGATAGATAGAACGAAAGTAAAAAAAATTATAGCATAGTACATGATTAGCCAAGTCAAATACAAGAAACACAAAATTTTTAGAAACAGTTTCGAAATTTTTCGAAGTTACTTAGCGTACCGTAATGCCTATTTAAGTCTGTAAATACATAAATCATTCTTCTAAGTTTGCTACGTTTTTATCATTTGCTATGAGTCAGTCAGTCAGTTGCAACGTAGAACTTCGTACATATGTACATAAGTTCATGTTGCCATACCACAATATTAGCACAGAGACGCAAATGTCAAATCAAATCCAATAGTGATAAAGATGGTAGAGGTATTAATGTTATAATAAAGAAGACTAGGGTTCGAAGATATTATTCAAAAAATATAACTCAGTGAGATAAGGTTAGAAAGACAAAGGTAGAGGTGCCGCAGAATCCAGAAGATTAGGATTTGAGAGAGCTCAAAGAGTGGATGCACCTGCGCCATTGCAAACGATTTTGAGCCATGTCGTTTAAGGTCTCTAGCCATTGATGACTTTCGTCTCGCGGACCCCAACCAGGTAGTCTACATCTACCAACATGACTCAGTCCACTTGTCAGTGACTTCATGGATTTCTGCCATGTTTTGGTCTGGCTGCCCCTAGCTTTCTTCCAACCTACTCCTACGCCACAAAACATAGCTCGTCGAGGCAGTCGGTGGTTAGGCATACGTAACACATGTCCCAACCACCTCAACTGATAAAGTTTCACCACTTCATCGATTGATCTGCCATCCTTACCTAGTACTCGTTTCCTAACGACAGCATTGCTTACTCGGCTGTCCCACGATATACGAGCAATGTTTCTTAAACATCTATGATCGAATACTAGTAACCTACGAACATCTTCTACTCTTAACGGCCATGTTTCACAGCCATATAAGAGAACGGAACGAACTGCTGCGCAGTACACCCGCCCTTTGGTTAGCGAACGGATATCACGCCTACGCCATAAGTGACGCAGGTTGGCAAAAGCCAATCGAGCTTTCTGTATCCGAGCTGAGATTTCGTCAGTCACCAGACCGTCAGCACTGATGAGACTCCCCAGATAAGTGAAGTGACCTACACGCTCGACTACTTCACTCCCTATCACTAGTTCAGGTGCCGAAGCAACCCAGTCTTGAAGCAACATTTTGCATTTCGAGGGGGAAAACCGCATCCCGAACATGCTCGCATTGTTGCTTAGGGTAGTCAGAAGACTCTGCATTTTGTCAGCGTCTTCACCGAATAGAACTATGTCATCGGCATATTCTAGATCAGTAAGCGACTTTCCTGGTAGAAGGTCAACCCCTGAAAAATCTGACGAGCTTAATGTTAACTCTAAGAGGATGTCTACGACAAAGTTGAACAAGAATGGAGAGAGTGGACAGCCCTGACGGACACCACTTGATGTAGAGAATTCAGATGACAGTTCGCCATATGCTCTCACCCGACCAGTGGTGTTCGAGTAGAGTGCTTGTATAAGGTTAATGTACTTCTTTGGTACACCTTTCAATGACAGACACTGCCACAGAACCTCACGATCCACTGAGTCGAATGCCGCCCTAAGGTCCAGGAACACGACTATTGTCGGACGTCTAAATGTGTGTCTGTGTTCCAGGACCTGTCGTAGTGTGAAAATGTGGTCTATACAACCACGTCCAGGTCGAAAACCAGCCTGGTTTTCTCGAGTCTGCTCTTCGCGAGCTCTAGTTAAACGTCTAAGTATAATCGAGGCTAACAGTTTAGAAACTATATTAGTTAAACTTATTCCCCTGTGATTGTCACAAGAGGACTTCTGTCCTTTCTTGTAGATTGGGATAATTAGCGACTGAGACCAGTCAGATGGGATTAGGTCCAGTTCCCAGATTCTACCTAGGATCTCGGTCAGTTTAACCGTTAAAACTGGACCACCATCCTTAAACATCTCAGGGGTGAGCCTATCGGGACCTGCCGCTCTACCTCTCCTTAGATTTCCAATAGCTTTCTCAACTTCATGTAAACTGGGAGGACTTAAATCGATTTGCCATTCAGGATGACTGGAGATCGTGGGCAACCGAAGAGTGGCTGAAGGCCAGTTGAACTGATCCCTAAAGTGTTCTGCCCATCGGTCCAGCCTCCTAGATTGAGAATGGATAATAAGACCATCCTTTTCCGAGATAGTCTCACTTACATTCGGGTTCCTAATACCGGTTTCTTTGATAAGGCGAAAAAGTTGTCTAGTGTTGCCTATCGCCGCTGCCTTTTCCATCGCTTTTGCTTTCGCCACCCACCACTGTTCACGGTCGTTACGTAGGCTTTTTATAAGTCTGCACCTAAGCTGACTACGCTCTTCATCATGTTCAGAGTCAGGTGGGATGCGTTTTCGAGCATCCATCAGTTCGGTGGATGCGACTGAAATCCATTGCTTCATCCTAGCATTGTGGTTTACCTTGCTAGCAGATACCATTGCTGTTTCCACAGCCTTCTTGATATGATTCCAACCTGCTTCAGGATGGGAATCACTTGCATGGCCGCCTAACTGTTTTTCTAGTTCCTCCTGAAATATTTTCTTAGCTTGATTATCATCAAGTAAAGCCCTAAGAGGCTTCCTTACGGTGTCTTTCCTACGTCCAGCAAGCCTCAAACAAATACGTGCTCGCACTAGGGCATGATCTGAATCTAAACATGTGCCCCAGAACGAGCGACAGTCCTCTATCGAACCCCTCCATCGGTGGCTGATGGCGATATGATCTAGTTGTGTCCAACGTTGAGACGACTTCGGGGGTCGCCAGGTCAAAAGGTGTTTTTCCTTATGCTTAAAATTAGTGTTTGCTAGAAATAGTTGGTTATCTGAGCACAGTTGCAACAGACGGTCGCCATTGTCTGTTCTTTGAGCCGCGAGACCGTAACATCCACCTAGGTGTCTTTCATTTTCACTTAGTCTACCTACTTGTGCATTGAAGTCACCAGCCATTATAACTATATCAGAGCGCTTAACTTTTTGGAGGAGGTCCGAAAGCTTTCTGTAAAACTCATCTTTTACATCATCTGGGCTGCAGTCAGTGGGGGCGTAGGCTGATATGACGAAGAGGCAACGGCGAGTGTCCCTATCTTTCCGAGTCCTTACTGTCCCGTTCAGTCGGACGGCGCACAAGCGACTATCTACAGGGATCCAGTCAAGGAGAGATTGTTCTGCCCTACGACTCAATGCTATACCTACACCGGCGAGGCCCCTAGAAGCAGCATCAGGGCTACCGGATACACGAAGGGTAAATCGAGCTGCTTCTTTATCTTGACATGGTGAGGTCAAATGAGTGATGCTACTCGGATCCTGTATGCGCGTTTCCGAGACGCAGCACACATCGATGGAACGAGATTCTAAAGTCCTAGCTAATGATGCCTGTTGCCCTATTTGACACAATGTCCGTACATTGAATGCTCCAACATGTAGTTTGGAACGGGGTTTAAGGAGACCAGGAACGACGTTTCGCAAACTCGCATCGTTTGCATTAGCTGTGCACTGTAATAAATGAATGTGAGAAGAGTTAGTTGTGGAGATAAGAGAGGTATTAGGGAATGTAGGAAGGATTTGATTTTGAACAATTTTGTCTCGTGTGCTGTTGCGGGTATGAGGGCGGTTATCACTTCCCGGCTGCCCACACCGTGGAAGGTCATTTGCTATGAATAGACCATCCGATTACTGAGTAAGTTTAGTCAGTCACCACTCTTTTCGGGGAGGCTGTAACAAATGGAAACAAATGTCTCTTACCTACTTCTTATGATTTTAGTCTAGAACGGTTAAGACGTTATCGTATAATGTTGATCGGAACTAGCTGAAATGAATTTCTTCAGACTCTATAGATTTACTGGAACAGCAGTGATAAGTGAATACTTTTATATATTTAGATCTCACTGACTTACCTGATATGATACCAAGCTTCAAAATGATCTTACTCAGCTTTCTAAACAATGTTGAGTAAAAATATATTTGAAATTATAAGTCGATGATTGTTAAGCCACCGTTAGAAATCTAGAAACACTGGACGGGCGTTTCAGCCAGGTGTGGGGATCATCAGCAGTGCGCTTATTGGACGAACTCATTTAAGAGTTGAGCTAATGAATGTCTCTTAATTGTCAAGTGCATTCAGATACAAATAGACACATTTAAAATACTGATTATTTAAAGAATTATTGAGACAGTTAGTGATAACGGCAAAACTACGTCATTGATGATAATCACATTGTTAGACAGTCTTCGCCCATGTCTGAAGATTATCATCCGGTCATTTGAATTCTTGAAAATGCCTTTATTTCAGCTCCATAAAATTTATATCAAATTTATCAACCGCAAGAACTACATCTATCCCTTTGGTCTTCTAAAGTATGCGAGAATTCTATAAGGTTTATCCTAATTTATCAGACTGTGCGTTTTTTATTGATTTAAAACACATAAAGATTGAAACAAGAAGACAACAAAATATACATACACCACACAATGAAAATGAGTTCATGAAGGGATAACGAAAGAATGTTGAGTATATAAAAACGAAGAGAAATCAGTGTATGATAGTGGAATATTCGTAATAATAGTGGAAGAAACAATTCAGTTATTGAGAATACAAGTAAAAAGAATCGTTTCTGTTAAAGTGTCTATTACTTAAGTGAAGAGAATGAAATGAAGTTACAGCAGGACCATCACTGCATTCTGTTCTGAGCCATGTCCGATAATACCTCAAGACATCGAGTTACGCCTTCTTTAGAACCCCATCCAGGAAATCGTGGAGGGCCAACCGATATCAATCTTGTATAGCTTTTCCTCATACCACGACATCATCTCATACAATGGCCGTCACTCCGCTTTTTCCACCTAGTCTCAGCGTTCAAAAATAATGCATGACTTGGAATTCACCGGAACGATATTATTCGTAGTACATATCCAAGCCAACAAAGTTCGTATTTCAAGATGCTAACACTAATTGAATTATCGTCGCCGTTCCCCCACACACATCGTGAAACCTCAACAGTACTCATTTGATGTTATTACCGAATGTCAGTAATCCTTCGGAGACAACGGTGACCGAACTCAGAAAGTTTCCTAATATCTTCCACTCGGAGAGACCAGGTTTCACAAGCATAGAGCAAAACTGATCTCACCGATGTATTGTAGACTCGGAATTTTGTAGCCAGACTCACATCATGAAGGCTCCAAAGATGTTTTAGATTGGCATAAGTCACTCTGCCTTTCACTATACGTGAGCTAATCCCATCTTTCACGCCAGCACCAGCTCTTACACAGCTACCAGCATACAAGAACCTTTTGACTACTTCTATCTGCTCACTACCAAGAATGAGTGCAGGGTTGACGGTATTGCCGATTCGGTAAGAGTATTCTGCACTTAGATGTAAAGTACATCTCATACCTGCTTACGGACGAGAACACCTGTCGACTCACTTTACGATGTAGGGACAACCGGTTCCCAATCGGTTCAGTCAGTCAGTCAGTCAGTCAGTTACGACGTAGAACTTTGTACGTAAGTATATTAGTTCACGTTGCCATACCACATTAGCTCAGAGACGAAACTGTCAACTCGAACCCAATATTAGTAGAGGTATTACCAGTAATCAAAGAGATTATTGATAGAATATATTATTCGAGATGTATACCCCTGAAACATCGACTAAAAAAACCGTCAAGAGGAATTTTGAAGATTGAAATTTCATAGAACACAAAGAGTGGATGCACCTGAGCCATTGCAAACCATTTTGAGCCATGTCGTTCAAGATCTCTAATCATCGGTTACTGTCGTCTCGACGGCCCCAACCAGGTAGTCGACACCTACCAACATGACTTGGTCGACTTGTCAGTAACTTCATGGATTTGTATCATGTTTTGATCTGGCCACCCCTAACTTTCTTTCGAAATACCCCTACATCAAAAAATGTCCCTCGTCGAGGCAATCGGTGGTTAGGAATTCGAAAAACATGTCCCAACCATCTCAACTGATGGAGTTTCAATACCTTATTTATTGCACGCTTCCTAACAACAGCATTGCTTACTCAGTTGTCCCAGGATATACGAGCAACTTTTCGAAGCAACGTATGATCGAAAACCAGTAACCTACGAGGTGAAATCAAATTAATGATTTTAATCGGATCTTGCATGCGCGTTTCGGAAACGCAACATACATCGATCGCCCGGGATTCTAGCTGATGAAGCCTGTTACCTTATTAGGCACAAGGTTCGAGCATTAAAAGCTCCAATATGTAATGTAGTACTGGGTTTCAGGAGACCAGGGATAATGTTTGGTGAGCGAAAACCGTTTGCTTCAGTGGCGCGAGGTGACAAACGACCAAAAGAAGGGTTGGTCGAGGAGTTAAGACAGTTATAAGGAGGTGTAGAAAGGATTTGATTGTGACCCATTTGGTCTCGCGTGCTTCTATGGGTATGAGTGCGCATGTTACTTCCCGGCTGCCCATACCGTGGGAGGGCTCTGGTTGTCAGAACGGGCATCGGCATCGTGACTTCCGAAGGAACTCGGCTTTCGTCACGAGACGTCATAACTCTTCTAAATGAGGACTTACTCCCAGCTTAGAGTTTAATCGGTTGCAAACAACTCAGTCGTTCTCCTAGTTAGTAGATCGCTATAAAGGACGGGAAGTAAGTTATCTAGGCATAATAATTTGTAGGGCTTCAAGATTTGGAGTTCCTTTCCTCTCCTTAGCTGGAGCGATCGTCACTAGCTATAGAGGACAGGACAGTCTGATCGATGCCACCAGGACAGCTGACCAGCTGAATCGTTCTTCGAAAATGCTAGCCATCATCCAAAACGTCGGTGGATGCTACTGATTGGTATCCCATCAGCTTCACAGATTGTTTCACCCACACCAAACTTCACGCTGCCAGTGGCTCCGGCATGAACTCTTTTTAGAATAAATTAGTACTATTATTATCCTTAAAATTTAAAAACAACACTCGTAACGGTGAACGTCTTCAATCATGAAAAAGATCAGAAAATACTACCGACTCACTTTCGATAACATCAACCACCTGTTTAACCAGCAACTGGTCTATTTGAGCCAAATACTCAAGGCCTGGAGGACAGTTGATCATAGCAGGTCTTTGCATCCACATAACTAAAAGGAAGGAAAATTTCCAGGTAATTTTATCTAATCAAAGTTTTGTCACAGACATTTTAATGGACTATAAGGTTTGCTATTACTGGATATTCACTGTTTAGTTATGAAACAACTGAGAGTTTATCTGAAAATATAATGAACAGCTAATGAACACTGATAGATTGTGAACAGTTCTAGATACATTGAAAAATAATTATCTGGAAACTTTTAAAAAGATCTTGGATTATATGGTCCTTCCACACATATGAGCTTTTAAGTCAAAAGTATTAACCCAGGTGTAGTGATCGAAAACCAATGTAAATCAGGTATGGAAATAACTTTCATTGAATTAACATCGTATATGAAAATAAAACAAAAGACCTCATATTTATAATACTTTTCAGTTAAGTGAAGTAGGGAGCCAAAATGTAGCACTTAAACATATTAAAACTCACAACAAGAACTATTTTATGAACCGTCAGACGGTTTGTTAACAAAACTACAGTAATTTAGTAGACTCGTACACAGTAGTTAGCAAAAAGCTTTGTCCTGGAAGGTCCCTAGCTATCAAAGACTAAACCATTGATAAGAAAACTCCCAGATGAAAGCTTTCGGTCTTCAAACCCTTGAATTTACCATAACATAACGTCATCTATGTAAATGTTACGAATAGTGAGATATTACGTAACTTCATAAAACGTAATAAATCAATAATAGTTCGTTTGTTCAGCAACTGGCCCTATTTTTTGTTATGAGGACCGATAAACCGGAGATTTTCGAAGCCAAAGTAGGTAGACCAGGTTTGCATATCGTAACTAAGTAGCTGGGAACCAAGTTCATGAGCGACTACCATCTTATAACTAAAATAATACATAATGATAATCCACCACTGGAATAACACTGAAGCGATATGACAACTTTGAGTCAAAAGCTACAAATAATTAAATAGAGGGTGTCAATAAGATCCATTATGTCTAGGGCCTCCATTCATTGCCGCTAATACTCCTTCTATCTCTACCACTACGGGATTAGAACTGAGAGTTGCGTCTGTGCTAATGTGGCCAGTCAGTCAGTTACAACGTAGAAATTCGTACATCAGTACATCAGTTCAAGTGCCATGGCAACCTAAAGTGATGTACGTACGTACGAAGTTCTACGTTGTGACTGACTGACCTCAAAACTCAATATCTAAGACGAACTAGCACATTATAATCGATTTCTCTGAGCTTCATTATGGGTTTTAAGGTAAAATTCCAGACATTCAGTATCGCCTAATGTTAAAAACTTCACTACTTCAGTGTACTTGTTTTCGCTAATAGCAAATACTAACAAATTACCATGTCTTGACTAAAAATGAACGCATTTGTTCTGGGACACGTGTTGCTAATATGATACAAAGTAGTTAGCTACTTGCTGCCCAAGAATTTTAAACTTCGAATGGAGAAGATTAAACAAATGACACAGGCCTCAAGGAAGTAAAAAGATTTACTGATTGGTTAAGTAGGTGTCATAAGTAGATAGATGAATAAGCAGAAACCGAACGACTACTGTAAGCAGCAAGGTGGGTGAAATGACTTTATCACTACACAAACAGGAAAAGTATTTTCAAATGAGTTTGAGGGATAAGCTTTACACCTGAATAATAAGTGTGAGTAATTACATCTTTTAGTTTGACCTTCAAATGAATATATGGCGAACTACGACAGGAAATAAAATTTAACTCAAAAATCGACTGTTCAATAGAAATTGCGATACAGAAGGATGTTATATACTAAAATTAGTAAAATATGTACGCAAGAAAACAACCTTTACAACTACGTTTAGCGGTGACTTCGTAAAGTTGCGAAATAACTTAACGAACAACCTAGACTTCACTAAAACAACAATACAGCAGCCAATATCTTCGTTACCAGATGACTTTGTAGCTCTCCTCACCTGTTATCGGGGTACAATTACAATTCACAGTTGTCTTTTAATGTGAGCAATCCAATTGTTTTCAAGTAATTGCTTACCATTACTTTTAGGACCTTTTGTTCTTGTAGGTGTGGTAGTGGTGCGCTGTAGTTAGTATGCTTCTTCTCCAGCCACAGTTCAAGGTCCTCATTTTAACTTGTATGGAACCTGTAATTCCAATACTAGAGAGCGTCTGCAAAAGATCTAAGTGAGAAACATTATATGCTCACCTAAACTCTATGAACATCACGTTGCGAGACAAAACGTTATCTTGAACTACTGCCCAGAGATTTCAGGAATGTTTGTTCTGTAACCCAAGTTGTTTCTCCTGGTGATCGACTGGATTATGAAGATGCCAACATCTGGAGGGAAGCTTGTTATTCAGTGGGCAGCTAGGACGCAGCCGAACGATCCGGACTTCGCAGATGACCTGGCTCTTCTATCTCACAACAAATGCAAGAGATGACGACCAGTGTGGCAGCAGTCTCTGCAGCAGTAGGTCTCAACATACATAAAGGGAAAAGCAAAATTCTACGATACAACACAACATGCACCAACCAAATCACTCACTCTTGATGGAGATGCCTTCGTGGACGTTAACACCTTTATATATCTGGGCAGCATCATCGACAACCAAGGTGGATCCGATGCAGAACTGAGGGCGCTGATTGGCCAAGCAAGGGCTGCATTTCTGCAGTTGAAAAGTATCTGGAACTCCAAACAACTTTCAACAAAAACCAAAATCAGGATTTCCAATACAAATGTCAAGACAGTTCTACTGTATGGAGCGGAAACCTGGAGAACTACGAAAGCCATCATCCAGAAGATACAAGTGTTTATTAGCAGTTGTCTACGCAAAAGTTTTCGGATTCGTTGGCCAGACACCATCAGCAACAACGAACTGTGGGAGAAAACATACCAGATTCGAGTGGAGGAGGAAATCAGGAAGAAGCGGTGGAAGCGGATAGGACACACACTACGAAAAGCACGCAACTGCGTCACGAAACAAGCCCTCACATGGAACCCTCAAGGCAAAAGGAAAAGAGGAAGGCCAAAGAACACATTACGACGAGAAATAGAGAAAGATATGAGAGTAAATGAACAAACATTGGACAGAACTGGAGAAGGCAGCCCAGGACAGAGTTGGTTGGAGAAGACTGGTGGACGGCGTATGCTCCATCGGGGGTAACAGGCGTGAGTAAGTAAGTAAGTAAGTAAGTAAGTAAGTAAGTAAGTAAGTAAGTGGATTACTAGCTTGGCTTCAATTATATTTTAAAGTAATTTACTTTTTATTCTGGTTAGAATGACAGGTTGTAGTTAGACACGGTCTGTTCCTGACCAAACTTCAATATAGGACTATTAATTTCATTCTTCCAAACCCTAGGGGTCGCATTCAAAAATGGGATTCTGCGATTCTGAAATAGTGTCCGCGTGGGACGACAGAATGGATGCAACCCCTTCGGGCCCCTTGATATACCAAGTTTGAGGTTAATGAGCGGTTGGAGAAAAGCCTCTCCAGTTACATGTAATGGTTCTATTACTGCTATTATTTTAGTGTGACTATTGGAAGTTTTGTTTACATTATATATAGAATAGACTTCGATGAAACAATTTGACGAAGTCTCACATTTATTCAAGCGTGGTGTAATTAGTAGATATAAATTTTCGTGCAGAAATAACGCATACATTCCGACACTGCATTTGTTCCTCGTCTAATATAGGGAAATGATAGCTTTGGGCAAGTATGGCTATCTTATGCTAACTGACCTGCGCAAGTGTTGACATCAAGTTGTTGTCCAAATGATATGTTGTGATGTGCGGTATCCTAGACCGGAAATCGACACATGATAACCCCTCGGAACCGGCTACTGGAGCACAGTTACAGAAGCAGAAGAGAAAGTCTTTTTGGTTGCCGAATAGTGTTTCTAGTTTTCCTGTATTTCGAAGGCAAACCCACACAGACGTAATTCTAAACTACGACAGCAACAACCCAAGAACCCACAAGATCAACTGCATACAAACTGTTTAACAGAGCAAAGACACACTGCAGCACATACGAAACAATAAAAAACGAGGAAAAACACCTGATGACTATCTTCCAAAAGAACGGCTATCCACACAACTTCATCAAAAAACATCAACCGAAAACATCATCGGAAGCGAAATCAAGCACAGGAACAAATAAACGCATCATCCTGCCATACATCAAAGACATATCGGAGCATACAGCACGACTACTGAAACCATTTAGAATAGGTGTGGCACACAAACCAACAGAATCACTTGAATCAATCCTATGTAGACCAAAGGACAAAATAACAAAAGTAGTAAATTCAAATATCATCTACAAAATAAATTGCTCAGACTGTGAAAATCACTACATAGGACAATGTGGACGACCTCTTCAGCTTTGTTTACTTGAACACCAATTAGCAGTCAAACGCCACGACAATACTTCACTCATATCAATACACACCGACAATCATGGACATACATTAGATCGGAACAATGTGGAAATACTGGATAGGGGGAACACAAAGAACACTAGAGAATTTTTAGAAGCTTGGCACTCAGGTCAATCAGCAATCAACAAACACATCGACATTGACCCAATTTATCAACCAATCAAGAAAATCATATATGACACAGGATCAAGAAACAGATCAGAAGGGTGATGCAATCAAAACAAAGTTGCAAACAACGACAGGTCAATTGTCAACAGCAACCATTCAAGATCGAGGTTAGCAGAACAAGCAACGGATCAAACGTGGAGAAATTCGAACGCTTCACTTCTATCTGAAGTTTGTGCTGATGATGTTGTTCAGAAGAACAATGAAAGCTCCACAACCGAAACAACCAGCTCAGAGAACGAAACCCCACCACAATCATCCACCTGAGCTACAAGTTTTCTCCACCAACTGTAGGTATTCTTGAAACCACTCAGTCTACCTATGCGAGTAAAAGAAGCACTGGTTTTTAAGACATAACTACACGAAAACGTTTGATTCCAAGGACTTTTTTCGCCATTCTGCCCCGGAATTTTCAAATACGCTAGTGATTTTAACAAGAGATCTGAGGCATTGAAACTATTTATCACCTCTAGTCGCATGAAAATTTTGGGCCGGTGGCCATATTGCTGCTCCTTCCGGGATTATTATGGTTTACGGCTGTACCTGGAATTCAGAACTGGTGAGGATATTCATCTAAAAAGGTTGTAATTGATTTCGTATGAATATGATTTTAGTAGCGAATTGGACTGTTACTTGCGAAATAAAGGTTTCGTATCATGGTAAGTTGGTTGGTTCCGGTTTTGTCAGTTAGGTATAATACATAACTCCGAAGTTCATCATAAATTTGGACGTGAACTTTCAAACTATCACAGCAACCTTCCGCTTAATTCGTGTAAGGTTTTAGGGTGGCTTCTGAATTTGGAAGAGCTGTTCTAGAAGTTTAGATACACGCCTTCCCCAGATATCCGAAATAAAAATCCATTTATCTGGGTAAGAAACGGTTCCATTAATAATTAAAATTTATAGATTATTACCTAAACATTATTATACTGTTCTAACTCCAAATTAACACAATGTGTTTCCAATTCTGGAAGAATGCTTCCGTTTAAGTCCGAAATTGCACCCTTCCAGTCCAGACGTACGTTTCACCCACCAGGGTATCAAATCTGAAACGCAGTAATGAAGTATCAATTTTAACAACATAATACAGTTCAGTAGAAAACATAGAAACTCCAATAAAGGTACAAAAAATAGAAACTATCACAAAATACAGATATTAACATCACAAAATGGGATTAAACGAAGTCAGTGAAAACATATTACAAATATGTACATGTAGGGATTTTCCCAATACAAAGCCTTCAAAACCGATTTCACAGTTCAATCTTTAATTGACCAATGAAGTCGAGTACTAACATACGAATGAAGGGTTTTATTCTTGGAATTATCACTGCTAAAAGTATTGGAGTTCAGTTCAAATCAGTTATGGTTGGTGGGGTTGTGTTTAGACTTGTTATGAGTGGTTAGTGGCTGCGCAGTTGGAGTATACTCTGCTGAAGTAATGAATATATCTATGTGCAAATAATCCAGATCGGCATCCCCGGATTTTGTATTGCAGAGAAAATTACTAACAATCTGTGGGTTGCTAAAAATTGTATCCGTTTGTAGGCTTGCTAAGCCACACTTTCTACTAAGTGCTCGGAAGTGTCTGTTTTTGATCAATTTTATAAAACGGTGGATGGTCTTGTGTCACTCACTTTGTGGTTGGTTTTATTTATATCAATGAGCGAGATACAAGGCAAAGAAATGTCGTACCCAAGTTCATGGTAAAAATCTAGTTTGTTAGCATATGATACAGAATAATATCTGTTCCTATACAGTTTTATTTTATTCACTTTATTATTGGCCTTAGATCTTCCACATGTGTGGTTGGCGATAAGCGAAATTTAATGTTCTTAAGATATACGTGACATGTTTTGGGAGTTAATTGTACGCAAAATTTTTACAATATGGACACGGTCTGTTCAAACTTGGGGTGGTAGTATTAAATCGACCAAAGGTAGGGGTGAGTTAAGAATCCCCCTGGAGTTAAAGGACCGGAAACTGTGAAGAGCAGTAAAAAAATAAAATTATAGTTTAGAGGTGCTAAATGACTTGCTGAAATTTTATGAATGGTCTAGAATTTGCAATTGTCATCACTTCCAGGTACATCATGATCCATATTGGTAACTAAGGCACGGATTAATGTATGGTTATTTTATGTCATATTTTGAAACTTTCTAACAGTATTGTAGAATCCTTTTTGAATGTTTTGTTTTTTGGAAAATCCCTCCATGTTTACATATTTTTGTTATGACATGACGGACTTTTTCTGTTGACATTTTTGGTATTTTGTTTGATTCCAATTTGAGATTTTATCATTGTATGTTGTTATTATTTCTATATTTTGTACTTATATTGAAGTTTTTGTGTTTGCTTCTGATCTGTATATATGTTGTTTAAATTTGATCTTTAACATGGCTACAGCCATATTTGGATTGATACAGTAGCCGTTGGACTTAACGTCACTTATTATCGTTGTTTCGGATACTCTTCGGAGTAATTGTAACCTGGAAGGTGTATTAATTCCAGGTACTGCTTTGTATTTCCATGTTTTTATTAATAAAGACACTTTCTCCTAGAATTTTTGTTTTATCGGGACCTTGGACTGGGAGAAATGAGTTCAGGAGTGCACCTATTGGAACCCATTGGAACGGCCACCGTAGAAATCCATTTACAAGTATCGAATTATTTAGAAGCACCATTTAGAACCTTATATCCTCTTCAAGAATAAAGAACGAAAACAGGTCAAAATCACATCTGGTAGCAGACTGCTGAAAGGGCAGTTATCTGTCTGCAATGCTGATATGAAAGAGGCTGATATTATAGATGGCTTTTTGGTAAGAACATACATTGTACTACATCACTATGGCAAGCCGATAATATATATGGTCACTTTCTTCCAGATGATGACAGAACATCGGAGGAATCGCAGACCGCGCTTGCTGAAGTTCTAAGTCACAACGCCACTTACATAGGCCAAATTGAAACTCGACCGTTTCAAACAGAATAGATTAAGGTGACTTGATAGTTCATGCAACGTAAAGATTTTTAGTGCTGCAAAAGGAAGATGGAATGATTCGGAATTCGCAGTAATAATAATATACAGTTAATTTCGAGTACATATTGTTGGTTGTTTCGTTGTTTGGATTAATAAATGCACTAAAAACCTTTCTGGTACTCAAATCCATCCCAATGACAAGATTCACAAACTTACAGCTTCTGTAAACTATTACTACTAGAAGGGTAATTTTAAAACACTGAGCAATGAGAAGAATCAGTAGACCGCTTTAGAAAACTGTACAGTAGAACCGCAGCTCAGGATTACGAATGTACAACATAATGATTCTACTATTGTGGAACAGGTTACCAATTACTATCCGTATCTGTGACACAATCACTAAGTTCACGAAACTAGTCATGCTGTTGCTAGACTCTAAAGAGATTTATCGACTATTCCCGGAACTCACACCAAGTTATGAGGCACTCTCTTATGGTACAGCAAATATTTAGATAAACCTCAGAAACGAATTATAGACTATGAACATATTGTGTCCTCATTGTCACACATACATGTATCACGAAATGATAGACAAATCCTCATGCTCCCACTAACAGTAATAGGTTACGCCTTTGAGGGCTTATCCGTGACTTTCCTCTAAATTTACATTCCAATCATTATTTTCATATCCTCAAAGCAGTTTTAGTTTTTATTTCTAGTAGACAGACAAATTGAAAAGCCTGTAGATGCTGATCAACTGCTGTCAATTACAAGGAACTAAAACTCCGTGTATCATTGTGAGTTCCTTCTTGTTTAAGTATTAACAGTTTAACAAATTTTTATTTCCCAATTCATTAACATCCAAACACCTTGCCTGCTTACCAACTTATCGCTCTACTCATTAATTTTTAACATTATTTCAACTCTTTTTTCCCTTTCTCCTCTTTCCAGCTCCCTGTTCTCCCTATCTCCAAACTACCTATTAACTAACACATCTTACAAATTATACCATTAGTGTACTTAAAATCAGTGTGGTATGCTACGTGAATATTTTGTCTGGCAAAGTTTTCTGGATTACTTGTAATATGGAGCTAGTATAGAAAGTGAATTCCGATGAGGTGTACAAAATAACAGAGAGTGGACTAGAAACCATTATTCACAATTATTATTATCATTAGTCAACCATTAAACGTAACAGAGCCTAACATCACAAAGGAGGGAGGGTGGTGTATCTGACCAGCATTCATGACGGTGGGGTGATAACCTCAATCTACCCATGTCTGTGTGGCAGAACATTTTGTTTGCTTACGGCTCCTTACGATATAGCAGGATGTAACAAATCAGTGATATTGATGTTACTTTTCCTTGTTAACCTCGTCTACGACTCATGTCTGTAACCCTGCACTGATATTTACCTCCTACCGAGAAATCCTATTACAAGCTGGTCTGGACATCTATGCTAAAAAAGAGCTCACTCATGACTTCTTGAGCTACAGAGATAAAAAGAAACAGAATAAATAAAATACCACAAGAGCTTTACATTACTGTGCCTCGTTATTATATTCTGTAAATCAAAATTATCGCTAACAACTTGCTTCTTCTGAATTTCCTCTATCCATACGACCAACTTCCTTAGTTATCTCACTGCTGAATTGTCTCCATCAAGTTAGTCTTCTGATATTAAAAGAAGTCTGAGTAAACATACCTTTGTTTTATCCAAAAACGTATGTGCTAAGTCGTTGTTCGGCTTTAAACAAGAATATTCTCTTTTCTGCTCCTCGTCCCGTTTTCTTTATTTCTCCTTTTTCAGCACCTTATTCCAATCCTCATATATTAGCCTGGATATTTGCCGTAGACTTGGTTACCCTACCCAGGAGCCTGTGAAATCATAAGCTGATGAATATCAACCAGACCTTTGCACATTTACCGCATCCATTCATGTTATATGCAAACCTGGCTCTACCATGCATCGTTTCGCAGTCAATAAGATGATAGTCGTAACGCCATCTTCGTAACTCGCGCCAATTATTTGCATTGTACATTACATCTATAGGAACGCAATGAATCTCGTGAAATATTTCAGTAACTGTATGCCGTTTTAAAAGAAATATGTTGCTAATCTTAACATTTTGATCTTGCCTGTAAAGGGGCATGTCTCTTGTAACATGTTTGTTATTTGAGAATAAATTATTATTATCATTATTATTACTATAGGGCAGGAGTGGAGCCTTAATGAAGCACCTTATATATATGATACTCTATGTCCTGGATGAGAGTGGTCACAGGCGGATGTATAGTAAACGTATTTGCGCGGTTCAAATCAGCCCATAAAAGTGAGTGATAAATGTTTCTCTTGTGATCACTGGTAGTTGAAACCACATTATCAATATACAAGCGGTCTACTCGCTCGTGCTGCTTCATTTGCAATGAGGATAGTTTTGGGGATGTTACATCCCCAGAACTCACTTGAAAAAGGTCCTAATTTTGAAATTTTTGTGGTTTCGCACATAAGACACTCAGTTGACCCTTAGACTACATTTCCCATTCTGAACATCTTTAACTGGCAATGGTTGATGGATTATTTTAATAAGCTATTTTGTGGCTCTCTCAAGGGGGTTGCTATCATTGCGTAAATAGGCTTGGTTTGTGTGCATAGCAAACTCAAATTTTCTGGCGGCTTGTAGAATACATTCTCCACTCCCTATCAAGACTTGTTGATCCGGATAGCGGGTCCGGGGACAAAGGGATTAGAATAGCCAATCGTGTCACTTCATTGTTGGGCTTCGTTCTGTTTACCGAGTAGGTGAACTCGTAATAGTCTCAAACATATCAGTTGGTAAGCATATCAGATAGAAACACACTTCTGTTAAAATTAGTATTTTATTTATACACTTTGGTTTTAAATGAGGACATAAATCGTCAATGAGCACGAAGTCATAATCTCTGCCTAAAGATCAATCCAGGACTTTTGTCACACCGCTTCGGCAACTGCCTCATAATCCATTTAGGGTCCTTGAATGCTCCATCGACTTGCACTGTTTTTAGCACTGAAACTCAATGCATGGAAGAAGACGGAATGCTTACCTCATACAATATTGTTGACCGTTATGTCTCATTACGAAGTAGTTAGTGCATGCCAAAGATGGGAAAGTGGAATATTCAGTCGTGACCATTCGCTGGACAACATACGTCTTTTAGTAATCCAGATAGATATCAAAAGGAAGCTTGAATTTACTCAAAATCAAAAAACTAGGTTTCTTGAGTTGAGTGTCCGTCCACAATAATCTACTAACTTCTGCTGAACAGCTGTTGCGAACCTGTCTCCAAACTGTTAGGAAAATTGGCGTTTATATTTATGGGCTTTTTGTGTCAACTGTAATTAACACCTGCTCGATATAACTGTGGAGGTAGCTGCACGAAAGGTGCATGTAACTTTCACCCTATGCACTATCGTAACATGTGACCAGCTATAAAATTAATTTTTAATAATTGGACAGAGTATAGGTCTACAAGGATGTTGACATCTAGCAAATACTTTGCAGGTACACTCCCTTTTACTAACGTCAACCATGTATGGCCTTCCTTGGTCATCGAAAAAAAATCAAGTGGGTCATTTCGTATTCAGAAATGACTCTCAGAAACTATCGGGGCTTTCAGACTCCAGAAGTCGTTTTAGTCATGCTGCAACTACAAACCCAGACAACCTTACACATTCCCAACCTAACCCTAGTAAATAAATACAAGCCATCCAATTCGTGCACAGAGACTCTCTCGTGTACAAGCTGTGCCTGAAGCATGTGATTAGACGTGCTAGTTATTATTTCGCAATTTCATCAAGTCACTAGCTTAATCTGTCTCGCCTATTATCTCCGTTTCATCTCCCTTGCTTACACTTCCGTCCTCTTTGACAATCTCCACTACCAATTATTAAACTAAATTATCTTTTTATTTACTTAGTTCTGAAATCTTATCAATATTAGCATTGGACTTTTTTCATTATTATTCTCCACACTACAAATAACTGGTCTACAGTCTGGTAATGCGATAGCTGCTGGTATCCAGAAACCCTACTGCCCTGAAACAAACGTTTTCATTCAAATCCTGAGACATACAAACTCACAACCAACTGCCAGCTAAGTAGAATTAGACAGTCAAGTGGCTAGACCCGCATTCACTGGAAACTACAAAAAACCTGAGACCGTACCGAAAGAACCAGAATCGAGAGCAAAGAAATCAATTTGTTTGCACTGTCTCGTGAAAAAGATATTGGATATATAGTGGACTCAAGGTTGTTGGGTCGCAAAACCGAACGGTTTGAATCGAACCAAACATCTGGAAACGTACCGAAAGAACAGGAGTTGGGCTCAAACAAGTCAATTGGTTTGCATTACTTCGAGAAAAAGATATTGGATTTTCGAACTTGAATTTTCATCTACCCTCTTCTCACGCTACTGTTCACCCACGTCGTAGTTAAGGTACCTTCTTGTTAGGCACGAACCACTACTGTTGCTCCCTCTCTTGACTTGCTCACTCTATGGTGCGAATAAGTTCTTTGAAACTTCTTTATGTCCAATCACTTTTTTGTATATTTTCTATATCATCCTTTCTTTTCGGTCTGTTTTCCCCATCGGTGGTAGATATCCTCTCTCTTCCTTTTTTAAGTATATATGAAATTTACAAGCTTTTTACTTTCCATCTGGTGACAGACGAGTTTTGCGTTTTCATTTTAACCATTCCAGCAATATTTGTGTATACAAAGCTTGTACTTGATGCATGGAGCAAAGTCGAAATACTCTTCTATTACTGGTTTGTGAATACGATTGCTGCAATATTCACGATTATTCCGGCGATTTTCTTCTCTGATAACATTTCTGTCAGTCGGATAAATGGAAATTCCGCATTTCTATCTTCTGTTCTTGTAGTTCTTATCCAGTTAAAGTCGGATCAGTCACTTGTCAATATTAAGTTTTTAAACCTGAAATCTCAGTATGGTCTTCCTATTGTATCGATTATATTCCTATGTTTGTGGTTAATACGGTTCCTCAGGCTTTCTTCTGTTATTCTTTTTTGTACTGGGGTCCTGTGTAGTTGGTGTTACCTTCGCTTTCTACAGCGTCATCCTCAAGGAAGGAGGGGTGACTATCGGTCATCATTCGCATTCTCCAGGTTGGCACAAGTTTTTTTATTCAATGTGATTTATGAGATATTAATGGTTATTTGCCTTTACTTGAAACTGGTATCTCAGTTTACCCCCAACTATTTTGACCAGGTTTGTGTATCCATCATCACGCGGCGTACAAAACTTGTCAGTGTTATTAGTTTTTATGAATTAGTCAGAATTTCACCCCCATGTTCCGTATTCGGAATGGTTAGTCGCTTTCTACAAAATAGATTTTAGTGTGGTTACCTGATCCATAGTTAGTCTATACTTGCAGGTCCGGAGTGGTTGCATGGAGTTGCCTTCTCATAAAGTGAGACGTTGCGTTTGCTTTATTTGCAGACCCTATGTGGCTTGAGCTGGCATCCCAGCTCTCTTTAGTTATTAACCCGAGATTGATTCCTGGGGAGACATTTAAGGGCAGAATCCCATGAAAGGTACATCGTCGCTCTGTCGTTTTAAGGTCATTTGGAAGCCCGAATGAGTCCTCTTTGCTTCTTATGAACTTTCTCTGTATAAGTTAGTGTAACTGAATATCAAGAAGAGTGGACCTTAGATGGTGTACAGATTTTATACCATTTAGAGAACAAATTCTAGTACAATAGATCCTCAAATTTAGCACAAATGACGTACAGGATTAAGTGGGGAGCACGGTAGAACAATCGATAAGTACGTGAACAGTCATGGTTTTTAATTAACCATAAAGTTCAGTCAGAATCCAGCAAACAAGGACTTCAGTCAGTAGTCGCTCTCTCACTTTTATGAAAAATAATAAAGACTCCAGCGTCAATATGGGTTTCTCTTCTGAACTGTATTTAATGACGTCTCAATTCACTAAGCTATTTTGATTTTAGTCGCTGAGATATTTGGAAATATATTTTACTTTTGATATTTTCCATAAAATTAAGTGTTGTTAAACTATTTATTCAGATCTACATGAAAGTTATTATGGGACCAATTCTCAATCTATTCTATTGTCAAGCTGAAATATCTTTATATAACCTAGAAATGTTAAAATGTATAGTTTTATCACCTTTATTTTCTGAATGAACATTTACTTATAGTCTCATCTGATATCTTCATGACATTCGTTGTAAAACTAATCTGACAGACACCCTTTTATATTTTAGGCTCTTTCCTGAGCCAATCGACAAAATGCTTTCCGTTCCTTCCAACGTTTTCTACCAACTTCTGCTTCGAACCAAATTTTGTCCCGAACTAAAAAGAGCGAATGAAGTTACTGTAGAACCTTTATTAACGTTTCGCTCGCATGGCATGATATCTGACCCAGAACGGCATCGGTAAGTTCCTGTAATCTTAAACCCTATCTAGTGAATGATAGACTACTATATTAGTACTGTCGACGATGTTTTTATCCACTGACGGTACTAGTTCATTTCTATGAGGTGTGTTTATCTGTAATAATACATGTTAAGTTACTCACACTTAATATTATGAGTAACCAGAGACGAATGACAATATCTTTTTAACATTCAAACTGGTTTATTTTACTTGGAGTTTTGTTGGCTGAGGTGGATGATTTGATTTTAGATTTTTGATTGTTTCTCCATCACATCGACACTAGTTTAAAATAAAAGTTAGCTTTCCGGACTAAAGTGACAATGGCATTTTGATTTACATACCGATCTTCATTATTCAAGTGAGATGTAACTACTCAATGTCTGAAAAAAAGACAACCCCACCTACTTTTATACAGGGTCTGGAATTTTACCCATCCATGTTGGTTATTCATTTACTTAACTGCATATTGGTACAAAGTGGCACCAATAGATATGTGTGCCACACAAGCTGAATTTGTGTATTGGCTGTGATACTCCTCAGATACCGAACCGAAACAGGTGGTTTTAGGGCACCAATCTCTGAACCTTTGGTCAAGAGGTCTAATCCACAAAGGAGTGTAGCAATTTCAGAAGACGCAGTCCTACTGTTACTGGTGACCAAGTTCATACGCCATTTTTTTCCATAAGATCCTGGAGCCCATGTTCACTCCTGCTTTGGGATCAGGGTTTTCTAACTCCTTTATGTGGATCCTTCGTACCCACTAGCCCAGTTTAGGCTTCGATCGGACATCTACTTTTCCTTCTAATAGTTTCATAAAAAGCACCCCTTACCACGAAAAGGCAGTGGACAAGACTTCCCTCCGAGTAGCTATAAAACCGTGGCAATGTGAGAGCACCAGGCTCTATACACCCTCAACTGTACCATAACATTTGAAGACTCCTATCTTTGTTCACCAACGGTTTACGTATGATCACAATCAGTATTGAATTAGTAAAACGATAATGTGTGCAGTGATCCTGGAAATATATGTTAGTCACATGAGCAGTTGTTTTAATTTCATGTAGTAGAATCATCATATGTATCATGAATTCCTAAAAATTTTACCGCGATGACTATCGTTTGATGTTTATTTAAGATTAGTGAGCATGTTGTTTTATTCCTTCTTTCGGTTTGGAAATATTTGCCCTCCAGTTACTTGTATCACTCAATGTAATAATTATACATATTTATGGTTACGTAGTCACATTTTCCTACTAGTACAAACCCTCATTTTTACTATTGTGTAGTAGTATTTAAGAAGGCTTGGGTTCCACACTTTATTAGTTCATAAGGATTATCGTGCATTCAGTCAGTCACAACGTCGAACTTCGTATGTTCGTACATCAGTTCAGAATGCCGTACTGCATTAGTACAGAGACGCAACTGTCAGTTCAAATCCAATAGTAGTAGCGATAGTAGGAGTATTAGCAGTAATGGAGAAGATTAGGGTTCGAAGATATGTTTCGAGAAGTATAATTCAGTGAGATAACTTTAGAAAGAGAGAGATGGAGATGATGAAGAATTCAGTTTAAAATACGAGAGAACACAATGAATGACTGCACCTGCGTCATTGCAAGCGATTTTGAGCTATGTCGTTCAAGGTCTCTGACCATTGGTGACTCGTCTCGCGGACCCCAATCAGGTAGCCTACACCTACCAACATGACTTAGTCCACTTGTTAGTGGTTTCATGGATTTCTGTCGTGTTTTGGTCTGGTCCTAGCTTTCTTCCAAACTACTCCTACACCACAAAACAGCTAGTTGAGGCAATCGGTGGTTGGGCGTACGTACTACCTCAATTGATGGAGTTTCACTACTTCATCAGTTGATCTGCCATCCCTACCTAGCACTCGTTTTCTAAAGACAGCATTGCTTACTCGGCTGCCCCAGGATATACGAGCAATGCTTCGAAGACATCTATAGACAGATACAGCAGATACAACGCAAGACATCGAATACTAATAGCGTACGAATGTCCTCTACTCTCACCGGCCATGTTACTCAGCCGTATAGTAGGACGGAGCAAACTGCAGTGCAGTACACTCGTCCTTTAGTCAGCTAACGGATATCTTGACTGCACCATAGGTGACGCAAGTTGGCAAAAGCTGATCGAGCCTTCTGTATCCGTGCTGAGATTTCGTCAGTCACCAGGCCATCAGCACTGATGAGACTCCCGAGATAAGTGAAGCGGTCGACATGCTCAACTACCTCACTCCCTATCACTAGTTCAGGTACCGATGCGACCCAATCTTGAAGCAAAATTTTGCATTTCGAGGGTGAGAACCGCATCCCGAACATGCTTGCAGTGTTTCTTAGGGTGGTCAGAAAACTCTGAATTTTGTCAGCGTCTTCACCAAGTAGGACTGTGTCATTGGAATATTCTAAGTCAACCAATAAATATCCTGTTAGAGGGTCCACTCTTGAAAAGTCAAATGATGATAATGTTATCTCTAAAAGCAGTCAGTCAGTCAGTCAGTCAGTCAGTTGCAACGTAGAACTTCGTACGTAAGTACATCAGTTCATGTCGCCATACCACATCAGCACAGAGATATAATTGTCGATTCAAATCCAATAGTAGAAGAGGTAGTAAAGCATATCTACGACAAAGTTAGACAAGAGTAGGGACAGTGGACAACCCTGACGGACACCAATTAAAGTAACCAATTGAGATGACGGTTTGCCTTAAGCTGTTACTCGAACAGTGGGGTTCGAGTAAAGAGCCTGTATAAGGTTAATGTACTTCTTTAGTTCACCTTTTAATGACAGACACTGCCACAGAACCTCACGATCGACAGAGTTGAATGCCGCCATAAGATCGAGAAATACTACTATTGTGGGGCGTGTGAACATGTCTTTGTTCTAGGACCTGACGTAGTGTGAAAATGTGGTCTATACACCCACGTCCAGGTCTGAAACCAGCCTAGTTTTCTCTATTCTGCTCTTCATGAGCTTTCGTTAAGCATCGGACCAACATTTTAGAAACTATATTAGTTAGACTGATTCCCCTGTGATTGTCACAAGAGGACTTTTGTCCTTTCTTGTAGACTGGGACAATCAGTGATTGAGACCAGTCAAATGGGATTACGCTTAGTTCCCAGATTCTACCTAAGATTTCAGTCAATCTAACTGCTAAAACTAGACCACCATCCTTAAAGATCTCAAGGGTAAATCTATCAGGTCCTGCTGCTCTCCATCGCTTCCGATTTCCTATAGCTTCTTCAGCTTCATGAAGACTCGGAGGACTTGCCATTCAGGATGACTGGAGATCGTGGGTAACCGAAATGTTGCTGAAGGCCAGCCGAAATGATCCCTTAAGTTTCCTGCCCATCGATTCAATCTCCTGGATTGAGAATGGATAATAAGACCATCCTTTTCTGAGATAGTTTCGCTGAAAGTCGGATTCCTAATACCGGTTTACTTGATAAGTCGGAGTAACTGTCTGCTGTTGCCTATCGCCGCTGCCTTTTCCATCTCTCTCGCTTTCGCTACCCACCACTGTTTACGATCATTGTGTAGGCTTTTTATCAGCCTGCGCCTAAGCTGAATTTAATCTTCGTCATATTCAGAACCAGGTGGGATGAGTTTTCGAGCCTCTATCAGTTCGGTGGGTGCTACGGCTTCATCCTAGCCTTATGGTTTACCTTGCTAGCAGATATCACTGCTGTTTCCACAGCCTTTTTGATATCGTTCGAACCTGCCTCCGGATGGGAATCACTTACATGGTCGCTTAACCGTCATTCTAGTTGCTCCTGAAATATATTCTTAGTTAAGCTATCATTAAGTAAAACCCTAAGAAGCTTTCTTACGGTGTCTTTCCTACGTCCAGTAAGTCTCAAGCAAATACGTGCTCGCACTAGGGCATGATCTGAATCTAAACATGTGCCCTAGAACGAGCGACAGTCCTCTATTGAACCTCCAACGGTGGTTGATGGCTATGTTATATAGTTGCGTCCACCGTTGAGACGACTTTGTGGGTCTCTCAGTCAAAAGATGTTACTCCGTATGCCTAAAGGTAGTGTTTGCCAGAAATAGGCGCTTATCTGAGCATAGCTGCAGCAGACGGTCACCATTATCTGTTCCATCAGCTGCGACAGCATAAGATCCACCCAGGTGCCTTTTATTTTCACTGAGTCTACCTACTTGAGCATTGAAGTAACCAGCCATTATTACTACATGAGAGTGCCCAACTTTTTGGAGGAGGTCCGAAAGCTTTCCGTATAACTCATCTTTCACCTTGTCTGAACTGTAGTCGGTGGGAGCGTAGGCAGTTACGACGAAGAGGCAACGGCGAGTGTCCTTATCTTCCCGAGTCCTTACTGTCCCGTTCAGTCGGACAGCGCACAAGCGACTATCTACTGGGATCCAATCTATTATGTATTACAGACAGTCTAATATTTTTAAACTCTAGTAGCAAAGTTTTTCTTCTACAGCAGCCAGTATTGTTCTGTTAGATACTTTTTTAGGTTGTGAATGAAACCAAGTGTGTCATCAGATATGCAGACTGATTTACATTTATTTCACTCGGTTATACTTCTCGAATCATATCTTCGAACCCTGCTCTAATCCATTACAGCTAATACCTCTACTACTAAGGGATTTGGATCGACCATTCCATCTCTGTGCTAATGTGGTATGGTCGCTTGCATTGGTGTACGTATGTACTAAGTTTTACGTTGTAGCTGATTGACTGGTGACTGTTTGCAATAACTTTATCCCCAAGGTTGTATGGATGTTATAAGTCATATTGTGATTGTTCTTTAGTATTTATGTGAGTTGAACTTGCTGTTGGAAAATAATTTTTGTTGATACCAGTAACTCTTTGTTTGGATTTTTACGCAAACTGTTTATCTTAAAAGTCACAGTAATAGAATTAGGTCAGATTATCATTGTGTTTGTGTCTTAGGCGTTATAACTGTTTCTCACTAATTATTCACATACATTCTATAGTATGATTCCTGTTTTCCGTTTTACCAATTACATTGTGATTAATACTTTAGACGGATTGCTTTGAAGGCTCTAAATGAACGCTTCATGAAAGCTGATGGTTCTTTAAGGACACCAAAAGAAATCGTTGAATGGCCAAGCTTGATCGATCCTGATGATACACAAAAGCCAGGTAAAAACATGCCAAATGAATCCAGTGTCATCATCGAGATGCCAACTATTTTGAATCCTCCAAGTACTGATACTTCAGAAACATCTGACTCATCTAATGTGTGAATGTTCATTTCAGATGATTTTCACACAACTTATTTAGGAGATCTTAAGTTTTGTACCATAGTGTTACTCTTTGCATTCGCTTTATTCATTCAATACCTTCTTATAACTTGATTTATTTTATTTTTTATGTTCTATTCGTTTCAGTGTAATGCAATGTATTTTGTTACTGACTTTAGCATCTTTTCTCTTGGATGATATATTTATGACTTTTGATTTAACACTCTGCTTTAGATACTTGATCAAGCCATACCGCATTAGGACAGAGACGCAATTGTCAGTTCAAACGCGGTATGGCAACCTGAACTGATGTATGTACGTACGTACGAAGTTCTACGTTGAACTGACTGACTGACTGACTTGACCAAGCCCACTAACGAGACAGCAGTAGCAGATAAAATCGCCAACGTAGGTGATGTAATATGAAATACAGTAACATTTCGATTTATTCAAAATGATTCAACTGCATTGCGAATCGATCCTGAATTGTTTCTGTGACAGTAGTAACTTACTCTTTTTGTTATTATGACCAGCCTATCATTTTTCTCTGTGGACAAGTGATATGTATTTATGCCACCCTCCTGGCGTGCTTCTTTATTACGGTCAAGTCTATATGATGGGCATTTGGTGAGCTTACCTGTTGTCAACTACTATAGCTTCACTGCCTAATTATTTGAATCACTCCACCTACAGTAACTTGAATCTGTTCCCACGCAATAAATTTACACGATATGTGTAGGGAGGTATAACGTTTTTAAGTGATGTGCTCGGATGATCATTGGACACTCCATAGAACTGCTGAGGATATATAACAATAACAGAGTCTTATTGATTTGTGATCTGATAGTCATCGGTTTGATCCTTGTATTAAAACTGAGATGTGATTGTTTTTTTTCAAAAGCACTACACTTCGTTTCATACGTTGAGCATATTCTCAGAAAGTTCGAGCAATGTTGGTGAATGAAACGCTGTATCAGTCCTCATCCTGAAGATTTCTAACTAAGAGGTTAGAAGGATAAAAAAATTTTCTTCCCAGACTATTAATTTGGAGAGTGATAAACCGCAAACTGGCTTTATCCACCTAATTTGACGATTCGCAGCTAACTTAGTGTTAGCTAAATTCTCACCGAAACATAACTAAACATCTCACACAAATTGTTATCATCTGGTTATATGGTGTGTGCGATTCTTATTGTCTTTTTGAACTTCTCTTCATTTTAAAAAATATGTCACATGATTTCTGAGAGGTTTCGACAAATGTTTATCTTCAAGCTGAATAAACTGATTTTGCTAGAAAGTCTGTTAAAATTTGTTTTCCGCGTAAACTAGAATATTCAGATTCTACCCAATTCTCCGTTTTTTGGCTCCTGTGTTAGCGTATTTCATCCTCAGAATTCACACGTAACAGGACCTAATTTTTATTATTTGTAAAAAAGTGGTTGAAACTCTTGATTTGTAACAGTAGTATAAGTTTTAAGATTACGAACCGTTAGACTAAGAAGTAAGTTTAGAGAATTCAAAACCTTCTGTTTCCTAAAAAAACCTTTAAAGTTTATTTGACTTTGTTATGTAAGGTAATGTAGAAGCAATATTATATTTATAACTTTTGTCTTAAAATAGTCCTAATTATCATGATTTGAGAATATCTCCAGTACTCATAAATCTGTTTTACAATACACTGATCAATTACTGACTAGATTTTCGAATACCACTTCACTTGTTCAAGCGACTCCGTGATTGGCATATTGGTCCACAAACATTCGTAGAATTGATTGAGAATTCAGACATAGGATTTAACTTCACGGGTTTTTTTCTTACTCCCGTGTAATGTAACAGTGCATCCATGCTTGATTTGACTTCATAAGATGAAAATGACACTGATTCTGTGTTAGCACTGTTTAGTTTGCAAGAAAAATTATTCAATCGGGATATATGATTACTTGATCCATATCTTTCGGACCCTTTAGCAAATGCAAAGGAAAAAAAAATAGAATTACAACAGTGGCTTTCTCAAGATAAAGTCATATGCCTCTATATCCTGGTACTGTTTTGAAGAAATTAAAACATTCAAAAGTTTCCAATATGAGGAAGTCTACTTTCTCAATATTTATGAACCTTCTTACCAGCTTGAACTCAACGGAATTATATAGGTGCATATCAATGAATGAATATATCTTAAGTTTATGCTCAGTCATTGACAAGCTCGTGTCTTTCGTTGTATGTTGATCAAACACTTCGCAAAAAACAAAGATTCCCCACTAATAGTTCAAAAATTTAAGCTACTCAGAATTACTACACAGTGCTTTCACTAAATGAAGGATATTACCTGAACAGTACTTTATTTTGTAATATAAGGTAGATCCGTACTGTTCTCCTGCCTACCGAATTTACCGGTGCTTACATTTTTCAGCTAGTCTAAAACTACTACGCAGATTAATCTGTTTTTGAATAAACGAAAGTAACAAAGGTGTGATTCGTCCGATCTTTGCATAAATTCTTGGCAGATGGTGCTTATCCCATGGTTAGACATATCAGATGATTCATTAAACAAATATTGTTTAATCCATGTGGAGCAGATTATACAACTTACTCATTAGTCTTGTGGTATCAGTGCTTCGGTTTCTCCTAATTCAATTCGTGAGGACCTTTAATCATGGTATGAAAATAATAATAAAGCTAAAGATTGTGTACTTAAACAACTGACTGGATTCAAATTACTCCATAAGTCGTTAAATCGTTCTAAATGTCATAAGTCTATATCAATTCCGAGTTAAGATTGCTCATAGTTAATGAACATTATGAATAGTAGAAGCTTTTGTTGATTCCTTATTGTTTTAGTTGAACTTCAAGCTCTAAATATTCTAATTCTTGAGATGTTTTAAGCTTTCTCCTTCAATTACAGCGACTTACACAACGAACATTTTTATTTCCAACCATGATTGGAAGCCGTCGAAATTTAATAAAGAAATAATCGTTGTTAACCATATTTACAACAGTATTGAGTATAAACAAGGAGAGTACGCTATGTGATTCTCATACTTTAAGCCTTTGTTCAGTATACTAAAGATTCAGTCTCATTCGCCTCTCATGTTATTATCGAATGCCACAGGATGAAATATTTGGGACGACTATGGGTTACTTGTTATAAGGAGATCGTATTTCTTTGTAGTTCCCCACTTTTATTTCTGACACCTACTAGATATCTTTGACTACCAAAACTGAATTGCTATAAAACCAGGTTTTAGCTAATGTGATTCATACGAGTAAATAGAAATAGGTTTTACACAACTTTATTGATAATAATGTGAAGTTACCTGTATTAAGTAATATTTGAGCTGCACGTCGATTTGCAAAATAATTACTTTCCATTCGGTCAACTAATTTAGTATGCAGTGTAGATTCGTTCTTACTGTCCCATTCTGAATTATTTATCGTATTATATTCGACATTTTCATTTGTGTTTTCGTATCGATTAGACGAAGTGTTTGAACTCGCTGAAGGCAATTGCACACGTTCAATGGTCATTTGTGGTAGAATCCATTCATTATTTTCTGCATCAAATCTTTTTTTTTTGATTAAACAAATGTTTGGTACAATTCAAGTTTAACTTTATAATACGTAAACATGGATAAATAGGTCGAAATCAAATGCGTTCAATTTGGACTGAGATTGATTGTATTTTTCAAATAGTTTGAAATCAAGGAGTACAGTTTACTTATGACTTGCTGAAGAAAGCCATGCTAGTTGGTTGTGCCCATTTTAATTTCATTGAAATTTAGGTTTACTATGAACATCCCTAAGCAAGCTACGGACAGTATGACCAAAGGCCTAGTGGAGTAATAAAATTCTGTATACATGTATATCGGTATAAACTAGCTTTTGAATAATGTAAGTGGGAGGTCATGAAATAAGTTATGGCCTTAAGTAAATGCAAATACTTGAATCATAATCGATAAAATCTTTTTACTTTAAGGCTGTCGTGAATTGGTGGTACTGACCACAGTGGTAGAAAAAATTCAAATTATTTATGCAAGTGTTATGTATTCCTAAAACGTGGTTAGGTCAGACAGAGAAACAATGGAAAACATTGTTGATTTTCTAAAAAAATGAATAGTCGTTTTCGGGTTACCACATATTCTTTCGTCATGAGGATTTGTCATTCCACGTGGGATATTTAGAACTCGACATATGACTCGCGTCTGCAACTTGTAACCTTTCAGATTTTATCAACTTAATGATTTCTCGACATGGTCGTACTACAACAAATGTCTTGAAGGTAATAAGCATACCATTCATAATATTCAACCAAAACTTGGCGGGTTAAATATTCTTTACCTATAAATATGTTCCTAAACTTTTTACCACAGCTAATGGTTTACGTGATATCTACTAGGTTTTTTATTCGGTATATGCATATTTTTTCGTTAGTGGCATCATTCTACAGTCGACGAACTATCTGGATCTAATTACTGCTCATCTGAAAGACAAGTCTCTCACCTGTTCAAAGAACGAAGTAAATTGATTATTACCAAAAAGTAGCATCCAGTTGGAGACCAACCTGTTAAGAGTGAGCTATCTTCTTGTGGAAATAAAGAGATTAGGAAGCGTAAACACTTAGCTTCTTACTCTTAAACGTCATGTCGATGCAAAGCTGCTGTTTAATACTGTCTTTAACTCGTGATCAATGGTCTCTTCCTTACAACTTGAGGTGTTACTTTTAAACACACTTCTTATTTATAAAAAGGTCTGCACACTTACATGGCCGTTCGTTTGATTTTATCAATGTTATGATAATTGCTATCCCTGCGTATGCATGGCTGAATCTTTTCCAAAATCATATTAAGTAAATTTATTTGCTGCTGCTGGCGCCTGATAGTTTCCAAATAATCACTTCGATCTCGCTCAAATTCTGACTGGACATCTTTAATCTCCGTTTGTAATGCATAAACCTGCACATAAACACACAGGAGGTATGATTTACGTCTTAGACGAAAAGATGTATATCTGTTTGCCTGATTAGTCACTAAAATGCTTAGTTTAAGTTATGCATGAACCAATAAAGTAATAACATTTACACAGTCAATAAATGATTGAACTTATTTTTGGAAAAATAAGCTCTATAATATGAAACTAACTGTTTAACGTTTAGTATATAGACGGGTCAAGTATTTACACTTAGATTAGGGAATATAGGTATACTTATTGACTTCCGATTATAACTATATTTCTTGACCCTAAAATGGCACTTAAATGCATTGAGTGAGCGGCTTTGTAGCATTGTTTTTCAGTAAGAGGTGTACATCAACTTTGTAAAGCCGCTACTCAAAAGCTACCAGTGTTTAGTTACTAGAATTGGTCACATCAAGTGTTCGTCAGGATTATCTCTTGATTCCGTTCTAATAATTTCGTCATTTATTCTAGAAATAGTTATTAATTATCACGGAGTGATCATCCTCCTGGAATATGCCGCCTGCCTGATCCGGATATGCGATATAAGCGCTATCAATTGTTGAAGAAGGTGAATGATTGGACTCAATTGATCAAGTTAATACAGATGTATTTTGCTCCTCTTCTTGAGTTCTAGTAGTATAGTATGCAGCTTGCGCTAACACACGTTCATTTTAAGCTGTGTGTTGAGTGTAATTAGCTAATATAACTTCTAATCTTAGCTTGAAAGGTCAGAATGTTGCGAATTTTCAAGCAAAGTCGACATTTTGGACCTAGTCTATATATACGTAATAATTGATAGAGCCAGCGGTCGCTGTGTTCCGCAAGCAATTAGATGCATTCATTTATAATCAAATAAACAGCTATAGGTCCTAAAAACGGGAGGTGATGAAAATAGTTAGGGAAGAAATTTTCATTATTACATCGTATTGTTAATTCAAAATGTAAACCATTATAAAATAGTTTTATGATCAATTGTAGAAAAAAAGTATTTATCACCTTTTGTTTTTCTGATTCTAGTGCTTTATTCTTGTCATGTAGTTCATCTTCTATTGTTTCATAAATATTTATCATTATGCCATCATCTTCTAGGTTTGCGTTGGCTTCCAATAATTGACGTTTTCGTTCTTCAGCATATCTTTTTCGCATAGATATTTTTTCATTGACTTCCTTATTTCCAGCTTGCTCACCACCGACAATATCTGCTTCCAATGATCTCAATCTGTTGAATTAATCAGATAAGTTTGTACAAAATAGTAACTCGCTATTTCAATATTTTTCTTCTGTTTTACATCTGATCATTCCCGTTAGACATAAACAGGGGTTACAATGTCAGTATAGTTTATTCTCTTAGGTGAAAAGCATATAATATTCCGCGAAATATTTCATACAAATGATTATAATATCATTCTGAATGATTAGTCAAATAGCAGTTTTAATTATGACCATTTAAACGAAAAGGAAACTGTAAAAAATCTTTTCAATGAATAGCACTCTATGATGAATTCATTTATTATTGATTTAATTTGACCAATCTATGAAGCTAGCAAGTGATTATTGAAAAACAAATCACGTAACATACAACCACCCTAAAAGGCAAGAGATTTTTGTGAACATAATTGTTTTGTTATTGGAAATGGTTTAAAATGGACAAGTTTCTTATGTAGGAATAAATAAAAACTAAGAGATTCGTTGTGATCGAAGAATTTCTGTAGGTGATGATGCAGCTGTAATGTTTATCTTCTGAAGCTAGTAAATATAAATAATGTCTTTTTTACCAGTTTGAAAAACGGTTGAAGTATGCAAGTAACTGAAAGCTATAAATAAATAAATTGAATTCATTTACATTTGTGAATAAACCTTTCAGATTTGATCAACATTCTGTACTCTGTACAAGGCATACAGTAACTGTATTTGACCCTTTTATTAATCGTTGTTCTTTCACAATGAGTTAGTTATTTTTGTGCTGGAAGCTAAGATAACGTATACTTAACATTTGCTTACCATGACGTGGATTGATTTTCAGTGCAGGAATAGGTTAAAAAGGCTAATTTTAGTCAAATCAAGATACGAAATCAGTTCATGAAGTCATTAGAAATTAGACTGGTCGAAATTAGGGTAATAAACACAACGAGTAGTTAGAGACCTTAGATAAAATATCTTAAAATCCCTATCAGATTCTCTAATCAATTTATATTCACATTTGCAACGTTCATTATTTGATTTCATTAGTTTGTTAAAGAATATTTTTTATGTTTCATCTCTTGCTATCATTGGGGCTACTGTTATGGCAGCTTCTTTGCTATAAATCTTATCAGTTCATTCTCTTATCAGTTGGTGATGATGTAACAACTTGATTTGATACAGACATATTCTAGGCCATCTTGTATTTATAGCTAACTGACTGACTGATTTCTTCATAAAGTAATTCGATTTTAGGATTTTTCTGGTAAATCTTTCTGATATTTTGAGGTAAGTGATTACATAAACATCCAAGTATCGACCATATTTCTAAACTCAGACTACAAACGTAAACCTACTGAAACATACTGACAAACTAGTTTTATGATTGATTCTTAGTGAAAAACAATACACAAAAGGAATGGAATGATTAAAATAGTTTTAATAACAAGAATTGAAAATATTGAATAATTAACCAGAAAAACTAAATGATAGTTATGAAGAACAAACCTTTTCAGTAGTTCATCTTCGGTTACTTCCTCACCATGTGTAGCAATATTATCGCCTTGTATTATATTGTGTTGTTGGATTTGATTGTTTGATGTCTTTAGTGACGTTTCTGTTTGGTTTGTATCTGTTACATAAGGTGCTGCATAAATTAGAACAAATAACAAGGTGATAGGATAACCTTTTTTGAAAAGACCATTATAGAATCATAAATATCATCTCGTATAACGTTTACATTGACTTAAGTAATATTATGTATATCGAAAGTGAATACTAAATTCAGTTTACAGAATAGTGGATTGCGGTACTTTTTAAACTAGTGCACAAAATAGACAACTCGAAAAAGATAAGATATAACAGATTGTTTAGAAGACACTAGCTTGTTTTTTATATATTAACTTCATATAGCTAAATGTTATTTAGAAAATAACTAATTAAATAGTTCAGAGGCGAGGATTCTTTTTTTTGGTGGGTGGGGGTATGTTAGAAACTTCATTCGGCTACAGTACTGAGGGACGATTTTGTTGATTCAATAATTTGGTTCAGTGAAATAATGGTAAAATGTGTACCAGTATATTTATAAGTTAAATATAAGTTGTTTAAAGCATACATTTATCACTCATATAATGTATGTAACTTTTACACAACCATTACATCGAGATTTCATATTTATCTTTAGGTAAGAGATATTTTTACACATTTAAATCATCAATCAATCATTGTTAGACCATCATTAGAAACCTGGAAGCACTGGAGGCCGTTTTGTCCTGATATAGGACTCATCAGCAGTGCGCATCCACGACTCCTGCACCTCGCAGGATTCGAACTCAGGACCTTCGGTATTGTGCGCGAACGTCTAACCATTGGACCACTGGGTCGGCATCCAACGGTTTTCATGTCTAACTGTGATTGATCTAGGGATTTTGCGCGACCTCACCCATTTGTCTTTGGTAGTTACTGCCTACACCCGACAGGGTTGAACACCACTGGTCACATCTCACTAGAACTTCGAGAATTTCCTCAAGAAGCTAGTCATTAGTGAGCACATTTTAGATGTTTTCAATTAGAGTTATGGAGATTAGTGTTTTTACACATTTAAATCATCAATGAATGGATGCCGGCCCAGTGGTCCAATGGTTAGACGTTCGCGCACAATACCGAAGGTCCTGGGTTCGAATCCTGTGAGGTGCAGGAGTAGTGGATGCGCACTGCTGATGAGGCCTATACCAGGACAAAACGGCCTCCAGTGCTTCCAGGTTTCTAATGATGGTCTAACAATGATTGATTGATGATTTAAATGTGTAAAAACACTAATCTCCATAACTGTAATTGAAAATAAGAGATATTTATTAACCAAAAGCCGCCTCAGCCTAAGCCTAACTACAACTATTTATTTGTGTTGTAAATGTATATTCTCATAGGTTTTGAATAAAATACTTATTGCTTCATAAAACTCATCAACTTCCATACACACAAAGCAAGGAATGCTCAAGCAAAGGGAAAATTAAAATGCAAATTGGTTTGAGAACATAAATGAATGATGATTGCTAAAGCAGACAAGATTGAATGTAAGGCTTTGTTATCTCATAAGATACTTAAATACGTATTTGAGACCGTCGTTGTGTAAATACATTTTACACCAACTGGATCGATCTAAATAATTTGTTTACTGTATGGTAAATATGACCCAAGTATAGAAAGTTGGCAGGCTAAGGTTATATTTTGCAAGATTATATATATATATATATATATATATATATATATAACATTCCTATTACCATAGCTACAAATTGTTAGGTCGTTGCCTAGTAATTTACAGTTGAAGCATTCGCTGAAAGACATTTGAAACAGTATGATTCCTCACGATATAAATAAAACGTGCTCTATTGATCTATTCATGATAATAAGTGACAAAACTTACTCACTTCAAAAAAATAAATAAATATAGAGCAACTATTAACAACTCTAGAAATATCATTGACGCAAAACTATTCGAATCGGTCATAATAATTTAAGATTACTGTGAATAGTCTCTTCTAAAATAGATAAGTAGCAATGAAACCTACTCTGATTCGTTAATGACGTCGGTGATGGCAAATCTTCATGAGTATTCAGTTGCATAGGTTTGGCCGCATATAATTCCTTGAAATGAGTTATATCTGTCAGTGTTTTAGCTTTATCAGATGCTTCAGTACTGAACTGCGGTTTCATGGCTTCTAGTTTTAGTTCATAATCCTGAATAACAATCAAAATTAAGATTATCGTGTAGATATTCATTTAATGAGTTTTATTGTAGGATAAAAAAAAGAAAAGTGTTATATATGGAAGAAGACTAAAGTAAATGTTAACTTAGACAACTAATTTGGGGGTTGTTGATGCATATAATCTAACTGTTAACTTTTTAATTAACTAAACTATCAGATACAACATATATTCCCCTGATCATAAGCTTTCTATCAACCCATAAATTATTATCGTCATATGATTGACTATTCCTACTGATTATCTACAAATTATTTACAGTCCCCCTACTCACAGCCAATTTTGGCTCACTAGTAGTGTATAGTTGTTAGTTTCCGTTTTTGTTTTGGTACAGTCTGGTTTTGGATGTATATAAAGAAATGTCTGAAATATGATGATAAAACCTTGGAATGGAGGTAAGTGGTCTTTGTTCTTCCTCTTCGGTTGGGTAGATTAGTATTAGGTCTTCCTTCAAGCATAGAATAGCTAGTCTCATCCTCGTTACATATTGGTTACTGAAACGTCATCTGTCTATTAGCTAGTGTAAAGGATACAACCGAAATAATAGGGGAGAATCTTCAAACTTAGTTATAAAAATGTCTAATTCACTCACACTAAATTATCGCATACGGATTTAGTGTTTTTGAAATAGTTTAAAAACTAACTTCTACTTGAAATGGGTATGTATGGTTGTTGATAATTATGTTTAGAACAATAATAAAGATTTGAAGTTAGATCAATCGGATCATGGAACATAGAAATACCAAGATAGAGTAGAAAATTTTGAAACAAAAGAAGGAATAGACTTGTAATTTTAAGATATTATCAGCCTATTGTGTTATTATAACAAAACATAAACTGAAAATTAATCATTATTCATAGGGGCATTAAGCTCTACATGAATCGCTGAAATTTTATATTATTTAATAAGGCACTTGGACTAATTCACAAAGTGCTTACTGTACACAAGCAGTAGAGGTATTCATTCACTAAAAAATTTTATATTAAAAAATTAGTTAGCTAGGCATACTTTTTTAAACTTTTCTTCTTCAGCTTCAGTATCCAGTTTCTCTATGTTTTCTTTTTCATTAGATTTCTCGAAATTCCTTTGAGACAATTGCATATTATTCAGTAATTCTTTAAGATGTTTTATTTCTTCTTGATACTGGCGTAACAATGCATCTTTAGGATCTTCATTAATTCTCGGCTTATTACATATATTTTTCGCTCGATTAGCATAGCGTAGAGTACTCAATGTTTCATCATAGTTATTGTCTGCTGGTGATAAGCATGCAATCATAAGAGTTTTTGTATTTCCTCCCAAAGAATCCTGTTTTTGCAGTTGTAAATTAGGAAACGAAAGTTTGATTGCCTGATGAAGATATCCTGGTAAAGTTTGTAATTATGTGATAAAATACGAAATACTATTGAGTGTAGTGATTTCATGAACACCAGTTATTTATTGTATGAGCGCCAGATTATTCAATGTAGACACGCTAACAAGTTGATTTATTTTTAAGGATATCTAACTGCCTGAAATCTAAAGGGTTGATATCGAATTTTTTTCAACACAAATAGAAGTGGTAGAGTTTAAGGATTATCTTAAATAAAAGTGAGCTGTTTGAGTAGCAGAACCTAAGTTGAATCCATTTTGGTGGCAAAAGATTATGAATCTACGCAATGTAAAAGGTTCGTTTGACTATTATTATTACGTTTTCAACATACACAGAGCATTTACAGAACTGAGAAAGACTAATATTTTCATTTCCTTGGAAGACGAATTTTAGTTAACACATGTTAATATAAGGTGTAAAACAGAAACTTTCAGTAAAGTAATATGGTTCATTAAATTTTTCTATCACTGATTCTGGTAAATATCAACAGGAAATTGTGTTTATGGTGTTTGATTTTTTTTTATTTAGTTGCATGGTTCAGACTTAGACTGTTCGCCGAAGCAGATTATTAATTCAATCGCTTCAGTTCCATTGAAAAAGAAACTAGTGAGTGAAGAGTAAATACATTACTCATTATTCCTCTAAGATTTTACTACTTGTGAAATATATACATGTGAACCGGTGGTTTCGACTTGAAATTTTAAATAGTTTTTATATGTAGTAAAGTACGCGAAGCAACTGATTCCAATAGCTTTTAAATGTGTAGCTTTTATGATACGGTTTCTTATAACATTCAATGAATAAATGACTTTTATGACTAAAAAGTCTATTATTTAGTGAAAATGCATTTCTTGGCATAGAAAACAATTTTAGGACACGTTCTGAAATAAATATAATTCTCATTGTTCAGGCTGCCTATTGTTATGCTTATGTTATATTAAGTTGGTAATAAAGTGAATATTTACATACTGTGTTATAAGTGAAACCAGAAGACAGTGAAGTCATTAGTTACCATAGTTTTAATGATTTAATATGTTACTCTACCTTCTAGAATCTAAAACTCTCATAGGTTTATAAATATGTCAGTTACTCAAAAGCAAGATGTGTATTTTAAACATAAATAAGGTACATCTATCGACTTAAGCGCTAAGATAATAAAATTCAGTATGTTCGCAATATTCTACCAAATATAAAAATGAATTTTTAATATTTCTCAAGCCAGGGTACGTCGCTTCTTTCGAGAATAAATCAATTCCATACACAAGTTAAAATACTAAAAGAAATACATGAACAAACAAGTTTAGGGCTTGTTATTATCATGTTCGTCAAGAGGGACCATATGTGATGTTGTTATTGTGGAGGTTCTCGATTATTTAAACGAATTTTTTTCAATTTTCAAAACCAATGAGTTGAAATCTAGTCGATAGATGGATGAACTCAACAGTATGGCGGCATGATGTCTGCTCTTGCGACCGCAATATTGACTTGAGCCGTCGTATGATTACAAGTCAAAAACAAAGCCAGTGACCAAAATAAACAGGCCCTACGTGATAAGATGACTTGTTTATTTATAAAATATGAACAAAGAATAAACGTAATACAATGTCACAGGTGATTCAATGAAATCGGCTTTTAGGTCACTCGTTCTTCAAACAGCATAAATCTAATAATTGCGCTTGGTTCTTGGAAATCATATCAATTGTATGCCAAAAGTGTATTCATGCATGTGAATGAATTAGAATGGATTCAAGACAAGTAATGTGACTGAATCATTCATTGTACGTGTGCATTTATTGCGTAGTTATTATCAATTTGGATGTTGGTTGTGAAAAGATGACTTAATTAAGTTGGTTGGCAAAGCTTTTGTTTCTTTTAAATTCAGTAAGATTCATTATATTTTAAAGTGCATTAACTACCCGTATTTATCTTTTTTTTTTAGTTGGTCAAGTCACTTTGGATGATTTGAAGTTGCCAACATTGATGTGATAGTTATTAAATATATATTTTCAGGTTTTACACTATTATTACGATGAGTTTTCTTGTCCTCTGATACAAGATATGATCTCAATAGACCAGTTCAATTTAAAATTAGATACAATCAACGTAACCTAATCTATGAATTTCATAGCTGTTTTGAAAACAAGTATCCTATATTTTTATTAAACCTAGACGTCTTTCAGTACGTTCTCTTTTTTTAATAAGTAGTGTTGATTTAGTTCTGTCTTACGTCCATGGAAATTCCTCAGGATTAAAACTTCTGCGCTCTTTAGTTCTTATTATAAAATGAAAACAATATTTATCAAACCAAGAAAAAAATTAAACAAGAAATATTACAACGAAAAAGTTCTTGAAAATATTCTGACTGGATTGTAAGACAAGATTTAATGTAAATGTTCCAAATAATTAAGTATTGTGTAAACAGAGAGGTGTGGTGAATAGTAAATAATACATTTACTGTACAATTCAATACTTTATGTTGTGGGATTATAAGTATTTCGTTAGATTATTTCAAATCTATATCAAGCAAATCCAAAAAAAACCATAACTAATAAAAGACTAACCTGTAGCAATCGTGTCAACTTGCTATCACGATAAGGGATATGTTTAACTTTAGAATCAACCAATGCTGAAATGACATTACCCAACGCTGATAAGCTAAGGTTAATTTTTGTTGCTTCTTTAAACCGATCACCAGTTGTGCCAGTTTTTGTTTGTCTTTCGGAACCCGCCAAATCAACTAAATTTAATTTACCAGCTCGTATATGATTGTAATCAAGTAGATTGTCATTACGATCAATCATTTCTAGGTAAATAGTGAAAATCGAATGTGATCGACTACTGTCAGAGTTCATTAATGTTGCTCCAGTTGAACGATTTTTCCATCCAAGTTCCATTATATTCTGAAATGAAATATAATTTGGATGAATCAAATCTCTATTATTTTTAAGCAGTTTAGTTTTTGGTCTGTGTACTACTTTTTAGAAAGAATAGGTAAAATAACAAAATTTGGAAATTTAGGATTTAGAGAACAACAGTTTAATGTTGAAGTTTATATTAATGTGAGTGAAAAAGTTCTAAGTAGACTGTAGCTTAGATTTGTACTCAAGATCTACTATGCGTTGATAGTTAAAATGATGAGTCTTTTAGGATAGCTGGAGAGTGGAAAATTTAGTGGCAAAATGAACTTTGAGAAATACGAATTTTGTGTAAAATAGATCCACGTTTTCAAGAATTTTTAATAAAAACATTTCAGTAACGACTAAGAATTTAATTTCATTTGAGTTAATACATTTATATATGATTCTAATAGTTAGACAGTGGAAAAGTTCAATGGAACGGAAAAGTGAATAGTTATTCAGTGATTTCTTCAAATGTAAGTATATTCAAGTAGTTCAGTCATAATATTTTTTGTCTTCAACTTTTGATCAAATAATTAATTCATTTGTATTGGTTAATTTGACCACCTTATCAATGTCTTGGACTGTAATTGTTCAGTCTCTTTTGGCGTATGTGCATCCTATAAAGATTATATGGCGGAAATCTTGTCCAATCTAGACGACCTTAAGTCACTGATTAGTCGAAATTTGAATGCTACCACCGTATAAGAATTCTAAATCAGCGTATCTGAAACTACGTATACCATTCAAACTGGTCTTCTTCAGCGCTCATACAATAATGTAAGTCGAACAACAGGAAAGACATGGCTTTCTGTTGTTTATCCGAGACCTGTACTCAAAACGAATGACATACAAAATATTCGTTCTCCACCTATCACTTCGAAATGCTTGTTTCATGTGCGTTTATCCAGGAACTCTGTAGCATCTTCGTCTGGTCTTACTGGTATCCGTGTCGCACTCGGCGGTAAGGATGAGGCAGCAGTAATCGACTGGATATCCAACAGTCAACTATGTGCTGTTATATCAGAAAGGTCTGTCAAACTGAGAAGAAATTGGGGTGAGAAAAAAATGCTTTTTCGTTATTTCCTCCCTCGCTCCTACAAACTGCAGTTTGGATGCATTCAGGGATGAGTCCTATCATCGGTTAGGCATAGTGATCGCCTATATGCTACCTGGCATTTTTCTTCCTGCACCTCAAGCCTGGATTCAGATTGATCACATCGTGACCAGCTACCACCGGCGTGGTTTTGTATAAAATAACCGCTTATTTTTTTGGTTGTTAATATGAACTCTGATCGTGTCCTTCTTTGCGCTAGTCTTATCTTGAGTTTCAGTAGCCAAACAATTAATTGTCCTAGATGGATTGATGCTAATAAGTTGTCTGTACCTTATGTTGCAACTAAATATCAAGCTCAAAAGGCTTGCTATCAACCCACTTAAAAGTATAAATTGGCACTGACTGCAATAGGAGGATGACATAAAAACGGCGAGTCTAGTCGCTTACAACCACGCACTGGGTTTCCACAGGTTTCTTACAACTCGTTGGGTCACGTTGGTCTACCGCGGGTTATCGCGAGTTTGACGACTGACGAAGACTGTTATACAGTCAAATAGTGCAGTGTGTGAGGAACGGGAAACCTAGTGTTCGGAGCGTGCTAATGAGTTGAGATCAGTAACTGTTGAGATCCCTTTCAACCCATCGGAGCCACTGGTAGCATGAAGTCTGGTGTTAGTGGAACAATCTGTGAAGCTGATGAGAGACCAATCAGTAACATCCACCGACGTCTTGGACGATGGCAAGCATTTTTGAAGAACAGTTCAGCTGCCCTGGTGACATCGATCAGATTGACGTGTTCTCTACGGTCCGTGACGACTGATCTACCTAAGGAGACGAAAGGCCTAGAAAACCCACTTCCGGTCCTTTGTAACGATAGTGGCAGCCTCCTAACTATGAAAATGTTCTAGTTGTTTACAACCGTACGGCAATTAGTATGTCCACTTTACATCTAAGTGCAGAATACTTTCACCGAATGGGCAATACCGTCAACCCTGCATTCATTCCTGGTAGTGAGCAGATAGAAGTAGTCAAAAAGTTCTTGTATGTTGGTAGCTGTGTAAGAGCTGGTGGTGGCGTGAAAGATGGGATTAGCTCACGTATAGTGAAAGGCAGAGTGACTTATGCCAATCTAGAACATCTTTGGAGCCTTCATGATGTGAGTCTGGCTACAAAATTCCGAGTCTACAATGCATCGGTGAGATCATTTTTGCTCTATGCTTGTGAAACCTGGTCTCTTCGAGTGGAAGATATTAGGAAACTTTCTGAGTTCGGTCACCGTTGTCTCCGAAGGATTGCTGACGTTTAGTTATAACATCATATTAGTAATGTCAAGGTTTCACGATGTGTGTGGGGGAACGGCGACGATAATTCAATTAGTGTTAGCATCTTGAAATACGAACTTTGTTGGCTTGGATATGTACTACGAATAATATCGTTCCGGTGAATTCCACGTCATGCATTATTTTTGAACGCTGAGACTAGGTGGAAAAAGCGGAGTGACGGCCATTGTATGAGATGATGTCGTGGTATGAGGAAAAGCTATACAAAGTTGATATCGGTTGGCCCTCCACGATTTCCTGGATGGGGTTCTAAAGAAGGCGTAACTCAATGTCTTGAGGTATTATCGGACATGGCTCAGAATAGAATGCAGTGATGGTCCTGCTGTAACTTCATTTCATTCTCTTCACTTAAGTGATAGACACTTTAACTGAAACGATTCTTTTTACTTGTATTTTCATTAACTGAATTGTTTCTTCCACTACTATTACGAATATTCCACTATCATACACTGATTTCTCTTCGTTTTTATGTACTCAACATTCTTTCGTTATCCCTTCATGATCTCATTTTCATTGTGTGGTGTATGTATATTTTGTTGTCTTCTTGTTTCAATCTTTATGTGTTTTAAATCAATAAATAAAATAATACTATGCATACTTAAATTTGTATTTCACTAACAAATAACCGCTTGTTTTGATAGTTTTAAAATGGTACTGTACAACCAGATGAGAATTCATAGAGAAGACTAGTTTGTTGTTTTTTAAGTGTTCGATAAATTTGCAGAGTCATTAAACTTTTAACAGGAAGTTGTTACCTGACATTCTGAAACTGAAGTTATTTTGTGCATTGATAAACCGGCAACGTAAACCCCCTTATCCGGATTCTCCTTTAGCTCTAATTTAGCTTTACAATCACGTCCCAAGAGGTCACGAACTTCTTCATTATAAATTTCCAGAAATGATGCATGGACTAAATATTTTGTCTTTTCGCTAACAGACATAATTTCAAATATTTGATCAAATGCACTAAGGTTTCAAAAAAAATAGAAGTCATAAATTATTGAAAAATGTTAGCACGGTATCATCGAAATTCGATCGTAAAAATAAGGTTGTCTTATAGTTGATAGTATCCCTGGATGAAAATTATGGTGTTATCACAATTTGAATGCACTTTATTTGAAATTACCTGATGTGACCTATACCAATAGAACTTGACCTTTACTTCCATAGGTTTTATCGTTCGCTAATTCAAATAACATTGATTTTTTTTTAGATATGAAAATTCGTCTTCACTAGCACCACCTTGTTAAATATCGTGATAGTTAGATGCAGCTAACTAAGGAATGTAAACTTGAAAGTCCGGTGGTGATTAAATTTATGAGTCATGAATTAATGATAGATCCTTTTCATACCAAGAGTAGCGTTCATAAAATATTGTTCGATTTTATCAGTGATAGTTTTATTCCCATGAGAATAAAATTAGAAGCTAAATTTGAATAACCTAAAGGCCGTGGTTTTTTTTCTAGTTATTCAGTAAAATAAGCATAAAAACTGAGAGTTTAGAGCTGATCAATCTCAGAATGTCAACTAGCTTTCATAGTTTGGAATAAAAAGTTGTTTTATAAGCTATTTAACAGAAAACGTTTAAATATTTGTTTTTGGGGGAGAGTTTACATCAAAAATTTGAAATTCAATGTCACAACAGGAATCAATGAATGTCTAGTAAAAACTAGTGGAGTTGATAAGCATGTTTTATGTACTAGGTTCTAATCAAGTAGTTAAAATAATAATTAACTAGTCCGTTCTTTTATAAACTTGTTTCGTCAGTATATTTTTAGAAAATGAACAAGTTAGGGGTTGGTTTTGAATTAGTTGCTCCAGGAATCGATTAAATGTGTGTATTGTTTGTATTTAGGTGTGACTTTGAGCTCTTAAGATAATACGAGTCACCTTGAACTTTCACCGAGCCAAAATAATCATCATGATATTATTATATTATTTGTTCAGCAAACACTTTGCATTCAGCACAACCCAACTGTTGATCAGAGACGAAAGTAGCTTTAGAAAAACGTCATGATTATTTGGGACAATGCAGTAAAGTAATATTTTTCAAAGAGAAAGTCTCAGACGGCTTGCAACCTGTTCTTTTATCTGCTTTTCTAGGAAAGAAAACTGAATCAAGATTCCGCCTTGGATATCCTACCAATTGAACTTTTGAAAGTGATTTGTAGACACATATTAAGGGGCTATCGTCTTAATTGCAATTATTTCGAGAGCACCTTTAAAAACTATTTAAGTCCTCTAAATCGTCACATTAAAAACATCTCTTGATGAGTGTTATTATAGTTGAATGCTTAAGATATATTATAGCACTTGATATTCTTAACTTATGATATAGATCATGCTACAGCTTTACATAAATTTCAATCGAACTTGATAGAACATTTAATTAGTTTTCACACTCGAACAAATAGTATTTACAATAAACGTTATTTCTGGAAGCCATTCGTGTGCAAAGCGTACAATATGCAAGTTATACCATCTAAAGGACACTGACATTTGGTTTTATTGGATGATAGATGGTTAGGATAATAACTAATAAAATGATCACTTAAGAGATTACATGCAAATTAAAAAAAAAAATCAAAAACTTGCATTCGGTACTGAAAAACAAAACTTTTATATTCACAAGATTAATTTTCGAAGACAAGACATGTTTTGGATTAACGTTAGTTGAAACACTTTCTGTAGGTAAGTAACTACAATAAGCTCATAAAGTATTCTGTAGTAACCGAGTTATGTGATAGATGAGTTTACTCTTTACTCAAGAGATAATAATGGTTAGTTACTGTTTAAACATTCGTATTTTCGAAAAATAGATTTCTCGTTTTGAATGATTACCAATGTACAACCTCACGCCCTGAATCTGTTTCCTTCGAAAATTAGTTTGAATTCGGGGAGGTTAATCGTCACATTCTCATAAAATAGTTGTTTATCAGAAGTTCAAAATTTCTGCACATAACGTTGAAATATAATAACTAATTCATTGATTCATAATCCACGGTTCTTAAGCATACATGAAGTTTATGAGCTACAGTTTTACAGATACATTTCTCTTATTTCAGTAAATGTTCTTTTAGTTTAATGAGTATTTCGCTTCAAATAAATTAGCGGTTGTAACATGAAAATATGTTTAAATTAACTCTTCTTTAGGTATTTAATTTTAGTTACCGTGGTATTATTCCTTTTTGGGATGAAGGTTCCGTTACTCCATGCATAGTGTAAGATTTTCCACATCCAGTTTGTCCATAAGCGAATATTGTACCATTGTAGCCCTCAGTAACTGCTTCTACAAGAGAATAACATGCATCGTTGTATATTTGTTCGGTAGTTGAATTTTGATCATATGATCCATCAAAGAAAAATATTTTTGGTGGACGTTTCTTGTCATTTGGGCTTATAATAGAACATTGACCAGTATCGCTGAATATTTCGAGAACATTATCACATTTGAGCAAATTTTCACGTTCGTTTAGTGGCCGTACTCGTACAATGACTTTCACGGCTTCTGAACCCATTATTACAAAAAAGTACACTAATGAAAAACATATACAGATTGTGATGTTGTTATTGTACCATCCAGAGGTTAGTAGGTTTATGCCTAGTTTGTGGACACATTGTTTGTTGAGGGAATTACCAAAATCTAGAAGAAAATAGCAAAAAAGAGTGATGAGTTGGCTTAATCAGCATATAATGTACCTGTAACAACCAAAATAATGGGCAGTTATACGGGTGTGAAGTTCTATAACAAAAACCAGTTCTTCATAGAAGTTATTAGAATTAGTTTTCGAACACGATACACCTGTAGCGGTTCGCGTCTAGTTAGAAGGTACCTTGTGTAGTAGGGAGGCATGCACAGTAGTGGGAGTGGAGAGAATTGTGAAAGAAAAGGATAAAAGAATAGGTGAACCAACGAGTCAGTTAGCATGGGCTCTTTTAATCTGACGTGATCTTTCTGACCTTTCATCACTAACTGTAAACAATCCAATAACCGCTATCAGATTGGGGAGTTTAAACATTTCCGAGGATAAAAACATCATCTCTCATTGACAGACAGTTAAAATAACAAATCAGACAGGTAATCTCGACCAACTAAAATCTTTCCACTGGTAAACCCGATTCACCAAACAAAATATCAACAATTAGTCCCTTTTATAAATTTTGATAGAACAGTGAGAAGAGGTAATTGATCTGGAAAAAAATATCAACAACCGTAGCTCTAACCAGTAGGTGGGCAAAAGCAACGCCATACCTCAAAAAACACTACAATTCTGGGACAGGAAAGTTATACGAAATTCACTCATTTTATTTACGTTTCAGCTTACTGGAAAGTAGGGCTGTCTCTGATAAAGAACAATGGGATATATGTGGTGTGTGCTACTTACACGAACGATATAAGTAGTATAAGAAGGCACGTGAAAGAAGTCTCACGGTCAGAAGAGGAAAACGGAGAGCAAATGGAGCAAAAGCAAGAAGTGGAGTACCAACAGGAAGGAAAGAAATCAACAACAGGAATGGAAGAAGGATGGAGCGTTGGAAGTCACGACTCAAAGATGGTGTGCAAATAGTGTTTAATGTAAAGTTTTCGTTTTTAATTGACTCAGAGTGTAAATTTGCATAATACACTTTTCCGCGCCTGCCTCAGTCTTCTCATATATACTACACAGTGCTTGAAATGTGCAGTACCCAGATACAACTATCTTGTTCGTTTAGGGGTCTGAATGTAGTTTAAGGTAAACCCGCTGCATTGAGATCAACTTTAGACTCGGTACTGGTTGATGAAATAAATCCTTCTAACATATCAGATATCGGTTAAACTGTCCTCCCTAATCAGAGTCAGGCACGACAAATTATGGCTAGTACGAGTATGTGCTCGAATATCAATAGATACCCAAGAACAAACAGTTATGGTTCAAAGAGTGTCTGATCTAGTTGGTGGTGGCTTGTATGAAGCTAATGCACATGGTGTGCAACAATGGCGGTCGCCATAGCATAGCAAAGGCCTCCACATTATCATGGCGATTGGCGTTTCAAGCCACCTCATACTTTATATCTCAAGCCTATTGACTCTCTGAGAATCCGGGAAGATCTAAATGAGGCGATTTAGGCTTGGTACAGCATGAAGAAAGATCTCTCTAGTCACGCTAGATGTTAGAAGAGCCGATCTAGAGCAGCGAGCAAATAACAAAAACAATCAGATGAGTCACTCATTATTGTCGGTTGATGCCGATTGACAATCAACGGTTCAAGACTCACTGATTAAATGCACTAATCACAGAACTGGCCAAACCGGTGTGATCAACCTGTTTCAAAACCCGAGGGTGAATGTCGTTACAGATGGGCTAAGGGTATGAGAAAAACCATCAAGTGCCCATATAGCAACATTAGACGACAGTAGGGTAAGCTGGAAGAGATCAGGAATATGTGCTTTCAGATGGATCCGAGGATGATAATGCTAACTGAAAATGGGCTATTCCCCGAAATTGCAGACGACGAAGTAAGCATGTAAGGTAGAATACCTTCGATACAATAGGGTACAGAAAACAGGAGGTAGAGAAGTGATATTTCAAAGCAGTAACACCACACAGTACCCAAATCACCGATGTGACAAATCATTCTTGTGTTGTTTCAACTTGAATGACACAAAATACTTGATTGAAAGGATTTGCCGGCCCCACTTAGGTAATGAAGTCCAGAAAGATAAGTTGATTGATGCGATATTGCAACAATTACTCCTGAGATTCGACCAAACACTCCTAGCTGGAGATTTCATCACTTCGTCTCTAAGTCTTAGCAAGCAGGGTACAATTACCCTAAGTTGGTTCCAAAAGCTAACTGTCGTAGACAATAGAAGTTCTTGACTGACTGAGCATGTATGTGATGCAGAGGGATGAACTAAGGATGGAAAACCCTTAAAATTAGGTTATTTGTCAACAAACGGTCAGCTCCTAGTCTAGGAAGTCCTTGTGCACACACTAATAGGAAGTAATGATCATGGAGCAGCCATCTTTAACAGGTCACAAACGAACTAAGCAACGGGGACCAAAAATTCGTCCTACCGTTGCTACACTACGGCAAACCGCATGACCATGAGACAGCATCTTTTGCACATCCAATGGCCGCAGAAATAGTAGAGATTAGTTCAAAATTCTGTCCTGTACTATGTACTTCAGAAAAATCACATGCCTACAGAAAGGGGATCATGGGTCAAGCGAGGCACTGAGCGTTTGCCACAGGAAAAATAGAGCCTGGGGAAAATAGACTCTTTCTGTAGGTCTCTGATCATACTTTTCATTCGACACTAAGAAATAGATGCAATATCAAAGTTTAAAGCAATAGGAGACACTTCCCGGAGAAGCTGGCAGCCAAACTGAAGACAAACTTAGAAATATCTGTTTAGGTTCATGACTAAAATAAAAATTACAAACCAAGGTGCTCAAACTCTCAAAGTCACGTACGAGAATGATCTTACGAACTTATAGATGAATGAGATTTTTAATGTAAGGCTCAATGACTAGTTGAACAAGTTACTTATGAGCCCAGAGCAATAATCAACTTCATGGCTTTGGGAATATCCGACTTACTCAAAATTTAGTGCTGAGAAAACTGATACCCCTGTGCATATGTTAGTCATTAGAATGTGACTGTACCCGTATGAAAGCCCTTAGTTCACTGATATGTGACCTGTTCAGGCATTTACTATAGTCAAACCAACTTCCAGATAAATGGAAACAAGCTGTCTCCAGTCTTCAAAGTAGGAGATAAGAAAGGTGAAGCCTGCTACAGAGTAGTCGCATTTTTACCACTGTCATCAAATGTGACCTCATTTGACCGAAAAATACTGTTTCATATAGTATCCCTGTCTTCGCAGAAGCCTTCCAATAGTGAAGGATTAGAAAACTGGTTTTACTGATACAATTCTATCTTGGCTTATAAACTGTCTCGCAACAGTAGAGAGATAGGCAGTATACAACTGTTTTAAACTAATTTCATTCCATTCATTGAAACATTTCATGTCATGAACATTCTGCCTCATGCGACACAGACAACTTACGTCCTTCAGAGAGGTCCACTTCCACTCCTTAGGGAATGATCTTGTTCTAATAACCACAGAAAGCCTCGACACCAGCTCCAACTACATGAGGATGCAATCTAGGCTAACTCAACTCTTCAATTCATATGAAGACAACGTGTTGCAATCACCCCAGATTTATTCCTAATATTCTTTAAGGTATGCGCACGCACATACCTTGAGGTTTACAACGTTGTCGATCGAGACTTGCTAGTTGTTATTATCGCCATTTACTCAGATTACTAACTTATTCTATCCCGCTTACTATCTTTCATTCTTCTTCTTTACTGACACTTCAGTTCTCTTACACAATCTTCATTAACAATTAACTCACTTATTTATTTACTTCTAAAGTCTTCCCCCGATTAGCCTTAGGGTTTCCTCCTTGAAGCTATCAACGTCACAACCAACGTATCTCCGGCCTGGTAACGTGGCAGCTATTGGAATTCAAAAGCTCTATTGCCCTGAAACAAATATACTCAATCAAGTCATTGAACATACAAATTCATAGACCTGCTAACTGTCTAGAACTGGTAAGTTAGAGTGGCCAAGCTGCTATCTGTTAGACTACCAAATATTTAAAGGAGTAATGTAAAGACAAGAAGCAAGCGCAAAGAAATTATTTGGCCTAAACTAGCTCGTGATAAATATATTAGAGATAGTGAATAGGCGAAAAAATGCACTTACATCTAATAATGGTAGTAGAAAACGGAAATCGGGGATCGCACAAGTTTTTGTCTTAGAGAGTCTGGAAGACGAAATTATGAGCGTATAATGTAAATATCTTAAGAGGTTACACTGTAGTTTTTGAAATGTATCTTAAGGTCACTGGGCAGCTTGTTACTATAGAGCAACTAATAAAAACGAATTATGTGAGGTGTTTATAGATGGAGTGTAAGAAGAAAATGCAAGTGCTAATAGGAAGAGGATTTCATAACTAGGTAAATAAATAGATAATTTGATTTGTTAGTTGGTAGTGAAGATTGTGAGAGAGGACTGAAGTGTAAGCCAGGGGGTGGAAACAGAGATAATAGGTGAGATAGATTAAGTTAGTGATCTGAGGAGATGAGCAATATAACAACTAGCAGGTCTCATTACATGCATCAGGCACAGCTTGTTCACGAATGAGATGATAATCCGTATGTGAGTACGTGTTTATCAAGTCTGTTCTTAAAGCTGTCCATCAGGCTCTATGTGGTTTTTAGACCAAGACCACTCTCTGAGAAGTGGAAGTGGATTTCTCTGAAGAACGCAAGTTGTCTACGTCGCGCGGGATAGATTGTTCATAACATAAATTTTTTACTGGTTTAGTTTCAACCTGTTTTTGATTGCCCTTATTAATGTAAACTTGATAGATTTTCAGCCAACACTTCCGACGTTATTCTAGGGTTCCAGTTCTGTAGTAGTCTGTATTCTAAGAAACCTTTATCTGGGTTAATCGACAACCTATCCCTCAACCTTGACAGTATCTATATGACCGCCTTCTTAGAACGTCTATAACTTTCAAAGAAATGGGAGTGAGTTTAGGCATCCTTTCGACTTCTATGGGTAGTTTCGTTTGAACGGGAAAACGTGACGCTAGAACCCTATCATGTTGCCTACATTATTAGAGTTAGTGTTTTTGGCTGACGAACTCCTTTCAGAAGACAAGTAATGTAACTTACATTTAACCTTTTGATCCCTACGGATTGTACGGCTATCCTACAGAGAAGTTTTGAGAGATTTAGATGGGAACTCTATGAAGTTTCTAAACTTATTTTTTGAAATCTTGAACTGATTGTATAAGGTCGTTTGTTTTTCCGACTCCTTTAATTACCGTGGTAGGCTTGTCTTCGTCTATTCGGTTTCCTTTTTGTACAGATTATGTTACCTGTAAGGGCACACGTAATTAGCTGACTGAAAATAAACTGTTCCCTGGGTGACACAATGTCAAAGATGACCGGACTTCTATGATAAATTTTTTTATATATTGCACACAGTCTACTGAAAAAACCGTAATATGCACCGGGAACACCGAAATTTTGTGACTAGACACAAAAACTAATCAATTAAATAAATGAGAATCCAGAGATATGATGTTATTTCAGAGGCGATCTGGTCAGATTCGCCATGATCACCACTAAATATAAATTACGAGCCTGTCTCTGAGACGAAGAGTTTTTCCAGAGTGAAGAATATACTTGCTGGGGATTTCGTGAGGAAATCATGCTATAGAAGATGGGTGAAATTACAGAGATAGTGGAGCCAAAATGGCAGCAACACAAACAGGAAGTTTGGGCGTACATAATGTTATAAACGAAGGGGTTCAGCAAAACAATCACTGGCTTACACAGTTTCTTATCACATATACGAAATTATTACCAGAGTTACTGAAATGAATTGGAATTTTATATTCGTTTTATCACCATATAGGTGGCCTTTACAGATTGATTTATTTTTTTGTGCTTTGAATCGAAACTTTCAACACATCATACTAAACTCTTATTTTACCATCCAATTTTACTAAATTATTGATTTCACTTAAAATTAATATAACATAGATATGATATCGTGTTTTTTCCCTTCTACCTGTACGCAAAAGAAATAATTTGCACATATTTCAGTTTGATTTCTTATCCAGATCTGGTTAATTTAATGTGATCAATATTCTCTCAAATATTATAGAACCTGTCAAAATATTATGAACGTTAATGTTACTCAAAATTATATGTGCATCTACATTCTGATGAAACCTGAAATATATACTTCAAAACACTTGTTTGTTAACAACGGTAGTGACATGGTTAGATCAACTTTAATTTTGCTGGATTTATTTTAGCAGTTGAAAGCAACACCGTTTTAATCAGAATATAAGACACACGGGCCCTAGATTATTCACAGATTATATGCTAACAAAATGATCCAATCCCCCCGTGATTTGACACGTAGATAGTGCATAAAATTATAGAATAATAGTCATATATAGCTGAGTACTATGTTTAACTTAAACCAGTTGACCATAGAAGGCTTTTATCAAGGAGTTTTGTCTTTTCTCGACATCTGCTGGGTCATAAATATCATATCATAAATATCTTCGTGAAAGTATAGAACTACAAGATCAAATGTCAGTTCTTTCTTCATCCATGTAAACATAAGAGGTCGTCGACATCCACAATTATTCATTGCAAGCTGTGACTGTCTATAGCTACCTTTATAAAATAGCATCCTCAGATTTATTGATCGTGTTCTACTTGGAATCGATACAAATCCACTTCGGGCACTTTCGATAGATTTGTATTTGCTCTTGTATTGAAAACCATACACTTGTCAAACTCCTGTCAGCTCTTAAAAAGTAATGCACTGTTTCATTTTGACGCAGTACACTGAGCACATCAGACCGAGTGGGACAGGCAAACTTATCATAATTATTATTTTCTTACGGGTCGAAAACATTTCTAAGGCATTTTGGAGTTCAGTCAGCGTTAAAAACACTTGACCTGGGATACTGGCGCACTGCTGTTATCGGGTAATATAAAGCGAAACTGGTTCGAGAAAAAAAGCGCAAATATCAAATTCATCTACTATTAACCATAGGTCAGCGATCACATATTAGTACAAAAAAGGTTTATTTACAGGAAAGATAGATAAAAATATAGGGCAAACATGGCGTGACGTCATTCTATGTCTTCTAAAACATATAGAATACATACTATTAAGGAAGTCTACGAACACTGTGAGGCAATTCATTTAAGGAGAGACGAGCCCCAGGTTGCCGAAGTGAAAAAGAGTCAGTTTCGATTTCAAACGGACTGTTATTCTGTGTCATAGTATTTCTTATGCTTCTACAATGGTTGCCCAATATTGGCATCCACCAATCCTACGGCAACGGAGAGTTTTGTAGAAATACAATTTTGTAATTTACGTAACTGAAGCTAAAAATTTTGGGATTTTCTTGTCCCGCTGTAGTATATCCAATATCTTTTTCACGAGCTAGTGTAAACCAATTCGATTTCTTCGGGCTCGATTCTTGTTCTTTCGGTACGGTTCCAGGCGTTAGGTAATGTCCAATGGATGGAGGTCTAGCCACTCGACTGTCTAATTCTAGTCAGTTGGAAGTTGGTTGTGAGTTTTGTATGTCTCTGGATTTGAATGAAACGTTTGTTTCAGGGCAGTAGGGTTTCTGGATACTAGCAGCCGTCACATTACCAAACCGGAGATCAGTTAGTTGCAATGTGGAGAGTAATAAGGGTAGTAAGGATAAATTAAAATGATAATATGAGTAAAATTTCAGAACTGAGTAATATATAGATGAATTTAGTTTATTAATTGGTAGTGAAGATTGTGAGAGAGGACCGAAGTGTAAGCAAGGGAGAGGAATAGGCAAGATAGATTAATTGAGTGATCTGAGGAGATGGCAATGGTAACAACGAGCAGGTCTCAAGATATGCATCAGGCACAGCTTGTCCAAGAGGGAGATGATAGTCCGAATGTGAGTACAGGGTTATCAAGTCTCTTCTTAAAGCAGTCCACTGAGGGGGCTGTGGTTACCTCGGCTGGGAGAGCATTCCAAGTTGCGACGACTCGCAATGAGAAAAAGTGTGCACGAATCTGAGTATTCGCTCTTTGATGTGCAATCTTTCGAGGATTGCCTCGAGGGGAGTGGTGGTGATGCATCGGTAAGATGCTCACATTGGGATAGTTTGGCGTGTTTAATGTGGTGTACGCCTGATAAGTTCGTCACTTAGTATGCTTGAGGCTGTTACGAGTTTACCTTAGTCGATAAACGCGAACGAGACAATAAACCAGCCTCCAGGTAGGCTACCTTGAATCCGAGGCTGAAGTAAAAAGGCTTTGTAAGCGTAGAAAGTATATTCTACAAACACCCAGTAATCACCGTACAATCAAGCATACAACTCTCGTTCATTTATACAACAAAGAAACGTCCTTCAGACAGTTAAGAAAATAGCACACTAAAATACACAGCAGCCAATCACAGCCATGGATTTTCCTGGTGGGCAATGAAATCTCAAGGTTAACAGATCAGCCCATGCTGGCAAATGTGAAAACCGAAACAAGGCATTCTCAAGCGAATTTTTGGGGATCTAACATCCCCAACAACGCCATAATCAGATCACCTCTGATTCTGCTGTAGCTCAGTGGAAATAATCCCAAGAGCTGGAGTCTATCGTCGTAGGGTTTATTTTTCAATCCTATCACTCATTTGGTTGCTCGTCTCTGCACTCGATCCAAGCGATTTATGTCTTTTTTAAGCAGAGGGGGTGCGATGACGTTGTAAACCTCCAAGTGTGGGCGCGAGTACGTCTGAAACAGGGTTAAAAATAATTTCGGTGTGATAGAACCAAGCTGTTTTCGCGTAAAGTGAAGAGTCGCATTTGCCTTGGCTGCATCCCCTACATAGTTTGGACTCGTGTGGAGGCTTTCTGTGGTTATTAAACCAAGATCGCTCTCTGAGGAGACATTAGGGAGCGGACTTCCATTGAGAGTATAGGTCGTTTTCGTCATATGAGGCAGGAAATGCATGACGTGGCACTTCGGTTGGTTGAGTTTTAAACCGTTTTTCACTGCCAATTTCTCAATAGATTTGAGGTCCTTTTGAAGCTCAGTCGAATGCTCTTCGCTTCTAATGGACCTCCAGATCTTCGCATCGTCTGCGTAGATCAATGCCGGCGAGCTAACTGAGCTTAACAGGTCGTTAATAAATATCAGGAAGAGGATCGGG